CAGAGTGGCCCCGAGTCCGACACACCACCCCGCCGCAAACCCCGGAGGGGTGACGGTCCGAGGGGATTTCCACACGTTAAAAAAAAAAAAAAAAAAAAAGGGTTTGTGTCAAGTTTTGCTTCTCTTTGCAGTGCTGTTGTCCTGCATGGTTCGCTCCCTTAGTCGGCTCTTAAGACACCCACGGGATGAATAGGAGTGGTGACACTTAGTATTCTTAATCCGTCACCACACGCATAAACTAAACTAACTAACTAACTAAATATACTTTACGATTTTTACAATTCAAATAATCAGAACCGCAGAAGATAAGATTAATTAATATTGTAATAGAGTACAGTTAATTAAATATGGTAATACTAGTGAGATTAATTAATTTCGTAATATTGAACAATAATTTATCTACAGTAATACTTTTAATTGTGTAAAAAATAATCTTATCTTTTACTAGGTGGCGATGTAGAATAAAACGCTATGTGAGGTATTTAAGGTTAACGCAGAGCCAGGGTTTTTTTTAACGTCTGAAAACCCCCTTGGTCCGTCGCGTCATCCCACCAGGTTTTGCGGAGGGGCCATTTGTCGGGATCGAATCGACTAAAACCACACGATGTTCCACACGATGTGCTTGAATAGGAGGAATCTGGCAACAACTTTTATTGAGACATCCGGACCCCCACCACGGGGCCACTTGCTCATACTTACTGGTTAGATTCATGTTTATTTAAAATTTCAGGTAATATATTAACTTTCGAACTATCGTGTTCCATTATATGTAATAATGCGTCAGCGTTAGCGTTCACGATAGGTGTTAAGTAAATGCTTTTGAAATTACCTTAGTTAATTACCGTAAAAATATGTAGGTAATTATATATTTCAGTTTATAAACATATGTATATCCACCACAGAAATACTTACTGCCTATAGAAATAACTTACTAACTAATCATAGTAGAAATTTTATCTTTCGTGCCTAAATATGGAGATATTTAGGCCCGAAAGTTAATCCTATGAAATTACTTTGTACACAGCATTAAAATACTCTTTTATTACGACAGGAATAGGAACAGAGACGGCTTTGACTAATTCATTTACCTTATCAGTGTGCAACATCAATCGTGAAATAGGGATCAAGGCCGTGTTTGTTGTCATTGACAAGCGATGTACACACAGATATAAAGACGAGACAGCCGTAAAGAATTCTAAGGAATAAAATGAATTTGACTGACTTTCCAACTTCCTTGTACGTTGTAAAGTTGACTGAATTTTGAGACTAGAGTGAAATTGGAGAATAGCAGAAGTTATAATATGTTATTTATGGTTAAACCGCTTATTTTGCAAAATCTAGATGACAAATAGCTTAGGATTTTGAGATTATCTCAATGATTTACACGAATATAGAAGCAATCAAGCATTGTATGTGCGTTGAAGTGTTAGTAACTGGGTAATTTTTTTGTCCGTTTTTCTTATAATTACGTCATTTTGTGGATAAAAATAATCTTTATAACTTTAATTAATAAAATGAAATAAATAATGGGGAAAAAAATGGCAAATAATGTCAATATTATCATTTATATTAGGTGCTTCATTTAATAATTAAAGTATGTTAAAACAAATTAATCATATATCTGAAATTGAATAATGACGCAGAAAAGTTAAGTACGTTCTCTGAAAAAAAAATTTATTTAGAGGCAGTATGAGTAACATTTTTATAAGATAAAATTAAAAAGTTACAGTTAAAAAATACACTAGTGTCTGAAGTTTGACTACTACAAAAAGTTGTAGGATCTTATTGCTACCTAATAAGTTAACATACGTACGTACATATTTCTAATCTCACTTGTTCATGTGCCAATTTTGGAACAGTCGTTAGATAAGTTTTATCTAGGTAATGAAATGAATATAAAAGTACAGAATCTTATTTGTAATTTGATTATCTCCTTATAATGGGACTTCTCTTCAGTTACAATGAGCATGTAAATGATTTTATCGATAGTTTTTTCTTTGAGTATTGTTGTGGTTTTGAATCTACAAACCGTAATGCTGGCAAGAAGCCTCTTAAAGGATTTTTTCCTTCGTTGTTGGCAACATTAAAAAATGTTTGTCTGTTATACTTGTTTTCATAATCTTTTGTGGCCATTTCAAATCACTAAATGGGAAATATGTAGGTAAATTCATCTGAATTTTATTTAGGTATCTTGTAATTTTGTCGTTTAGTGCAGTTGGAGCCCTAAAAAATTCGGACAACAGTATTTTAGTTAAAGTACTTGCGAGATAGAGAATTTGATTAATACCATCAAATGTGTACCTAATTAAAGTAATTTTGTGAACAAAACGATTTTAGTAGTTAGTTACTTATTTATTCCGTACTACTTGAAGAACCCGGTATGTATTAGAAAAGGTTTTCACTAGTGTCCGACCGAAACAGGCTTTTCCGCCGAAACCGAATTTTCGGCCATTACTTCAGTTTCGGTCGAAACCGTAACTGAAACCGAAACTCAAACTATAATTTTTAAATTTTGATTCTATACTGAAATTTGTTTATTTATGCACAATGTGATAAAGGCGAACTTAATGCCGTAGGCCTTTTTCCCAGTCGACCTTAGGGCAATGCAGAGCTAAAAAATGGTAGATTCACAGAAAATAAAGATGTGTGTTTTTTTTAAATATAGCATAAATAGAATATCATATATTCAAGGTACTTATCATATATAAATTGCACATTATTTTATTGCAATTTATTTTAATAAAAAATATACATATACAAAAGTAATAATGATACTACATATACATTTATACATACATGTAATATATAAACATACACACTATAAATTCTAGAAGATTCTGTTTCCGCAACAGACATATAAGAGTTTTGCCGAGTTTTTTACCATCCTGATCTAACCGACTAAAACCGTACGCCGTCTCAGGTACCAGTAGTCGGGGAACCAGGTGTACCCTAGAAAGAAAATCCCCCGCTCCAGCTCCGACGTACCTCGGGCCATCTACGGCGGGTAGACGACCCCCCCCTGTGTGGGAACCCCCATGTTCCCTCTGTGCTCCCGCAGGAGCGCGCGCGCTTCGCAACGCACTCGCCGCCACCCTGGCCTGCTTCTGCTAGGGTGACAGATGGCCCAGATGAATCGTCTGTGGTACCTGGCCCGTTCCCGAGCCGAGTTCTAAACCTCTCCAAGTCCCGCTCCGCCATCTCCTTCGCAAGCAACTTGCTCGCAGAAGGAGACGGCAATCAGGTTATCGAGCGAGAGAACTCCCACTCTGATGGCCGCCACGAGGTCTCGCCTCTGCTCCACCCACGCCGGGCATTCTGCCAGCGTGTGGAGCGTCGTGTCCACGGTCCGACCATCGCAGTGCTGGCACTCAGGCGTTGGCTCTTTGCGGATCAGACACAGGCGATCCGCAAAGCCGAAACATCCTTTCCCAGTGATCACCTGCGTCATTCGGTATGATAGGGTCCCGTGATGCCTCTCGAGCCAATCCTCCATAACGATTCTTACCGCCGCGATGACGGCGTGCCCGAGTGTCACCACACCTATTCATCCCGTACCTAGATGTCGTATGAGCCGATTAAGAAACCAAATTACGCAGGGCAACAGCACTACAAAGAAAAGAAAACTTGAAACAAATCCTATATCAATGCGTCTGGTCAGCGTGGTAGGCCACAACCGCCTTTCTAAGGAGAGGCCTATGTCTATTAACTATTAACGGCTGTTGATGATGATGAAATAAAACACAACCTTTTATTGCTTACATTTCATTTAATTATTATTTCATCAATATATTATATAATACTTAAATAGGTAAATCGACCCTTCATACACGGTTTTCTAATATGTTCTTCGACACTTAGTTTCATTTTTGGTTTTGATAAATCAACTCGCCGGTCAGCCGATAAGAATCTAATTTTATTGAATCTCGTTAGATAGTTACAGATGTTTTGTTGTAAAATAATGGAGTTCCATATTTTGCAGCACTATAGCCCAGTGTTAATTTAATATTAATTTAAATTTTTGTTTTAGTTTGTCAGATTAATTCTTGAGAGATTCTTTAGAATTAGGCAATAACATAGAGAGGAGTCCACAGACTGAAAAAAAAAGTATGTTGTCAGCAATTTTCACATGTATTTTAAAACAATTATGATTTAAAGAGATTACTTAGACACAACCATCTACTGTATACTTATGATATTTTAATGGAAAATAACCATCATCATCAACCTTATTCATTGTATGAAAATGAAACTAATACGCCATTGAATTGTAAGTGCTCAGTATTATGTATGCATTTGTTTCTTTTTAAATCTTTAATATTCTTTCTTTCTTTTTCTTTTTTAAAAAAGACAACTCCCGCATTAGGAATAAATCCTGTGTCGCGGGGGACTTTACAAACATACATGAAACGGACACAAAGAACACCTAGACTCAGAACAACAATTTGTGGATCACACAAAGTGTCGTCCCATGTCGGGTTTGAACCCACAACACTCGGCGTAGTAGGAAGCGGCGTGGCGACCGCTTAAACCACTACGCCATCCGTGCAGTCTAGTTGTATTGAATGTTATTTAATTTATACTCGTATAACATACTCAGCTTATCATTAAATCCTTACAGATAAGTAAACCTCCAAATGAATAAAATGTAACTTCACAAGCTGCATTAAGAAGAAAAGCTGATATAGTAGAGCCAAAGATCGAGCCCATTGCAGCACCCGTCATTGTTAAACACACCGCCATACCCCTGAAATTAAAAGAAGACATACCTTATTAAACAATTTAGTTGTGGTTTTTTTTCTTGAATTACGACTTTTAGCGACATTAGTTAAAATGTGAATATGAAAAATGTGACTACGCCCATACAATGTTGTTTGTAAACACTTCTTGAAACATTAATTTTTATAATTTGCTTCATCAACAATAAGTTACATTCATTTATGCAACACAAGACAATTTAACAATTACTTCGAATTAAGTACCACACGCCATTATCTTAGAAGATAAAACTAAAACTAATTTGATAGAATATAAAATTATATTAAATATTTGAGATTATTACCATTAGGATAGTATTTTCTTTGTAATAACCCAACGAATCGTACACTTACCTCAAGTTTACTGGAAAGATATCCACTGAGAAAGCAGTTACAAGTCCTACTGCTAGACTCATTGATTGAATCGGAGGCAGCAGCAACGCAAACGGTACAACTTCACTAACAAAGTTGATAACTATGCAAAGCCCACCAACTGTTGTAAACACTAATACGAGTAAAATTTTCTTATCTATGAACTTGACCGTACTGCCGATCAAAATGGCTATTACAAAACTGCTGAAATCAGCTATTGAACTTATGACAAATGTTAAGGAGCACGGCTTGGGTTATTGTAAGACTGTATCTTTTAGTATTGTTTTGTACCCTTATTGTTGTTTTATTGTGTATGCGCCGCGTTGTTAAGGAGCACGGCTTGGGTTATTGTAAGACTGTATCTTTTAGTATTGTTTTGTACCCTTATTGTTGTTTTATTGTGTATGCGCCGCGTTTATGCATGGGCGCGGGGAAAGGATAGCGGGGGGACTGTTGCACGTGGCCTGAAATGCACGTTGCACCAGTCCTCCAGGCAGTCGATAGCTAGCCTCCCCGCCAGGCAGTCCATAGCTAGCCTTCTCGTAGTGTAGTTCTTGTAGTAGTAATAATGTGATTAAATAGTCAATATTCCCGTGTCTGTATGTTTCTCTGCTACTTACTAATTAGCAACCCCGCACCTCACTTACAAAACTGGTCCTTCTAGCCGGATAGAGTAAGTAGCAATGAGTTACAACAGTACAATGCGACAGACACGGAGTGCAACAAGAGCTATGGAGAATACGATCGGTCAAGATTCGGAATTGCGTGCTTCGTCGTTCTCCAGTGTACAGCCAACGACGCCTCAGCAGCCTGCCAGGAGCTCCGTGGTGGGTGGTCATAGTGACCACGGTGAATTACCGCCATTGGAGATGACATCGGTTTCAGCGCACACAGTGCGCGCGCCGTGCAGTGTTAGCCACGCGTCGACAAGATTTAGCCGGGCAAGCCGCGAAGCACTAAGAATGCGTGCCGAATATGAGGCGGAGGTCGAGATGGCTAAGGTAAAGGAAACGTTAATAAAGAAGAAGCTAGCACTCGACATGGCGGAACTAGCAGCGAAGGAAGACGAAGAGAACAATGCGCCGGCGAGCGTCGCAAGCGGTGAGAATTCAGCACGTGTTACGAGCTGGCTTGACGACGTATCTGCCGCTGCCCGCGCATCCGAGCGCCCCGCGCTTATCGTCACCACGTGGTTGCCTGCCACCCCGACACGTGGGCCCCAGGAAGAACAGAAAAGCGCGCCGGCGAGCGTCGCAAGCGGTGAGAATTCACCACGTGCTACGAGCTGGCTTAACGACGCGCCTGCCGGCCCCTGCGCGTCCAAGCGCCCTGCGCCTGGCGTCCACACGTGGTTGCCTGCAACACGTGCGCTCGAACCCACGTCGTCGCAGCCACCACCCCAAGCATCACCAAATAGGCAGTTTCAAACTGACATTGATCGGCTGGCGGAGGCCATCAGCAAGCTAGGACAGACGCGAAGTATGTCACGACAGGTACACGAGATACCTTCATTCGATGGTAACGTTGCAGATTGGCTCAGTTTTGAGAAAGCCTACCGTAGTACCAGCGAGATGCATAATTTCCAACCATTTGAGAACATGGTCCGCCTTCGGGTGGCGCTCGTTGGTGAAGCGAAAGCTGCCGTCCGCGACCTGTTGAGAACTTCTTCTGATCCCGAGGAGGTCATGAAAGCCCTCGAAGACGAGTTCGGACATCCTATTCGCCTGTTAGAGTGTGCCATTAAGAAAGTGCGTGATTTACCTAAGGTCTCCGAAGATGGACTCGCAATACGCAAATTCACGACTACAGTACGTAATTGTGTGTCTGTGTTACAAAGTATACGGGCCGACGGTTATTTAAATAACCCGCAATTAGTCAACGAACTAATAGGTAAATTAACACCATACCAACGCGCGCAGTACGGGCAATTCGCGATGCGTTTGGATAATAGTAGTGTTGATTTAAGAGTGTCTCCAAATTTATACATTTTATTGGACTTTCTCAGTCAGTTGACACGTGCGTCGTCGTATTATGCACCGATAAGCTTGAACGACGCCAATGAAAGTCGTGCTAATGTCAGTGGTAAATTCGGTGCCCGTGCCGGCGCTGAGCGCGCACCATTCGTTGCTGGTCGCCGCGATAGAGATAAGCACGTGGTTTCAGTGCGAGCGGGCGGGTCAAGTCATCGTGTGCATACGCACACAATGGAAACAATCGCCGCAGTCACTAAGAACGAGAGTAAAAACAATAACGTCGTTTGTGGTCAATGTAAAGCGGAGCACGAATTAACGCAGTGTAGTGACTTTAAAAATATGACTGTTGATGAACGTTGGGATTTAGTGAAACGAAACAAACTATGTTTTAAGTGCATTGCGAAGAGTCATTCGAGCAGGTATTGTCGTGCTAAACGTTGCAGTGAATGTAACTGGTCACACCACGTGTTACTGCATAAAAGAACCGAGAACGCGTCGCCGCCTGAGGTAGTGCCACAGCCAAATGTGCCACCGCCGACTGTACCATCTGCGCTCAGGGATTCACCGTCGGTTAAATATGAAACTATTACGAACGTTGGTGAGCATCGTGCGCGTGCTTTATTAAAAGTGTTACCGGTGACGATAGTTACTAGTTCTGGTGTTGAACGATCATCGTACGCTTTATTAGATGACGGGGCGTCCGTTTCAATCTTGGACGATAAATTCGCGAGTGATGTGGACGGACCAATAGTGCCTCTTAAATTGATAACTGCACGCGGCCATTGTGTGACCGACAACAACTCACGATATATAAAGATCGTAGTGCGCGGACCGAACGGAGTGAGTCATGACATTGCAGTGCGTACTCTACGTAATGTAAACTTGCCGTCTCAAGCGTTACCGGCGCGAGTGCTCGAAGACAACGCACACCTGCGGGACCTGGATTGCAGCGAGATGAGGGACGCGAAGCCTATGTTGTTGTTGGGGCAGGACAACTGGAAGCTCATAGTTGGAAGGGAGATTCGTCAAGGTGAATCTGGTCGACCAGTTGCTTCTCTTACTAGCCTAGGTTGGGTCGTCCATGGCCCGCTAGGTGGGGGGTTTGATGGTAGTGAACTCGACTTCGCTAATTGCATATCCACGCCACACGACGATTTACACGAGTTAGTTAAAAGTCAATTTGAACTAGAAGCAATTGGTATTACACAAGCTCTGCGTAAAAATTGTAATTCGGAACGGAATAAATTACAAATACTAGGTAAAACATGTCGCCGCGTGTCAGATGACGTCCCCCAATGGGAAGTAGGCTTACTATGGTCTCGTAATAATGTAGAGTTGCCCGATAATTATAAATATGCGCGTAAACGCCTAGCCGGGATAGAAAGGAAAATGGATCGTGACCCCTCTTTTGCGGACGCCTATACGAAACAGGTAGACCGCTTATTAGCTTCTGGTTACGCGCGTAAAGCTGAGGGTGTTAGGGCAAGTCCCGCGTGGTATTTACCTCACTTTGGAGTTCTAAACCCTAATAAGCCGGGCAAGTTGCGTTTAGTATTTGATGCTGCCGCCACGTACCAAGGTACATCTTTGAACAATAATTTACTCAGCGGGCCCGACTTAATGAATTCTTTGCTTGGTACCCTAATTAAATTTAGAACAGGCCGTATAGCTTTCACTGCTGACATCGCGGACATGTTTTTGCGAATTAAAATTCTCGAGGCGGATCAAGGGGCTCAACTGTTTTTATGGCGCGGTCAAGATCGAGTCAGGGAACTCCGTGCTGCTCTGCGAGGCCTGAATGCCGAACGACTGCGAGGTGAGGCTTTAGCTAAGGGCATCGAGTGGCGATTCAACGCGCCTGCTGCGCCGCACATGGGGGGTGCATGGGAGCGGCTTATTCGCTCTGTAAAGAATGCCCTACATGTTACTCTTAAAGAGCGAGCACCATCCGATGAAGTGCTTCACACCGTCCTTTTGGAAGAAGAGCTGATAGTGAATAGCCGCCCTCTCTCGTATGTCACAACTGATCCGGACCAGCCAGTAGTGCTCACTCCAAATCATTTACTGCTTAGCACAACGGCAGGTGATACTTGTTTGACAACTTATGATCCCTCCGACCTCGATGCTCGTCGCCTATGGAAGAAGGCGAATGGGCTTGCTGAGATGTTCTGGAGGCGGTGGACAAGAGAGTACCTGCCCACTCTTCAGAGACGTCAAAAGTGGACCACGGCTACGAACTCTGTGAAAGTAGGTGATGTGGTTGTGTTATGTGACGGCAAACAACCGCGTAATATGTGGCCCCGTGGCGTAATAACTAAAGTGTACCCGGGAAGTGATGGACATGTACGTGTGGTAGATATAAGGACACCTACCGGGTCGCTGCGTCGACCCGTTGCCCGAATAGCCGTGCTACCTACTGACGGTACATTTGTCGATTGAAGTCTCCAACTGGGGGGTGGTGTTAAGGAGCACGGCTTGGGTTATTGTAAGACTGTATCTTTTAGTATTGTTTTGTACCCTTATTGTTGTTTTATTGTGTATGCGCCGCGTTGTTAAGGAGCACGGCTTGGGTTATTGTAAGACTGTATCTTTTAGTATTGTTTTGTACCCTTATTGTTGTTTTATTGTGTATGCGCCGCGTTTATGCATGGGCGCGGGGAAAGGATAGCGGGGGGACTGTTGCACGTGGCCTGAAATGCACGTTGCACCAGTCCTCCAGGCAGTCGATAGCTAGCCTCCCCGCCAGGCAGTCCATAGCTAGCCTTCTCGTAGTGTAGTTCTTGTAGTAGTAATAATGTGATTAAATAGTCAATATTCCCGTGTCTGTATGTTTCTCTGCTACTTACTGATTAGCAACCCCGCACCTCACTTACAACAAAAGTTATTCGGTCCAAATTGTCATTGCATACACCGCCGCCGGCACCGTCAACTGTCTGTAACAAACTAATCAGTATTAGAGAGTCCTGGAAATGCAATTTGAAATTGGTTGATATTAAATCGGTAAGATTATGGTTGTCTACTGTTGATTTTTTTTCGATCGCAGTGATAACATGGCCTTCAGGAAACCGGTGTTAAGCAATTAATTCGTTGATTTTCACCGAGTGACTGAGGTTGCCGGTGATTCGGTGAACTGTTCGAATTATAGACTCTTCGACACTAAATAAGAGAATGTTTTCCTTTTAATTGCCAGTTTGCTAGTTAAATCATTTTTAAGATTGTTTTTTAATTTTGTATAGTTTTTGGTAATAGTTTATTCAAATATGAATTCGGTTTTGGCAGATTGTCGATCACGCAAATGATGATGATACCTGATTTAGGCTGTCGAAAGCGTCGCATGCAGTTTGACCTTCATCATCTTCTAACAATAGTCGGTTTAATATATCAGGTATCCACGCGAAGAGGCCACTTAATCTGAAATAAATTACAAAAGTTTTGATACCAATTCTTCAATAAATTTATTTATGTATGTAAAAATAACATGAATGTTCGGAAATATTTTATAGGTTTGGTGAAACGAAGTGTAGTCTTCGATTATTACAAAAAAAGTCACATGAATTCAAGAAATTTGAGACCATAAAACTTTAGTGTATGATATTAAACACGGCATACTTAACTTATTACAATAATATCAGAAACAGTATGCTAGAACAACCCTACCATGCATAAAGTTTTGAAAGTGTCTATTATCCGTCATCAGTTTTTAGAGCTGATTCTATGATCTAGGCACAATTTAGTTAAAAGTATAGCAATTGAGGCTTTGACCAAAATGTTTTATCGGGTTCTTGATGTGATAGGTAGAGTTCTTCGACAGTCAATCTATTTTAATTAGTGCCTAAAAGCCTGCTAAGCTCAACCGTCTTTTACTGGATAAGTCGGATTTAAAATCGTACTACTTTTGATTTAATTTTAATAAGACAAAATCGCTTTGTTCAAATTTGCTCTAATAGTCACACAGGGCGCGCAACATCCTGACACACTATTTGCGACAATGATTAACGTTGAACGCTACATAACGGGCACTGGGTTAATGTGATATCATCGATTTAGCGTAAAGGTTAGGTATACAGAAAGTAAAATAGAAACCGGCTTAAAACTCAAGTTGGTTTATTACATCATTTCATATTTTGGCTTCGGTTAGATAGATGATCGACGAAGAAGAGGAAGAAGAAGACATCCAGGTACTAATTAGATATTTAAGTAGTTGTAAGGGCATCTCAATGTCATAGCGAACTGATATATTTTCTTTAACATTTATAAATATTTATTCTATTTATTTAAAGTCATTATTAAATAAAATACTTACACTGAATATACACCAAATAGCAGAAATGCGTTAAGTAGCAACCATTTTAAATAAGGAGGTTTCAACAATGGTAGGCTTTGTGTTTTTAATGATGTAAAGAAGGTGTCTTTAGTTCTGCTATCGAAACTCTCATTTAGATCTTTGATCTGGAAGAAAAAAACTTAGAAGTACCAAGACAAACTATTAGTTTACAAATGAAATTAGCGCAGTCCGTCACTCAAAAACCATTCAAACTCAACTCATTAATGAATAAGGGGGGCCAACGAACATATGAGTCTCACTCAATCATCAACTCGAGAGCCACGCCCTTTGAGTTTCTTCTCCCAGAGTCAGAGGGGGGGAGGGGGGAGAGGGCGGTTTAGGCTCTGGTTGTCTGTGTTTTCTCCAAAATTAGGGGAGAGGAGAGGAAGGGTAAAAGGGGGGAAAAGGATAGTAGTAAAAAACAACTTACAGGATAGTCTTCAGGCAGTTTTTTTGTATTTCCTGAAAAAATAGCTAGTACAGCTTTGAGTGCCTCATCATTTTTTCCTACGGCTACTAAATATCTAGGACTTTCGGGACCAAAAGCTAGTAAACCAGATGCTATTAGGAATAGCATAGCATAAACGATGACAAGCAGACGCCAAGGACGGAATAAATATGCTCCAAAGTCTACAATGAAGTCTAAACTTAGTATTCCCCACGCGAGTACTGAAAAAAAGATATATTACGCTATTAAAAAAATATGTTATATATGTAGTAAACTGGAGCGTACTTTTTATCTAGTTAGATGGTTTTTAGTTTAGTGAATTTATTACCTCTGAGGCAAATGGTAAAATACACATCAAGTTCATTAAAAGTAGAACTTAAAATAAATATAATAAGAAACAAGTTACTTGAAAAATATCCTGAAGAAAGGGAGTGTACTTTCCTTAATCAGAAAAAAGAGTCGGACGTTGACGGGATACGTCTGAAGAATGTAACTTTTTCTGAAAATCTTCGAACCGAGCTAAGTGGTCACGCACTGCTACCGCGGCTGGCAAAGCCAGAAAATTGTACCTGTATAATATATACCTATATAGTTTATGATGCTGGGGTATATTCGCCGCATGTAAATGATGTCATTGTAATTATTGTGAATAGAATAAGGATATTTCGTGGTCGTAGTATGATATAGGGACTTACGCGGCACAAGTACTGATCCCAATATTTGTATTGTAGTGACAACCGCTAGTGCCAGGTCTCTGTACTTCTTTGGTAGAATTTCGGCGATGTATGAATATGGCACAACAAAAGGGCACCCTATACTGTCGAAATAATGTATGTATTATTTTTTGTCCAAGATTAAACATTACTGCAGTTATCGTTAGTGTATATGACGATATAACTGAAGATAACACACAAAGGCACTTTATACACTTGTAAAATAAATTAGAACGTTTTTTCTAAAAGTGAAGTTATTTTTTCACATTTAAATACCACCTCAGTCTGAATTCTTAAAACATTTTGTCCATGTATTTTAATTAAAATGTGGTTGGTAGTGGTAAGTTTGACTTTTCTCATACACGTATTTGGTAAATTAAAAAATTTTTTTTATTGTTCCTGATCATATGCCTATCTTAAACAGAGCATTGTTCTGGGTCCTTTAGTGCCAGACTGGTTAAAAAAAATATGTTAATTCCATTACATTGTATAAATTAAACTTTAATCAAATTACCAATATTAAATGCTCGGTAACAAGGTCAATGTTTTACAAAATTTTTAGTGAAGTTCTTGGTATAGCTGATGATAGTTATTTCTTATATAATGTTTACAACTGATATATTTGCTGTCTTTCGATTTTTCTTTCCTAATAATTTCTACAAAGAAAATGGAAATTGCAATTCGTCCTGACACAAATACGTTATGGTGATGGAACGCAAAACAGCTCCTTGTTTTGCTCCTGCCTATAATACCTGTAATGATGAATGTACCTAACATTCTGTATTAAAATGTTATTTGACCTTCAAATTTCTTCATCCTACGAGATAAGTTAAAACAACTGTCTTGGTTGTTAGCAGTAGGACCAGCAGGAACTACTAAATAACATAAAAATATTTTTTTTAACTTCATCATCATCATCATCATCATCAACCGCCTTTAATAGTCCACTGCTGGACATAAGCCTCTCCTGAGAAAGGAGGTAACTTCATCACCAGAGATATTTCCTGTTTCGCGCGAGACTTTACAAACATACACGAAACGGGCACAAATAATCCTAGACTCAGAACAATCATTTGTGGATCACACAAAGTGTTGTTCCACTTAGGAATCTCACCCACGACATTCAGCACAGTAGGAAACGGTGGTGACCGCTTAAACCACTACGTCATCCATCATATCATAATGTGCATATAACGGTAACAAAATAAATAAAACTTACCATAATGCTGTTAAAAGTTTGCAAATAACAAAGCTTATTACGTCCGGCATAAACCCAGATGCTGAGCCAAATACTCCGGCACCCAAAGAACTATATATTAGAACCTTTTTCCTGCCTTTGGTATCTACCAAGTATCCCCACTGGAATGACATTAAAACAATACCTACGAATACGTGAATTAATTGAATAACATATTGCAATATAAAATAATAATTAGAGATGAACGGGTTATATTTTATTTCATTTGATAATTTTGTTGCAATCATCTCTCGGCCTATTAGAGACTTCTACGTGTAGGATAACAGAATAATGCTTTTGGTCGCGCCCTTCGTGAAAGCCAATGTTTTTTTTGCTAACTTGTTTATCGTAGCTCATATTAAAAAACATATTTATGGTACTGTATAAAATCGATCCAACGATGAATATTGCGTCGAAATTTTTATGGACCTTAGCATTACAAAGACACGAATTGTTGGTTGCAGTTTGATTACAGTATTATTCTGTAATAGGTTTTACTTTTTTAACTTCTGAGGTTTTGTGGCTAAGTTCATTGCAAAATTTTATTTCGGTTATTCAATATTAGAAACAAAGAAATCCAATGTTTTTAATATGTGTTGTTGTTGTATACATTATAATTTAGGAAAATAGCCATACACCTTCGTACTCTTACTTAAGTACTGAGAACATGTTTTTTAAATTCCCTTTTTCAATATATTTTAATATACTCACCTATATAAGGTATAGAATAGATAAAGCCTCTCTGACCGTCTGATATATTTAAGTCGCAAATTGCAGCTGGCAAAACAAAACCATATCCTGATGCTTCTAAAATGGGTGCGATGAGAAACAGCGACAAGACTAGACAATACTTTAAGTTGTACCATCCAACACCTAAAACGATTAAGAGTATAAAATTAGACAACAACTATTGTTTCAATGGTTTTTGAAAGCATTATTTTTTAATGCTTTTTGAATGGATAGATAGATAAAAAATTTATTTCCTGACATAGAGTTCTTAATTTGCGAATTTAAGACAGTAGACACAACTCAATCTTTTCACATACATTGAATTCAGAAGTTTTATTTTATTGGACATCACTATTACATTAATGTTACAAAGATTTTAAGATATTGGATTATTCAGTATTACTTAATGTTAACTCATAGCTCAGCAGCAAGCAGAACTCTTCTTTAAACTCTTGTATAAAATAAAGTCGCTTTTTTTTTGTTTTACGTTTAGATCTTTTAAACTGAGCAACGGATTTTAATGCGGTTTTCACTAATACAGAGAGTGAAACGTGCATATTAAAGCAGAGAAAATTCGTCAATTTGTCTTAAAAAACATGATTTTGCGCGCTTACATTGCAAACCCTGGCTAATCTAATTAAAATAATATATTAGGGAATTGTATATCTTAAAAAGATCTACAAAAATACAACAATAGTATTTGCAATAGAAAATTGTTCTTTTCAGCATATCATTAAAATGAATATTTTAGAAAATTTTAGAGGTTCAAAAATACGGGGCAAGGCAGCGGTCGTCGCTTCGGGCCGTACGTCCGTCGCCGGTGTCATCGGTCTGCAAGATCGGAGAGGGCCTATAAATATTGCATATAACGATATCCTGTAGTAGTTCTACCACAATAATAGTAAAATTAATTACTCCACACTGACACCACATTGGTAGTAATGGTAGTATCTACATTGTACCCGTGCGAAGCCGGGGCGGATCTCTAGTCTCTTTATATTACGAGTCTTTCGAGTTTATTCTTACCTGCTACTGTCAGTGCTTCATCCAGGCTAGCAGAGTATTTTTTTTGTACCTCAACGTCATTAACGGCAATATTAATGCTGTCTGTCATTACGGAAACTTCGAATCAGGTTTTTATATTTCTTAAGAAAACTTGTCATAAAAAGGCTTACTGGTATCACAGATTTGTAAACAACTCTGTAGCACTCATAATGGTGGTTTCATTTCGGCATGTTTATTTATACTGATACGCTTCGACTCACTAATGAGCGTATATATTATGAAAGCACTGACATATTGGTTAGATAATGTAGAATAATTGGTGTGACTACTGATAATATTTTCAGATATTATCCAAAAAAAAACAGAACCAGATTAACTTATAATATATCCAGATTTGTTCTAAAATATTACTTTTATTTGTAAAAAAGTATTTTTATTTAATTTATTCTTTATTAGACAGTAATTAAGATGTAAGTATAAACGATAATTAAGTACATATCAAAAAGGAAATATTAAGTAAAAAGCTTTTTTTAAAACATTTAGTGTCTTTTCAGGTTCCTTATTATTCTTTATCTGAAAACGAAACTGTAAGTAAAAATTGTAAGTAACAATTATTTTATAACGAAAATCTGTTGTGCTGTAATACACTTTTGGGTAACTTCTTTGAAGTTCGACAGGCTACAGTTGTAGATATCTACATGTATTGAAACAATATTAATAAGCCTTATGGCACGTGATATAGGGGCATATCGAAGCAGATTTGTTCGCGCTACGGGAACGGTGAGCGAAGGGGGCTGGCGGCGCACACCCAGCACCAGCCAGGGGCGCACAACTATACTCCGCCACAGATGGCTCCGCCTCCGGCGCTTGAGGCGCCTAACGTGGATGACGACGACGTGCCTGAGGTCACTGGGGTGGAACTAAGGGTGGCGGTGTTACGGCTTAAAGCCAAAAACACCGCCCCGGGACCCGATGGCATTCCTGGCCGAGCGTGGGTCCTGGGCCTTAGTCGACGAGGCTCTCGAGCCCCGACTGCGAGGGTTCTTCAGCGCATGCCTCGAGCGGGGCCAGTTTCCGAAATTGTGGAGGACGGGGAAACTGGTCCTCATCCGAAAGGAGGGGCGCCCGGCGGACTCACCGTCCGCCTACCGGCCCATAGTGTTGCTTGACGAGGTGTGCAAGCTCTTTGAAAGAGTGATTGCAAGGCGCCTCGTCAAGCATCTCGTGATGGTTGGGCCGGATCTGGCGGACAACCAGTACGGTTTCCGTCAGGGGCGCTCCACCGTGGATGCGATCATGCGCGTGAAGGCTCTGGCGGAGGAAGCAGTCTCTCGGGGCGAAGTGGTGTTGGCGGTGTCCTTGGACATCGCCAACGCGTTCAACACTATGCCCTGGAGCTGCATCAGGGAGGCGCTCGTGTATCACGAAGTGCCTCTCTACCTCCGCCGCATAGTCGGGGCATATTTGTCGGAGAGAGCCGTCGTCTACCCCAGTAGGACCGGTCTCGGTAGGCGTGAAATGTCGTGCGGTGTTCCGCAGGGGTCGGTGTTAGGGCCACTCTTGTGGAACATCGGCTACGACTGGGTGCTTCGTGGTGCCTTCTTGGATGGTGTCGCCGTCGTGTGCTACGCGGACGACACACTCGTGACGGCGCGCGGCAAGACGCACCACGAGGCAACCCTGAGGGCCACGGCCGGGGTTGCCCAAGTCGTTGAGCGTATCCGGCGGCTGGGTCTCGAGGTGGCTCTGCACAAGTCCGAGGCCCTGTTCTTCCACGGGCTTCGGAGGAAGCCGCCTGAGGGATCTAGCCTCACGGTAGGAGGCACTCGCATCGGCATCGAGCCCTCGATCAGGTATCTGGGGCTCGTACTCGATGGCCGATGGGACTTCGGATATCATTTCCGAGGTCTGGTCCCTAAGTTGGTTGGGGCAGCGCGTGCGTTGGCGCGGCTGCTGCCCAACATGAAGGGACCCGATGACTCCTGCAGGAGACTCTACTCGTGGGTTGTGCGGTCCATGGCCCTTTACGGGTGCCCGGTATGGGCGGGGGCCCTGAAGGCCAGCAACGTCGCGATACTGCGACGACCGCAGCGAATGCTGGCCATCAGGATCATAAGGGGGTACCGCACGATCTCCTTTGAGGCAGCGAGTCTCCTGGCCGGAACTTCCACCGTGGGACCTGGAGGCGAGAGCCCTTGCGGCACTGTATCAGTGGCGCAAGGAGGCGCAGGAGTTGGGTCGATGCCCCGAGACTCGAGAAATCGAGGACCGGAAATCCCAACTCCGCCAGGTCATCATAGGGGAGTGGAGGGAACGACTCGGGCAACCGAGCGCCGGGCACGCCGTCATTGCGGCGGTAAGACCCGTTATGGAGGATTGGCTCGAGAGGCGTCACGGGACCCTCTCATACCGATTGACGCAGGTGATCACTGGGAAGGGATGTTTCGGAGATCACCTGTGTCTGATCCGCAAGGAGCCAACGCCTGAGTGCCACCACTGCGATGGCCAGACCGTGGACACGGCTCTCCACACGCTGGCAGAGTGCCCGGCGTGGGTTGAGCAGAGGCGAGACCTCGTGGCGGCCATCGGAGTGGGAGTTCTCTCGCTCGATAGCCTGATTGCGGCTATCGTGCGGAGCGAGAGTGCGTGGAACTCTGCCGTCTCCTTCTGCGAGCAAGTTATGCTCGCGAAGGAGACGGCGGAGCGGGACCGGGAGAGGTTTAGAACTCTCCCGGCCCGCCAGGCCCGGGCACGGGCCAGGCAGCGCAGGTCACTCAGGCGCCGGAGGTCGCAGAACGACCTCCGTCCTCCATAAGCGCAGGCCTGGGGGTGACAGGTGAGGCCATCTGTCACCCTAGCAGAAGCAGGCCGGGGTGGCGGCGAGCGCGTTGCGAAGCGCGCTCGCTTTCAGGGAGCACAGGGAACATGGGGGTTCCCACACGGGGCGGGGGTCGTCTACTCGTCTGTAGATGACCCGAGGTATGTCGGGGCACCAGGGCCTTCCTTTCTAGGGTATACCTGGTTCCCCGGCTATTAGTACCCGGCGAAGGCGTGCGGTTTTAGTCGGTTCGAGTCCGACATGCCACCGACAGGTGGTATCCGAGGGGATTTCCGCACGGAAAAAAAAAAAAAAAAAAAAAAAAAAGGGGCGCACAACTCGCTAACACGTCGGGGCGCAAGCTCAAGCGCACGTACCCGACCATGCCGAGGACGAATAAGCTGGGGTGCATGATATCGAGTGAATTTAATTTGGTTTTTTTCTACCATAAAGCTATATTTAGCCTCGAGAGGATTCCAAATTATAGCTGTCGCTTCTAGATGACTACTAACGAGAAAATTGTACAAGATTTTCACCACTGACGTGTTAGTCAAATCTTTATAGTTTCTCAAAATGAATCTTAAATTTCTAAATGATTTACTGCATTATAGTAACGATTTGATTACGAAACGTCAACTCGGCCACCATCTCGACTCCTAAATCTCGGATGCTCTTAAAGTACGGATCAACGCACCATTCATTTCATTTGTAAGTCATAACTCCGCATTTAGCTATGTTAAAGTACAGCTTGGTATTGCTCCACTGTACTAACCGGTCTATGTCTTCCTGCAGTCGCCCAGCGTTCGATGCGTCTGTTATCGACAGATACACCTTCAGGTCATCTGCAAAAGGCAGGTACTCAACATGCCGTAAGACCCCTGGGAGATCGTTCATTATTAGTATGAATTCTAAGAAAAAATACGAGGACCCAGATTTGACCCCTGACTTAACCCCGAAAGAATAAAATACTGACTGGATTTATAACCAGCATACTCAAGGTACTGCTTGCGAAGAATTTGAGTGAGGGCAACGAGAAAGGACGAGGTTAACTCAAATCGGACTTTTCTTCGAAAGAATTTTACTTTTTTACTTAAGCAAAAAAATTAGTTATAACCTAACTTACTCGGTATGTACCGGATGTATTTTCATACAAGATTGATGAGATCAATAAAGCAATAACTAAGGTTATTAAAGGGTAACATGAGTATATCTCCAATTCCTACAACCACTATCACTCATTGAGTTTGTTATCAAATCTTTCATTACTGCTTTCGTATCTATCACGTCATTGCATAAATAATCTGCATTATTATACTGGAATATTTTTTTAACTACAAGTGATTGATGAGTAAATGCTGTATTTTAGGCGGCTTTAAATAACATTGCATTCTAACTGGATTTTGTTAAGATAAGATCAACACTGTATCCACTGGTCAACCGTTAAGTTTAAAATTGACGAGCTTAAAAAATCTTTTCTACAACTCCTGCACTAGAAAAATTTCCTGTGTCACGGGGATTTTAGGAACACTCATGAAACGGACACAACGAACATCCAGACTTCGAACAACAATTTGTGGATGACATAAAGTTTTGTCCCATGTGCGCATCGAACCCATGACACTGAGCGCAGTAGGAATTGGCGCACCTCTAAGCGTGTACTATTAAGGAATAAAGAATACAGCTAATTATAATCAATCATGATGTAGACATGTTGAAGATGGTGATGCTTTTTAAAAACTTTTATTTTTTACTCTGACAATAGAAGTTAGAAGCTTATGAACAATTGGTAAAGGATATAAGATAATATATAATAGTAGTAAGGGTTTGTGATTTCTAGAATCCACGGCCGATTAAAGAAACCATTGAATAAGTAGGTTCAGGTTTGGTGACGGATTAAGAATAAAGAGTGCCACCATCCAGATATTCATCCCGTGGGCGTCGTAAGAGCTGACTGAGGGAGCAAACTAGGACAACTACACTGCAAAGAGAATGCAAACTTAAAATAAACCCTTTACCAACCCGTCTGGCCAGCGTGGTATAGTAGTCCAAAACTTCCTTTCTAAGGAGATGATTTGACTATTTTTTAATTTAACTTTAGTTGACTATTAAAGGCTGATGATGATGAGGTTAACTTTTATCATTATCATCCTTTAGTTTTGCAAAAAAAATGCAGGTTCATATTTATACCATTAATAAGATTTATAACTTGGTTGAACTTGACGCCTAATTGAAATTTGTTTCTTTTTTAACGATGAGGAACTCATACATTCAGTTTTATGTTTTTGATTTGATATTATACTTCTTTACTTAGATACCATAGATATTAGTATTATCTTTCTAAAATATCAATATCTTTTAGGTGTTAGTTAAATTGTTAGTGAATGTTTACACTGTCACATGTGAAAATGTCATGTTTTGTTGCTGTTTGTTTGCTGACAGAAAGGCAAAAGTCAATAGTGTGCTGCTAAATGGGATTAATAGGTATCAGTAGCACTGCACATTGAAATGCAAGTATTGTCATAGCCAGAACCTTTTTTAGATAACTTTTTGTTTAGTTTTTCAGGAATCACAGATTAAAATATAAATTTGGTAGTTATTTACTTGAAGCTGTTTATGATTCTGTACGTCTATCATAAGTCAGATATAGTACATTAATTTTTTTAGCACTCATCTAAATTTTTCTCCACCTGTCTTACAGACCCAAGCCCATATTTTCTTTCTTTTGCAGAAACATTTTAAAGTTATTTAAATATCTTAGTTTCTTCAAAATGTCTAAATTACCGGAAACAGCGCCAACGGCTGAGCGACCCGTATACCCTGCATCGGCCGAACTCGAGCGAGGTCTAGACTTAGTAGGTACAAAGAATCATTTCATTATAAATTAGCAACAATGTTTTCAATAGAAGTAGAAACTGTGGATGTTTTCATTAGTTCATAGCACCTTTGACTTATTGCTCCACAGAGCAAGCGGACCTTCTGTTTGACGAGTTTTGAGATTCAAATGAATCTTTTTAAGTTTTAAGACCAGTATCTTTAACCGAAGATATTTTATTTATATAACTTAATGCACAAGTTGTACACAGGCGGACTTAATGCCCAGGGCATTCTCTGCCAGTCGACCTTCGGGTGATGTAAAAAAATGATTCGGTATGTGCAAGAGAAAACAGAGAATTTGACTTCATTAATGTTAAATTTATTAATGTAACTTACATATATACACTATATACTATAAATAAAATACTATGTTCATTACGACATATATACATAGAGGTCACAACTATACTCATACAATACAGAAACATACACATATATAAATACATAAATTTCAAAATACACAGTCGGGTACTAGCGTTTCTTACTTTCAACTTACCTTTTTTGCCAACTCAACCTTTCCTTTCCTTTCCTTTTTTGATAAAGATCTTGTACTTTCTTCTTGAACGTAACACGGTTAGTGGCCATCTTGATTTCAACTGGGAGCGCATTCCAGAGAAGAATTGACTGTACAAAGGAGGAAGAATTTATGAAGTTTGAAGTGTGATGGGGCAAAGAAGAAGCATATTATTTGTTGACCGAAGATTTCAGTCGCGATTGGAGCAAAGCAAGCGGAGATGGGGAACCAGGTAATCAGGTTACGATGGGGAAATAAGAAAAGATATGTTAGTGCATGCAGACGCAGCGTGACACGCGCAACTCAATTCACTCCTAGCGATCGACTGCTGGTACCTTTCCAAGCAGACGTGTGCAGAAAAGATCTGCGCCAGTCGGACGGAGAGGGTCCCGTGCTACCACCCTGCCCGCCTGGACCGCCTCCACGGCGCCTAAGCCGGGACGACCAACGAGTCATCGTGTCTCGGCAAGCGGCCTTTAGCCAGTACTTTCCACCTCTAAATCCCATGACAGAGATCCGCCAGCACCCTCTGAGAGTTAGCACCCTCCAACTGCGCCTTATTCTGTGCGATTAAAGTTACCGCCTACACCGTTGACTGGATGACCCTGGTCTATTACTATAACTTTTAGAGTAATATCCACAACAGCTGCAGTTGTAGCAACTGTAGTTTTGCATACACGAACTAGAATTGATCTTCGTAGGTATCATAAAACGAAAGCAAAGAAGTAGTAGCAATTACGTAATATAGAATAGAATATGCTTTATTATACACCAATTACAGTAAGTTGGTTAAATATTAGAGATGGATATGTACAATGGGCGGCCTTATTGCTAATAGCAATCTCTTACAGGCAAGCTTTGGATGGACAAATCGACGACGGACGAATCGGACGAAGTAGATAAAAAACAGTGGGTAGTCTAGGTGTATTGAAGCTAACGTAGTGTAAAAATAAATAAATATCCATTAAATAATTATACATACATTCAAATAAATAAATATATTATATGTATACAATATAAGTATAAACAATTTATATATTTATGATAACCATGAAAATATTAGTCGTGTACAGTTATTTTAAGCAAAGGGTACTATGAACTATGAACTCAAGTAGTGAACTTTGACCATATTTTTAAATGCCGTCAGAGTTCGGGCACTTCTTATAGATATCGGCAAGGCGTTTCATATTCTGACAGCCTGCACCGTGAAAGATTTGTCATAGAATATGGTAGTGTGGCTAGGTACCATTAGCTCCAAAGATTCCGACGACCTTAAGGATCTAAGATGTGTGTCACTGAGGAAGACAAAATGTTCCTTTAAGTAAGGAGGGGTTATTGGATTGAATAAAATACTATAAAGTAGTGAAAATTTAGGGTTAATTCGCCACTGGTTCTCACGATTATTATGTCCCCGCCTCTTCCGTAACTATTAATGCAACGAGTTTTACATTTCAGGTCTTGGATGGTATAACTTGAGGTATTGCATGACATTGTTGCTGGTTCTCTTGTCATCTGTCATGGAAACAGTTGGGACAACGATTTTATTGCCAGCTGCCAAATGCGATTTAAATATATCTGACAAACAACGAGGGCTTGTTTTCTCCATTCCATATATAGGTACTATAAATAGTATATTTCATCTATATTTTAATACTTAAACAAAATGTATTGTTCCTTTGATGTAATGTATGTAACATTTAGAATGGTAAGGTTTTTAAGAAATAGAAGTATAGAATGCCAAAATGTTCAAATAGTACATAAAAAGCTAAATAATATGCCAAGTGTGTAATTTGACTGCTTAAGCTACTAAGTTATGCAACAACAGCAGTTTACAGTAAAAAATAATAGCCGAATTTTAGTTAAAAATTAAGAAGGAAGGATTTTTTTGATGATTATTATTATTTACATTTCTAACTTCTTTGATCAAGTTTCACACATACTTTTAACTGTCACTTTAACTCCTTAGAGGATGAGTTTTCAAAAATCCCTTCTTAGAACACACTACATTAAGGAACATTTACGCGAAATTTTATGTTTCTAAGTAGTGTTAGCTGTGCGTTGATCGATCAGTCAGCAAATCAGCCATTCACTTTATAATTTTATATAAGAGCCTGCTCACTAAGATGGTTTTCTTAGGAGCTTAGTGGAAGCAAACATCAGAAAATGACCAGCAGAACAGGACGATTTCCATTAGCTATGTAACATGTACTTTTTGTAAGAATGGCGCTTATTTCTAGGTATCTTTTTGACGTCTTACTTCTATGGCTACCTGGTAGACACCCAAGGACGTAGAAAGATGCTTATTTATACTTCATTGCTAACGGGATGCACCAATATTCTAGCGGCATTTATGCCAAATTTATTAACATTTTCCATCTGTAAATTCTTGACATCACTTTGGTAAGGATTTTATATATAGAGGTAATTTTTTTTGTCATTGTCTTTGTTATCTAGGTGCTTACCCAAAAACAAGTTTCATCATCATCAGAAAAAGTGATCAAGAGATAGTTTGTTTTCATCCAAAAAGCTAAGTTTAAATTTTTAAACTTAGCTTTTTGGATGTACATTTGTACTCGTACATGTCAACGCTACAAGGGCTATCTATAACGTACGATAAGTACGATTTAGATGCTCTGAATTCAAATCTAACGTTATTGTACTTTTAGGTTAGAATATTTCAAAACCCTGACGTGATAGAGCAATTCTGCGGCCGAATTTGGATTCAGCGCACCAAAATCCTTCGGGTTATAGGTACTCTGGTTCCTGGAAAAGAAACTTTGTCAAATTTTGTTGGCCTGTGATTATTATGAATGTAATTATATTTACAAATCAAATAAAATTAACATTAAATATTTTATTTCAATTTAGGCATCCGAATGCACTTTTGAATGCCAATCTGAGAAAAGACAATATTTGTTTTTTTTAATTAAAGCTTAAAATAACTCAAATAACTAAGCTATAACTTTTACCATAACAACAAAGCGGCGGTAGCCTAGTGGTTAAGGCGTGGGACTTCCGATCAAGAGGTCGCGTGTTCAAATCCTGACCAGTACGCTACCGACGTGAACCACTCCTAACACAAGCAATTTAGCTTAGCGGGAGGGGTTAACGGGAATGCTAGTTATTTCGGTTGCTAGTAGATCTTTCAATAAAATAAAATAAAACTTGATGTGTTACGGTAGAAAACTACTTTGGATATGGTACAAAGAGTATTTATTTTCCAGGAGACTTTATTTTATGAGACTTTATTTATGGTATGTCCTGGCGACTTTTTACCGCGATAACCGACGTACATCATGTCGGTTATGGCGGTAAAAAGTCACCAGGACTTACTTTTATCAAGAATCAAACTACCTCAATACCAAATTTCATCTGAATCGGTTCAGCGGTTATTGATTCCCTACAAACTTCTACCCCCATTTTCACCCCCTTAAATGATGATTTCGAGTAGGGACCCAATCTATCTCTATACCAAATTTCATCTAAATCGGTTTAGCGATTTTAGTGTGAAGAGGTTATAGACCGACAGACAGATTAGCATGGATAAATCATAAATGTCCATTTCTTGGGTTAACTTTACGAAATGCTAAACATGTTCATTTTTGCATTTAGAATGTCACTTTCAGTTTAAACATTTCGTAATAATCAGGCTAAGTACAATTTCCTTCGTTTTTATTTTAAAAGTACTTTCTTGGAAATCGTACTACGGTTTTGGCCTACTATACCACGCTGGCCAGACGGGTTGGTATAGAGTTTGTGTCAAGTTTTTCTACTCTTTGCAAAAAGTACTTTATTGGAGTAAAATTGGATCCCAATTATTTGAGAGCTCCAATAGCTTAGTTATTTGAGAGTTATTTTAGTTTTTACTAAAATACAAAAATATAAAACATAAACATACAAAATTTTGTATTTCTCTAAAAAAATTTAGGAAAATTAGTAAAACAAATTCAAACACATTCTGGATATAGCAGACTTGCGCTCGCGACATTTTCCTTTTCGAGGTGTGAACCATTTCGTCCTGCATCTTTTTTATGGGACTAATCTTTCCCACACACCTACCACTGTAACTCCTGCGCACCAGGATCATCAGCAGTGACCCACGAACACACCAAATTATGACACTCGGGAAGACTCAGGAAGAATTAAACTGGCTTGGAAGCCGCAACTAATTGATCAGACAAAATTTGGAGGAGTTTGAAATATAATAAATCCACTTCCCTCTTTAACAAAGTGTGAGACGAAAAGTAAAATAGGCAAATACTCGGCTGCTTTTAATATTATTATTATCTATTAATAAAAATGTTATTATCCACAGTATATCAGTACCATTTGCAATACCTTTCACATTCATCGGAGAGATTGTTCCGGCCCGATACAGAGATATGTTATTGTCCCTTGTTAACGCGTTGCAGACAGCAGGAGCAATATTAGCTTCCTGTAAGCATATATAGCTTTATAGGATATTAAATTAATTTTAGCGGAAAATCCAATCCTAGAAGTCCAGTCAGTATCAGATATATAAGAATACATAAAGTACACAAATCACTTTACAGTTAATTATTTGTCTATCCTGTACCTCTTTTAAGCAGTGTGAATGGTATGCCCTTTTCTGTACTCTGATAATCTGAATATATATTTCATAATGATATAAAATACAAACAGTAATTGAATTTGATTTATAAGACATTTGCGCTGCCTAATAGCGCTGACCTGGAAGCACCTGCCAGGGTCTCTTGCATTAGACGCGTTTCCGTTTGAACACCGTGTGGGTTCGGTTGGATTGCGAGATATCACGAGCTTATATCTTACCCATGACGTGCTGCGTGAAGTAAAAGGATGTTATTGTTATAGTTAAGATATAATATGCAAATAATATATAGACTGCACAGATGGCATAGTGGTATACGTGGCCACCTCGACGCTCCCTGCTGCACCGAGTGTTGTGGGACAATACTTTGTGTGATCCTGAAATTGTTGTTCTTAGTCTGCGTGTTCTTTGTGTCTGTTTCATGAATGTTTGTGAAGTCAGGATATATTCCCAGGGCGGGAATTGTCTTTTTAAGAGAAAAAGAAAGAATATGTTGACCTGTAGCACAGAAAACGTCGCTTAGCTCACAGTGTATTTTTTTTTAGTTATTAATGTGTTACTATAATTAATTTCAGTAATAGCATGGGCCATAATACCTTTGGACTTTCGGATAGACGTTGGTATATACACGTTTCGGCCATGGCGATTACTGGCTGTGATTTATTCCAGCTTCTTTATATTGACCTCCTGTTTATTAATATTTGGACCAGAAAGCCCGAAATTTTTACTCTCACAAGGAAAACCAGAGGCTGCTCTTAAAGTGTTGCAGATAATGTATGCTGCCAATAAACGTAAACAGCCTGAAGATTTTCCTGTAAGTACAAGTTTGATTTTAATTAATTAATTTCACGGTTATCCCGCCAAGCGCACGCAATTTGGAAACAGTTTAAATTAACTGTTGCATAGCCATTTAGTTGATAGCATCTGTTACACAAAATGTTAGGCACCGTAATAGTATGGTCATAATTTTTTTAAATTTTTAAGTTGACTTCAACAAATTACGGGTAGTGCTTCAAAGTCAAATAGATTTCGTACACCATTTTTATTTTTATTGTAGACCTCAATAGTATACTCTTAGAGGATAGAGATATGGTGAGCTATGTGCCTGGTAGTCAGTGTATTTTCTTATTTCTTAACAATTAAAGTAAATGAACGAATAAGATTTTAGAGTAACAATTGCATTATATTTCTGAAAGCTGAATCACCACTAGAAGCCTTCACCTTTCACAATAGCTTAAGCTTTCTAATTATAACGATAGTTACGTGTCAAATATGCGGTAGGAGTACAAAAACCTCCGACTAACTCTTTGAGGAACTGCTTATATGCTAACGTGATATTTATTATATTTAAAACTACATTTATTGCAGATGAAAAGTCTTCCTACTCCCCCAACACTTAAATATAAAAGTGTATTTGCATCAATGAAGGGACACACCATGACTTTGATGAAATGGCAATATTTCAAATATTTGCTACTTAATGGATCATTATTATTCGGTATTTTTTTCGTGTAAGCTGACATATTGAATCTATCTTAGAGTTATTCAGTGTACCTTAATTTTTACTGATGTATCTTCCTTTAATATATAGAAATAAAAGTATGTTTACTGTATTTTCATTAGTTCATAGATTCGTTCATTTATCTATCGGTTGCCGAGGTATATTCCAGAGGATAGAAAATTGTTCTTACGCATGCGAAGTCGCTATGCAAAGCGGTTGAATATTTTATTTTTAAATTTCAGATTAAATGGTATTAATATGTGGGTTTTTGAAGTTCTAAATAGAATTTTATCTAACGATAGTAACGATAAAATTGTCTGTGAAGTGATAATGGCCCATCCACAGGTACTTTATAAATAATAATATTTATAGACTTCGTTTTACTCTTATTTTTTGGTTAGTACTTATTATCCTTAGAATTAGGTGTTCATCCGCCACCGTCTTTAGGAATGGGGCGCAACACTTTCATTCAGTCCAAAGACCAAAGCAGAATTGAAGAGTATAAATAAATAAATATTTTAAAGTATACTCCTAAAGTTAAGACCATTAAAAAAACCGAGTTAGTTAAAAGCTAGGCTTTGATTTCAGTATTTTTATATCACTTTCTAATTCTTCTTGTGTTTTACGTAGGTCACTATAATATAAGTTTTGAGATGTTCGAAAATGGAACGCATCTGTCATTTATAATTAATATGCAAATTTATTTGAAAATCGAACATAAAAGAAAAAATATATAAAAAATAAAATAACAAAAAAAAAAACACCCACTCCTAATACAAGCAATTTAGCTTAGCTGGATGGGTTAACGGGAAGACTAGTAATTTCTTGATAGTAAGCCTATAAAAATTAAAAAAACTACATTCAAAGCAATAAAAAAATAGAAATATTATAGTTTTCTGCTTTTTCGTCTGCTACAATGGAGAATATATACGAGCTACGATATATTACGACTTTAATTGTAGTTTATCTGAAGGATTAAACTTAGAACGCTTAAAATCAGCTTTAGGTGAGTTTGCTCCTTTTCGGTCAACCAGTTTTAGATGGTTTTTGAAATTAAAAGAGGGAACTAGCTTTGAAGATGATGACAGAAGTCATCCGCCTGGAATGGTGCCGTGAGATGCGTCTACGTTGTAAAAATGGGAGGTCAAGACGAGTTTCTGAAATCATCACTGGTGACGAAACATGGATATATCAATATGATCCGGGCAGCAAGAATCATTCCTCGGTATGAGTGTTTTCTGATGGCCAGTTGCCAACCAAATTGTAAATTCTGGTTTTAGCGGATGGAAGTTTAGAAAAAATATGAAATAAATTGTAAGTATGTATCGTTTACTTTTTACGTGTCTCGAAATTTATATAGTGACCTACGTATCGTCTTCATCGTCATCAGAAATTATCAATCTTAAAACAAAACATATAAATACTTTACCCAACAATAATATCTAGGAAAAATAAAAAGGAGACCATCGAACTGTCAAATACTCTTTTTTATTAATATCATCTTCATAATGCTATTTGATGAACGGTATTTGGAAGACAAACAGCATGCTATTTTTCTTTCAATATCATTCTTTTTTTTATGAGTTTAAATCTTTTGTTTTCACGAGATCACACGAAAATATTTGTCAGTCGGAATACCCCTCTACGTTGTAACTGCTCTTCAAAAAACACGGTGTAGTTTTCTTGTCAATTTGGGTTTTAGCATGTGTTTGCAATAAGACTAGCAGCCCCAACAATTTTACAAGCATGCTTCATCTCAGTCCGCATTTAATTATTAAACGTATAGATAATTGCAAAATACTTAGTGTATATAATATATTTCAGCACAACGATGAAGGTTTATGCGATGACTCGATAGACATAGCAGCGTTCAAGATAAATACGATGGCACAACTATTCTGCTCAGTGATAGGCTTGGGAATTAGTTTAGCAGTCACTTTGATAGGCAAAAAATTACTGTTGCTCACTTGTTTTTACCTGATAGGAGCATTCTCTATAGTGCTCAATCATGTAACATGCGATGTGTTGACTGCTGCGCTTATATCGCTGTTCCCTTTATTAGCTTTAGCCATTGGACCTGTAAATGCATATGCACTTCAAATATTTCCAACCCACATAAGGTGAGACTTTTAAGAGATTTTCAAAATGTCATGAGCGCCTGACTTAAAGTAAATACTTTTTTTTTGTAAGTTACTATACGTTTTATAAAATATTTATTTTTCAACCAGTATTCACACACGACACGTCTGAATGTGTATATTTTGAAGGATCTATGATGTATAGATTAATAAATAATAATTGTTTTCTCACGTTTCGCTTTATTTTTATTAACTATAAAAGCGTATAAGGTACACATTTTTCACGAAATTATTTCTTCTGCTGTCCTGCATAAGCACCATTAATATCCTTACGTGTACTACTATGCCTTTATGTGAGAGATAAAAAAAAAGAGAAAAGAATATTAATTATTTTTAATATATCGTAGATCCTTTAAAGATAGTGAAAATGTGTAAAATTATAGGCTACAACACTCTTTTTAAAATGTTCAGTAAAACGTGTAGTTATTTAAAAAAAATATTGTTTCCTTTTCGTCAGGCGTTCAAAGAGAAAGCGAACTTCTTTATAAAAAGAAACTAGTAAAATATTAAAGCACAAGTTTTGCTCTTGTATTTAAAATGATAAAATATGTTTTTGTTTTATTAAATTTAATGTGTGTAATCTCTAAACAACATTGCCCGTCAAATAAAACATTTCTCTCTTTCTATCTTTTAAAAGACAACTCCCGCACTAGGAATACATATATCCTGTAGGGCTCTGGACTTCACAAACACACATGAAATGGACACAAAGAACACCCAGACTCAGAATAACAATTTGTAGATTACACAAAGTGTTGTCCAGTGTGCGGATCAAACCCACAACACTCAGCACAATAGGAAGCGGCGAGTTGACCGCGTAAACATCTACGCCATCGCACGCATGGCGTAGTGGTTTAAGTCGTATAAAAATATGTATAAAATTATATATGTATACAAATTATATCGATATCTAAATACTAAACAACTTTCAGAGGCATGGCAGTATGTGTGTGTATGATGGTCGGTCGATTGGGTTCTATAAGCGGTTCCGCTTTAACCGGATGCCTAATCAACGTCGTCTGTACTACCATGTTTTATGGGAATTCACTGCTACTAATAGGTAAGGAAGAATTATGACTCTTATAAGCTTATCTCGATTTCTCTTAATTGATTATGTTACTGTGACTGTTATATAAACTCACTTACTTGATTTTTCATTTTTTTTAGTTGAGTGTTTTATGTATGATTGTTGAATGTTAAAATATAATTGCTAATTCATTATAATAATATGTTACCACTTTAATTTAATACATAGATACATTTAAGTTACAATTATTATTATTATTATTTATTTTTTTATTTCAAGTCAGATCATATAACCCGCCCCGCGTCGCTCCCGGTGCAAAGATGCCCATGATACTGGCAGCATTGCCTCGCTGAATTGCAACGGACATTCTTTGCACCAGAAACGAGCCGGAGCGGGAGTCACCACTTTTAACCCTAACTCGGCGACCAATCTCCGCAATTAACTTTTTAGCTTCCGACCCCCAACTGCCCAAAGTCTCCACCGCAATAGGCACAAAATAATAGTGCGTCTCCATTGCGGCGTATTTTGATCGCTTCCTACTAGCGGCATCCTCCGCCGCCGCCGCCGGGGCTTGGACGGTGCGACTCAGATGTGAGGCCGCGACTGTGCTAACGCATGTAGCGTCCCATACCAAGCACTTGCCGTTTTTCCACGGCACCAAAGTCAAGCCATCCGGCCGCTTCCCGTCAGATCTGCTAAGACCCGATGGCTCCAGCACGCAGGGTACATTGACGGATATAAGAGCCATTCGGACTATGTCATTTAGGGCATGGTGTCGCGAAAATCTACCTGCGCAGCGACGACAACTCAGTGCGTGAAGACCATCGGCCCCCACCATGGCACCGCAGGTGCATCTATGTGGTTCGCACACCCTGCAGCCCAGGCGGAGAGCCACTGCCACACGCAAAGAGTCGCCGTCCAGCAAGGTACCCAAGTGAGGCGATGGGAGTGCATGTAACCATGCCCCTGACTCTGACTGCGATACGGCCCTCAGTCTTGCCAGATCGGTACCCCTAGCGGTATCCAACATTTGTTTAAGGAGTCCCTTAGCTCCAATGTCAACCCATGCTCGCTGGACGTGTAGGGTTACTGGAAATGGCTCACCTGCGTTGACGCCATGACCATGCCGATACCGCCTCGGACACATAAGGTATGCTCGCCCTATCACCATTTGGAGAAAGTGTGACAGCGACAAGGTCCGCAACCCCATGCGCCGACGCTAGGAAGGCTGGCAAGCCAACATTCAGCACACGCCGTAATCCGAGACCCCCATATCTTATTGGCAGAGCTGCCTGGATCCACTGGTGCTCATCAAGGGAGACGTTAAGGATCGACTCATTGTTGAATTGTGTTTATGGGGTACAATTTATGGTTTTGCCACCGACACCCGATTGAAATTTTTTCCTATTAAAAATACACACAAAATAATCTTTTTTTTTATTTTTCAGCTTGTGGTTCGCTTACATTTTTCCATAAAAAATAATCTGTATTATGGAATTATGAATATTGATCTGTCTTGTCGACATCGTTGATGTTTGAAGCTTGATCTATCTTAAAAAAAAAAAACAAAAAAAGCATTGCACAAAATAAAAAGACTTAAATGTAAATATAAATTTGTTTTATTGCTACTATAATACTACCAGAGGAGAGATAAGTAATACTACAAAACAGCTCGTTTTATTTCTAGGACAGGACAAGAGCACTGCAAAGAGAATAGTGGGGGAGCCCATGATGCTAAATGTGGATTTACTCGAGCGTCATGGGGATCTATTACATTTAAAGGTTATGTAATAGAATGAATAAAAGAATAAAAGTGATATAATGTATCCATTTACAGCTGTGGGAAAAGCTTCTAGAGGTTGTCAAAAATGAAAGGGGAAGAAATCGAAAAAATATATATTCGGGCGCATCAGATATTTTGTGCTTATGTTATTTGGACGCCCAAAATGTTCCCATTGAAAGGTCTGACGCTTTTAAAGTGACCCAATACTAATAGCCGGGGAACCAGGTATACCCTAGAAAGGAAGTCCCTTGTGCCCCGACATACCTCGGGCCATCTACAGACGAGTAGGCGACCCCCCCCCCCCGTGTGTGAACCCCATGTTCCCTCTGCTCCCTGGAAGTGAGCGCGCTTCGCAACTCCGGCCTGCTTCTGCTAGGGTGACAGATGGCCTCACCTGTTACCCCCAGGCCTGCGTTTATGGAGGACGGAGGTCGTTCTGCAACCTCCGGCGCCTGAGTCGCCTGCGTCGCTTTGATGTCGCCGACATTGCGACGCTTTCGGGTACAGTTCAGCGACTCATGTTAACAATGGTGTTCTAATTCGGCAATTATTTTATTGTATTTATTTTGTTCTCAATTGGCATTTCTGTATTATCGTACTTTTTTTTTAAATTTTAACCGATGTATTGAACCGTGTTATCTGTTATTTCATTTTTACACGCTTTGTATTAGCTTCACTTGTATGTTTGTAACCGACTCGTGTGGGCGTGATTTAGACTGACTTTAAACGGTCAGAATTCGTTCAAACTTTGTAGATATATCGAGAATCGACGACAATACACTAATTTAAAAAATAAAAATAATTAAAAAGAAAAGAATAATAATTAAAAGAAAGCGTGTTTTCTAGTTTTTAAAAACTATAATTTTTTGTGAACACTCGGCACACTCGTTTTGTAATTTACATTCAGCTTATATATTTAATTATTTTATCATAACATAATGCAATCTATATCTAATCATTGATTTATATCAATGAGAAAGATAAAATATTTTGATTCTTACCACGTGCTTATTTATATCTTTTACAAAATATATGATATTTGAACTAACGAACGAATATATACATAAATATAATATTGTGTTACGCAATTTAAAACTCATTAACGAGATTTCAAATAAACCTAATTATGATAATTCATTAATTTTTTATAATATAGATAATTTTCTTATTTTGAAGAAAATTTCCCACTACTTCAATGCTTATATACAGGGCTGCCGCTAGCGGTTTGAGCGCCCCGGTGCAATGTTGATGAAGCCGCCTGGACAACCGGTCACCCCACCGGTTGTCCAGATTATGAATTTTATTCATATGTTTGGCTGTCATAATCTTGTCACCTATGTAGCTCTCTGGATGCGGTGGCATGATAATCCGTAAAATGAAACCGCATGCTACAACGTGGTGCGGTATAATTGTATAGAAATAATATGATTTCTAAACTCATTGTAATAAGGAGAAAAAACTTGATCAGAAATAAAATCCTTTACCAAGCCGCATGTGACGATGCCTGCTTTGACATGCTTCTTTATACTAAAGCATCTTTTATGATGCCGAAGGACTCCTTGTCTTGCCGTGCCTTGCGACAACGTCAGTCAGCGCCAGCCTTAAAACCGCACGTTGCGCAGTCTCGAGTAGTAACCGGGGAGCCAGAAGGCATCAGACCTCCTAGTCCCACTTCGCCCTCTTCTTCGCGTGCAGAATTTGCTCGCAGAAGTAGTTAGCGGAGTTCGACACCAGGCTTTCTGCCAGCGTCTGAAGTGTCATGTCCACGCTCTGGTGGCACCCAGATGTTGGTTCTTTGCGGATCAGACATAGGTCATCTCCAAATCATCCTTTGCGTCAGCCGGTATCAAAGGGTCCCGTGTTTCCTCTTGAGATTATCATTCACAACTGGTCTTACCGCCAGAATAACGTCGAGCCGCCTCATAATTTCCCGAACGTTAAACTGCCGCCGGTATGAAATATTTGGAAATCCCGCGCCCGCGTCTTGAGTGATTCAAAGTATACATCATCAATCATCATAAGTATGTATGTAAATTATACATACGTTTAAAATAGTAATTCGAAGCTTATAAACGTTTGCATTTATTTTCGTACACCGATCAATAGATGTTACTATAATGACATAATAAAAACATATTAGACTTGCAAATTATGGAAATGTTTCATTTTAGTTTCAATTTCTGTTTTTGCCCTGGAGGCGCTCTTAAAAATGCCACCCGTATGCGGTGCACACTTTTGCACACCCGTGCCCGTACCGGCGGCCTTGTATGAATGCTTGAAATATTCGCAGAGAAGAAAGAGTATAACATAACAGTGAGTCCAAATATGGTTGGCATAATTCCAGCACGTTATAACAACCCTACAAAACAACTTTTAATAAACTTAAAAGTCTGCTCGCTTCCATAAAAAATAATAATTGTGAACAATTAACACAACACTTTGTAAACAATTACAACTTAATAATTAACACTATATAAAACTACACAGAGACGAACTGTTCCTGTCTCTCGCAATTTACATTGCTAGAACGTCCCCAGCGAAAATATATTTATATTTTAGAAACCAAGAGTGAGGATTAATAAAAAAAACGAATTGGAGGTAGGCTAACCTCAATCCTTTAATTATCTCATTACAATAAAAAAAAGAAACTAAACAAAAACAAACAAATCACATCAACCGAGTATATTAATTAGAAATAAGATTACAGGTAATTCACTAAACACATAACAGATCAACAATAAATCAATAACGAAATAGATTAAACAAGTAAATAATCGACAAAATATGGCAGACCTATGCGTCACGAACTCACGACCTATCACGACACGACCTTACCAAAGCGCTGTCCAAACACCAAGCGAGCGAACATACGCGGGTACCGTGTTTTTATAGGTTCGCACTGCATAGTGTATTCGTAGAGTGGGGTACATCTAATATATACATATATTTTAATAGTAACATTATAAATTGTAATAATTTTTATCATACCGTTTATTCCGAAATGGTCCCATTTAAATTTGCGATGATAAGTTTCGGAGATAGTCAACGGACCGTTTATCGTCAAAAAATGATAGCAAATGAACCGCGATTTTAGTAATCTTTGTTAGCTGAACTTGAAGTCAATTCAATCTTTTTTAATAAAGGATTTTTAATTATTTATTTACTTATAGGAAACAGCTCAGTTTTTTTACATTTAACATTCATAATTTACATTAAATAAAATTCCCAGCTATATAAAACTAGAAACTAAAATAAAGAATCTTATAGCATTGCAATAAAAATAATAACCATCATTATTATCACTGACAGGGCTATTGTTGCCAATAAACCTGATATAGTGGCAATGGAAGGATTTATCTTTGGATGAAGTTGTTAAGATGGATAATTATTGGAGGTATATGCTGAAGCACGGCACAATGGACATTTGTCGGGCATGTCATTGTCCCGGGGAAAGCCTCAGATATATAATTTCTGGTTGTTCTGTTCTTAAAAATGGTCATGCAACGTGTTCAGAGGCTTGCGTTAGGCATCTGGATTAAGGGCCTGATGCAGAAAGCAGTTCTTCTCGTACGGCACGTATTGTGAGGAGATGGTTTCTGTCTCTGGAGGCTACACTTTTTAATAAAAAAAAAATTGTATTAATCATAAATGTATTTCAAATGTAATTTATTATAAATAAACTATTTATACGAAGTAGTACGCCTGAGGTAGTAAAACTGTGATTACATCGACGACGTCTCCTATCATACAATAAGATTAAACAAAATGTTGATGTGGTATTAATTCTTATACAGTACAGATACGATGTTAGCTTAATTAGTAAATAAAAAAGTGGTTTATTATGAATTTTGGAATTAAGACAATTAAAAAATTGAATGATTGATAAAGAAAAGGCATACAGCACAATGTATGTGTAGTGGATTGTGTGTGAGTGTGTGTGTGATTAGTTATTATATATATTATCTTTTTGATCGAATGGGGAAGGATGTGTGTGGATGAGTATGTCAAAAGAGAAAGTGTGTCTTAGGATTATTATCATACCTGATGCGCATAAGTTTTACCTGATAGCCTTATTCTTTAGTGGAATAAAACGCTCCACTCCAATTTGTATCCTTTTATAAAAAGCATCAACCGCATTATTGACTGACTCCGCTACTAAAACTTCATCCCAGTCTATTTTGTTAAAATATTAATTGAGTTGAACGTAATCTGCCCTGTGATAGTTGGGACGCGGTGTGTGTACATCCACTAGAGGCGTTGGGAACAAGTCAAAAGCGGTTAGTATTAGAGAAAGATGATAAGGCCCTTCGCGGAGCAAGGGATCATAGCTCCTGTTAACAAAAAGAGGTGTGGTTATTTGTGGTTTTCCGCTTAAAACCAGACAGGTGATGTGGAGATATTGTGTTTTATTTATTTTATTATGAAGATACCGAGATAGCAAAGTATTATGAGGCAAGGATATGCGGAATTGTTGTGTTTGCCCAACAACGTTTATATTTCTTTATCTTACAATAAATTAGGATTATGCCGCATTCTTCACGTTTTTTACCACGTCCTTTATGTGTAAAACGTGTTTAACAAAAGTTTGCCTGATAATTAACAAGCCACATCTAAACATATAAAAATGTTAATTTGGTTTGCGTACGCAATTTTATTATGCACGCAAAATTTGGTTTCAACAACTCAAAAAATTCATTACCTATTGAGCTCAAATTATACAACCAGTTTCAAAGATTGTTTTTATCTAGTATATCGCGTGAGTTTTGTTCCTTAGTTTTGATAAATTCAACCAAAATGTCTCACAGCAAATCGTCTCAGGATATAGCAGATGTTTATATTATTGGACTGTAGAATATCGAAAAGGTAAATCGGCAGCCAGCAGTCTTTAGTGCAACTTAAGTGTGGTTTTCAAAATCGGCACCTCTCCTAAAATAAATTCATGCTATAATGAATTATTTTAATTATTGTGTTATTAGTTGTTTGACGCAGGTTCTTAAAGGTAGTAACTAAAGTTTGTATGACACCAAAGTACTTAGGTACTTAATTGATCCTTTGTATAACAATATAGGTAAAATTAACAAGATGATTATTGAAAAAAAAAGCAATTGCCCGACTGAGTGTAAATGTATACTTGAAATTACAATCCGGCTAGTTAAAATCGGTTATTTTAAATTTTTACATGTCATGTCACTCATAATTAAGACCAATCTAACGACACCTCAAATGAGTTTAGATTTGAGTATTAAGTAAACATGATCCTGATTTTTTAAAGAAGGTAAACATATTACTATTACGGGCTAGAAGTGACTTGCACATTAAACATATTTATTTAATTTGATAACTCTTAGACACAAAGCACAAAGTTAGAGAACGCTGCCAAGTAGAGATGAAACATAAAACTATGTACATGATTTTTATATTTCGTGTCCAAAGTTACCATTTTATTTCTGTGCGAAACTCTTCTCGGATACGACCCGCCGGTGGGTGATTATGTCGGACTCGAACCGACCAAAAACTGCACAACGTCTCCAGGTACCAGTAGCCGGGAAACCAGGTATACCCTAGAAAGGAAAGCCCTGGTACCCCGACGTACCTCGGGCCATCTACGGCTTATAGATGACGTAATTTGTTGTAGCTGTTAGTTTATATTATGTCATTTAATAAGTAAATAAACAGTAAAGATATACAGTAATATCGTAATCTACAAGATATAACCTGTTATGCATGCCATTGTTATCAAGTCAACATAATACTCTGGTTAAAGTGTATACATATTTAGAAATGATAACATTTTCTTGTGAAAAGTTAGTGTTTTCAAAATCTTAAACAAAAAGTGACTTAATTAAAAGACCTTTTTTATTTAGAATGTTATAGAAAGTTGGTGTCAAATCTTAGGAACGTTATACAGAGTATTACAGAGCCAATAAATAGGTAATTTTGATGAATAAAATGAATATTGAAAAAAATATTCTTCTGAAAATGCTTATTCTAGTTTAGGTATGCAAATTTTTAAACGGTATATTATCTGACTATCAGGACTTTTTAACAGAAATCTAGACATTATCAACATCATTTATTTTAAATACCTTATCTAAAGGCCTTATCTAATAATACTTTATCTTAATATAATTTTTTTGAGTCAGTATAGCGAGACATAACGAAATGAAAACATAATCATGAGTAGTACGCCGTTGTTTAGATATCTTTAATTTAAAAAAGTTTTTTAAGAACTAAAAATAAATGATTCAAATTTATTAAAATGGGAGACAGAAATAAAGTTGCCGAAGATGACGTCGACGTTAAAAAAAATTACTCTGCTAGCCTCGATGAAGCGCTTACAGAAGCAGGTAAGATAATATCTCTGGACTCAAAATATAAAAGTGTATTTCATTAAACTGAAATAAGTGACTTAGTAAGGTAACACTTTAAAAGATTTTGGTACCAATATAATTTTGGTGTCTGTGGTTTTACTTTGTTGAACATTTTCATAAATTGTTCCCTATAAATATTTATTAATATTAAGTCGTTAGCACTGAAATTTGTAATTTTGCTACGTCCTTCTAGTAATTTAGTTCAACATTTGTATACCACCTACTGTTTTCTACTATTTTGACCTAACAAATAGGACTTCACCTTAAACAGATCATGATTATATTTTTCTAAAGTATCTGCATAAACTTAGAAACTAAACTAAGAAACTTAGAAACTAATGAGATTAAATATTATTAGTCAAGTAAGCGTTTAATCCCAGGTAACTTATATCCATTATAATCATAATTGTTATTCTACGTATATTTACACAATACGCGCTCAACCCTCACTTCACTTCTATTTGTACGGAAGATGTTCTTTGTATGAAATACCAATTTATTCTGCTCCTCGTGCGATAAATAATTGATACTTATATGCTAAAAGGATTACATGTTACGCTTATATTTCTTATATCTATCTCAATACTACACAGTACAGGTAAATTAGCTTGGAGAAATTTTTGCGTTTGTAGTAGTGGCACCTGCGGATAGCGTAAACTGGTTTATTCTGGTTTTGTGCGTGTTTCCACTTTCCACTACCAAGAGACGATTTTTTGCTTTAGATTGAAATATTTCGTAGCGCTAACCTCTGAACCAAAAGTTCGCAGTTACATCATGGGTACTAAGAAGGTCAATACTACTAGACGGGACAACATTTATGGATTCTTCTTAAAACGAATACCACAAAATTTTAGTACCACCCTTAACCTACATTATTAATCTTATGTTTAGTACTGGTGTATTTTCCAAGGAATTTAAGCTTGCTGAAGTAATCTCTATCTACAAAAGTATAGAAAGAGCCTGTGTCAATAACTATAGGCCCATTTCGATTCTCCCCACAATTTCTAAATTTGTAGAGAAATTTTTAAATAAACGTTTAACTGATTACCTCCAGACTATTTTGTTTAATCAACATCCCAATTTAGCTTCAGAGCGGGTACGTCAACTAATGATGCTATTCACGAATTAATGAACCATATTGTGCACAAATTAGATAAAAGAAAAAAGTAATTACTATATTGTTTCCTGCTTTTGACACGATCTCTGTCCCATTAGACTGTCTGTCTGTCTGACTGACAGTCCGTCCTATTAGACAAGCTGGAAAAATTTGGTATTCGATGCATACAAAATAATTTGTTTGCTGATTATCTTACCGACAATACCAAAGGGTGAGAGTTAGTGATGTCGCTAGCGATGACGTACCTATGGAGTTCGGTGTGACGCAGGGCAGTGTACTTGGTCCAACGCTCATTCCCACCTACATCAATGACCTTTGTAATCTCAAACTTCTTAACGGCAAAATCAATAAAAAAAAAATAAGTTTGACAATTAATAAAAAAAAAGTAAAAAAAGAGGTACAAGTTTTTTAATTTATAAGCACCATAATTCTTAAAAGTCAAAGAAATAATTCAAAACACACTGATTAACTCCAGTTAGTGTGAAGATTAAATGAAGGCCACACGTAAAAACAAAGACTAACGACGATACGACTTTCAAGTCTTCAATAAAAAAGCGCACTCCTCCATATTCCACCAAAGACCTGGCAACTCACTTGTGACTCGCGAGTTACAGGTATCATTGGGTAGTTACTTAACCATATGTGACCCATCTGCTGAAAAATTAAAGAGCGTATTTAGTTGCGAATGACATCGTGAAAGTTTTATAAAAACTCATATTTCTTTTTAAATGTTTTTTGCATTTTTCTGCAAACTTTAGGGAGGTTATACATTTAAGACTAGATAGTATTCAAAACTCGAAAAATTATCTATCCACTACTTTTTTTTTAATAGACGCCTATTTTAAAAAAAGGAGTGGTGTACGTCTATCTAGTCTACTATCTAGTCAGCAGTTAGATGTTTTACAAAGAACCAAAATTGACTGACTTTTTTCTCAAATTCGTTACAGGTTTTGGATGGGTCAACCTAAAATATTGTTTTGGCTTGGGTTTGTGCGTGATCGCACCAATTTTAGAATCAGCGGGATATGGGTTTGTGATGCCGGCTGCAGTTTGCGACTTAAATATATCAGATACTCAGAGAGGCCTCATCTATTCTATACCACCTGTAGGTGAGTATTTCAAAGTAATAATAAGAATGATAATGACTTGACCTTTATTCTTTCATGTGGTTATCTATTCCCAAACTAATTCTGTTCGCATACTTATAATACCACTGAATGCATAGTTATTACAGATAAACTAAACCCAGATACAGAACAAATGACTGTGCTTATTACGCTGTATCCGGCTCGATCAAAGTGATGCCACGACGTCACAGAAAACTGATTGAGTAAGATTACCGGTTGGCTAAGCCTCACCCATTCTGATCCTGTGGGATAGAGGCACTCGAAGAGCAGCTACATACTTTGAGCCTCTAGACTTGCAGGTGTCCAAAGGCGGCGGTAGTCTTTTATCAGCAGATGACCCATCTGTTTGCCACCTATACCAAAAAAAACATTAATTCGTATTTTTGCAGGTATTGTTTTAATGTTATTCCAGTGGGGATACTTGGTAGACACTAAAGGCAGGAAGAAGGTCATCACATGTAGCTGTTTGGGTGCTGGAATATTTAGCACAGCGTCTGCATTTATGCCGGATCTAATAAGCTTTGCGATTTGCAAATTTGTGACTGCACTGTGGTAAGTTTCTAAAACATAAAATTAACAAACAACTTATCAAACGTTGAAGTTAACCATATCAGAGAAATACATTAAAATTAAACAGTATAGATGTTTTTCTAATTGAGCTCCCTCTTGGTTTCAATTTCTAACGTGGAAAATAATAACAACGACAACCAACCTTTCAGATAAATATTCACATCTGTTTTACAGGTGTATTGTTTTGTTAATAACTTACAATGCTTAATCATAAATAAAACGCACATTATTTCACAGCATGGGTTGCGCTTTAATTGTGCCAATTTCATATGTTGCTGAAATTCTACCAAAGGAGTACAGAGACCTGGCAGTGACCGTTTTCACTACCATACAATTATTGGGGTCAGGATTTGTGCCACGTAAGTTCCTATAATATACAACTACAACTGCTATTAAAAATCATACTTTAATATATATAAGCAGTTACTTTGCGATGCATTGTTTCATGGATTGGACTTAAGCAAGTTAAGAAAATATTTTTGTTTTATGTCATCTTAACATTTGCCTCAGAGGTAACTAAAACTCTCTTTGTTTCATAATTTTTTTAAAATTGTTTGAAATCTTCTTTTATGTAGACTAAAGTCATAGATCAGAAATAGTAAGCAAAATACATACCTTTACAAAATATATGATATGCCTGTGCCGATTTACAACCGCACGTTTCTAAGGGGTTGAAGCATATAAGAAGAAAGGGCAAACAAACTCATGGCCACCCTTTTGCAATTTACAGATAGATACTATGGTATCATTAAATTTACAGCAACATTGTTTTGATGTGTACCAGTATGTCCGTTATTAAGGACTAAAAGGTAAAAAGATAATGAAGAGAAAACAAGATTAATAAAGTAAAAAAAAACGAATAAACGAGAAAATGAAGTAAAACATAAAAAGTAAAAAAAAAAGAAAAACACACTAGCCCACACCACATTTTTACTTAAGAAATAGCCTGTGGATTACATAGAAGACAAAAATCTTTTATCTTCTATGTAATCTAAATAATTTACGTTTTATTGCGGATTTAAATTTGTTAATACTTAAATCTTGAATATTATTTGGGATTATATTATAAAATCAGACAAATTACCCTTAATAAGTTCTCAAAACATAGGACAAATTTGAAGGACGCTGAAGTTAATAGCTAACATGAGCGCCGTTTTTAATTTATTTCATGTAATTTATTTTCAGTTCTCGCGTGGGGAATACTAAGTTTGGACTTCAGTGTAGACTTCGGAGCATATTTTTTCCGTCCTTGGCGTCTTCTTGTTATTGTTTACGCTATGTTTTTCTTGATAGCATCCGTCTTTTTGTTTTTTGTCCCTGAAAGTCCTAAATATTTAGTGGCCGTAGGAAGAAATGACGAGGCACTTAATGTTGTGCGAGGTATTTACATAAAGAATAAGAAAAAACGGCCTGAAGACTTTCCGGTGAGTTGTTCGACTGAAATCTTTTACTATTTTATACTGTGCATGCCTTTATTTTATTTTAAAGATCTTAATGAGAATCCTTAGTGGGTAAATGAGAACAGTATTTATTTCACAACAAAAGGCTATTAGGAATCAAAACCTGCATTGCATTGTTAAAAAAAAATGTTATTAGGAATCCCCAAAAAATAAAGTTACGTTTTTAAACCCATACCATAATTTTCATAAAGTCATAATTGAAACTAATGTAAATAAAGTTTCAAGCATTTACAACCATGGCAACCCGTGCAAATTCGCATCGAAACATTAGCACGAAAGCAACAGCGCGTCATTATAGTTTGTCAAAGATAATGACCTCGTACACAATACTTTACAGTAAGAGAAGAGACAATAAACTTTATCTTAGATTAAGTTTCTTTTTTATTTCAGATTAAAGATCTTGATGAGAATTATGACAGTAAAAAAGAAAGCTTCCTTACATCTTTAAAAGTACAGAGCTTACCATTGTTGAAGCCTCCTTATTTAAAATGGTTGCTGCTTAATGCATTCCTGCTCTTTGGTGCATATTCAGTGTAAGTATTTTAGTTTTTAAATAATAATAAATATTCACTGTGACACACGGTGACAATTTAGTATAAGTATAACTAAATTGTCACCAAGCATTGACGTAAGCAAATTAACGTTTTAGATAATAATAAGTATCGCGTCGGTTTTAAAATATTTATAAAAGTTGTAAAAATTATATGAATTGTAAAATCGAGATGTTTTTACAAGAAGAAAAACACTTTTGCGGGGTATTTTTTTTTGATAAATTTTCTAGAAATGAAACATAGCTGGACCGATTAATCGCACCCGAAACCCTTCCCTTTTTTTTTTCCGTGCGGAAATCCCCTCGGATACCACCTATCGGTGGCATGTCGGACTCGAACCGACTAAAACCGCACGCCGTCCCGGGTACTAATAGCCGGGGAACCAGGTATACCCTAGAAAGGAAGTCCCTGGTGCCCCGACATACCTCGGGCCATCTACAACAACAGTTAGACGACCCCGCCCGTGTGGGAACCCCATGTTCCCTCTGCTCCCTGGAAGCAAGCGCGCTTCGCAACGCGCTTGCCGCCACCCCGGCCTGCTTCTGCTAGGGTGACAGATGGCCTTACCTGTCACCCCCAGGCCTGCGCTTATGGAGGACGGAGGTCGTTCTGCGACCTCCGGCGCCCGAGTCGCCTGCGGTACCTGGCCGATCCCGGGCCTGGTGGGCCGGGAGAGTCCTAAACCTCTCCCGGTCCCGCTCCGCCGTCTCCTTCGCGAGCATAACTTGCTCGCAGAAGGAGACGGCAGAGTTCCACGCACTCTCGCTCCGCACGATAGCCGCAATCAGGCTATCGAGCGAGAGAACTCCCACTCCGATGGCCGCCACGAGGTCTCGCCTCTGCTCAACCCACGCCGGGCACTCTGCCAGCGTGTGGAGAGCCGTGTCCACGGTCTGGCCATCGCAGTGGTGGCACTCAGGCGTTGGCTCCTTGCGGATCAGACACAGGTGATCCCCGAAACATCCTTTCCCAGTGATCACCTGAAACCCCCTGCATACTAAATTTCATGAAAATCGTTAAAGCCGTTGCCGAGGTTCTGATTATATATGTACAAGAATTGCTCTTTAAAGGTATTAGATTTTATGAAGAGTTGGCACTTAGTGTAAAGGTGATTTTACATCGGCGAGGCGAGGCGATGATGGACCGAGCGAGAATTGAAATATTTGTCAGTGCAACATTGAATAGTGCAATATTGAACTTTATTGTATTTGGAATAGAGTATTTTTTTACTTTGTAAAAGAGATATATAACAGATAGACTTCTTGAGCTTACTTGATTCTTTACAAAAATGGGAGACACCATGATTAAAATATAAAACATTTTCAAACTTTATCAGTCATTTTAGTATGTATATTGTTTAATTTTTAGTAATACTTTTCAATTTGTTTCAGGTTAAGTGGTCTCTATTCGTGGATACCTGATATATTGAACCGACTATTGATAGACGATGGCGAAGGTCAAACCGCATGTGATGCTTTCCAGTCCATTAGTCAGGTACCAATACAATGTGCAAATTAAAAATTAGGTTTAATGTTGAAATAGAACACGCTACCATCACTATTACATAATCTACAATCCGTATAAAATCGCTTTTACTTAAAAATAATATAGTTAAAGCATAAATTTGGAGCAGAAATTATACTTAACCAAAAATTCAAGTTAACAATTTAGAAAATGGACGAGAAAAGGGAAGCTTAAGGCTCACTTCGTGTCGTGAATTAGTCCACTGAAACTAATCTTTAAACTCTACCACGGTGCGCAATTCATGAAACATTTTTCCCTGTAACACTCATTCCTTGGAACAAATTGTCGACTGCGATATTTTAGGCCCAATACGACCTTCGAGAAAAGAGCATGTTCCCACTTAAACACTGTAGGCGTTCATGGGCGGCGCTAGTCACTTTCTATTAGGTGACCTGCTCATTGCCCCCTGTATAACAAAAAAATAATTTTCAGAAATAAATCGTCATAAAATTTTGCAGTTGCCAGGAATACATACAGAAAAGCACAAGAATATCCTTTTATCTAGAAAACATATACTAATCCCATTTTTATTAATAACAATAATTAAATTACTAAAATTAATTTGGTAACGTTTATATTGTTCAATTTGTTGCAGGCAGTTGATGATGACGGTGGCGATGTATGCAACGACACTATAGACCGAACAACTTTTATAATAAGTACAATAGCTAGTTTTAGTAGTTTTGTACTCGCCAGTTTAATCGGTAGTACGGTCAAGTTTATTAATAAGAAGATAGTACTAATATTAGTGCTCATAGGCGTCGGCACCATTTGCATAGTTATCACATTAATAACTGAGGTTATACCGTTTGCGGTGATGCTGCCCTTTATTCAAGGAATAAATGTAGTCGTTGGACTCGTTACAGCTTTTTCAGTGGACATATTTCCAGTAAATTTGAGGTATGTTGAGTTACTAGAAATAATCTATACCTATACACTTTTTGGTAGACGTTTGCTATATTTATTAAATATGAAAAAAATGTGAGCGTCGACGCGCCAATTGAAGTCTTGTCACACATTTATAGGTCTCGCTCCCATCCCTTAACGCCCGATAAGGAACGTCGTTCCAATAAGTTTATTGAAACGAAATGCCACGTTACACTCTCGGATATGAGCGAGACCGAAAAATGTGTAACAAAACTTTTTTCGGACACTTCGTTCCAACCGGGGGTCCATAGACCCCTCACACCTTTTTTTGTCTGTGTGAATCGTATAAAAAATATGTCAGAAAAAAATCTCATAACACTTTGCCTACAAAAAAGTGACTTAACCTAAGCCTTTCGTATTTCTGAATAAATCACTACAGCTATTGTATTGGCTGCCTGTTATTTGATTATTTTTTTAATTTCAGGGGTATGGCGGTTTGTTTGACAATGGTGGGTTCTGGATTGGGCACGGTCTTTGGGGCTAACATATCAGCTTTGCTTCTAAATACAGCCTGCAATGTTACATTTTATTTGCTTGGAGGTTTACTTATTTGTAAGTATTTATTGATAAGCTGTCCATCCGTGCCTGACATAAATTCAAATACGTACATGAAGTTTATCCTTTTTTTTCAGTTTGTGGGTTTCTTGCCTTATTACTTCCTAAGTCTTAACAAGATGTCAAGACTTAATCAGTCTAATCAGTTAAAATTAAGCTAAATTATAAAATATTATTCAACAATCAGTGACCGGGACAACTGTAACAATTAAGCCATTAAAATACTTTTAAAAGGGAACCTCTGTCTTGAGTTTCTGTCTAAAAGAAATGAGATACCTGCTGGCGAGTTATTTGTCAATCCTAAAAATGACATCTTCACCGATGGAATAAAACGATGAAGAACATGATAGTAAATTGAGGAATTTATCTCTTCAAGTATTATTGTAAATATTGTTATAATATAATAAAAATGAAATTTTGATAACAAAAGTTTTTTTTTTAAATTTAGAATAATTATTATAGGTTATTTATTCGGTTTATTCCGTTATAATTGTAGTATAATTAAATATTATAATAATATAAGTAATAAAACGGTTTAAAAAAAAAACTATTTAGAATAACTCTATAGGTGAATAATTTTATTATATACGCTATACTATATTTAAATATATATTTACATATTTAACTGGTACTACTACTACGAGTATATAATATAGGTAATCTAAATATAAAAATGTTGACTTGGTTTGTGTACACTTCTAAAACTCTAAAAAGTTCTTCACCGATTGAGCTCAAATTTTGACACGATATTTAACCCTTTTCGGAGATTGTTTTTATCTTTAGTTTATTTAGTTTATTTTTCGCATTAGTTTTGTTCTTCATTACTCATCTATGCAACCACAATGTGACACAGCAAATACTACGGTACAGCAACGTTCTCTAGGTATATGTTACCATTATGGTACACAAATTGTATTCCTAACAAATGACTATTATAACTTTTCATCAGAATGAACCAGGAATGGTTAAATTTTCATAACTTGCCTTTTTCAACTAAATATCAGTTCAGACTGTCTCTCTTTCTCTCTCTTAAAGTGAACAATACAATAATAACGTCTTTCTGTTCAATGAAAAACGTTTTTTTTTACTAATACTTTATTTATTTTATTACAATAATATACAGTAATTAATTCAAATAATTTATTTTAGGATACATCTTTACCTCATAGGTACACAAAATTATGTGTTTCAGTCTTATCTTCTTTATAAATTTATTGCCTCTTAGACAGATTTTTGATATTCTGCATCATCTGAGCTCCCGGCAAGAACAATGACAGCGATGCGCAGACTGAAAAAATGCATACTAAATAGTTCTATTAGAATTCAGTTTTATTAAGTAAAAGTACACTCATACTATTTGAAAACAAAACGTTACTAAACATTTTTTTTTTAAACTTGAGTTATCAATGCCATCTTGATCAAAACTACGTAAACTACTCGTATATGAAATGAATTCGACACTTTCACATACTTTTAGAGTTAGTTGGCACTCATTTTGCCTGTTATAAAACTAAACTAAAGCTTGTTAAATTCAACATCATGTTCAAACTAGTTGTAAACTAAAACCATTTTTGAATGGCATGCTAAAGTGTAAATAGGTATCCATAAGAAGGACTTAAAAATATGACTACCTACAAGTTATGTTTCTATGTAAAATTTTATTTTTTCGTTTGGTTGCGGTTTGTCTTTAAAGGTGCGGTTTGATTAATCTGGATAAGTCTGAATTAAATATTCCGATAATAGTTAAAGGACAGATCCTGCTCTTACCATATAGAAGAATAGCACATAGGTAAAACATAGCATGACAGGCCCTGTTGATCATAATGCCAGTCATAGTGCTACCGATTATTGAGCCCATTCGACCTAACATCATGCATAACAACACTGCCATACCTCTGAAAATTTTAAGTTATATTACTAAAACAAACAACGCTAGAATTTCTACTTCTGTTACTACCATGTATTAATATTTCAGATTTCAGTGTTCATTAAGACATTGCAAAAGGGTTGGCAGAAATAATCAGCATCTGTGACCGCAACTAAGGCAACCCCATCTTAACTATGTAACGGTTACGGGGTATTTCGTAGTGATTGGAACTTTAACGCTAGAAACTTAGAAGATATCAGTGTTCTAGTCTTTACTGCAACCTACACTTTGTATACAGTGAACATAGAGAAAGATATTACTAGAATAAAGATGAGCACCTATTCGCTTATGAACCTTACCAAATCGACTGCGAATTTTGCCTGCAACATCCATCCAATATAAAACCAATGAAAGTAGAGAAAATAAAATGTATTATAATTGTAAAATTTTGTTGTAGACACTTGTAAATCGAACAACACCGACCAAGTCATTTTGACTGAATTTACAGGAGAGTGAAAGACTGATATAAATTGAAGCATTGCTAGAGTTTATAACATATTTATGCCTAGTCAAAGATGTTCTGTTTATGGGTCATATTAACTTTTGCAGTCAAAGTTTTTTTACGATTGAATACTACTTAATAAAATCGCTTTATTCAATAAAATGTTATTATATTTCTAATAACCGGCAATTCTCGACTGGGAGTTGTTATACGGTCAGCAATGAAATGTTGTGATTGATATTATAGTTATTATTATTCTTACTAGCTATTACTTCAGTGATTTAACCTTGAAGAGGTAACAGACGGAAGGACACACTTTCACATTTATTATATTAGTATGGATATTTAGTATATATCCATATTATAGTATGGATCTTACCTCATATGCACCGGATATATTTCCATACAATATAAGTTAATAGGGCCAATAGCTAAAGTTATTAAAGGAAATAACGACGTTAATATTAAGAATAACGTAGAATCTGAGATAAAGTTAACGATTAGGCAACATGTCCCTATGATGAAGAAACAATAAAACAGCACATAGGATTTGCCAATGCACTTGATTGTAAAACTAATTCCTATTCCTATGATTGCGCAGACCACTTGTGCTATAGAATTCATCATGATTGATGTAGTATCTATCATGTCATCACATGTATTGTCTTGATCATCATTCTGAAACAAATTTTCAACTGCAATTAACTTAATAACAAAAGCTTCGAATTATACATTCCGTGGGTGTCGTAAGAGTAAACTACGCAGGATAACAGCAGCAGAAGCAGCAAAGAGAAGGAAACCTTGAAACAAAACCTATACCAAACCGTCTGGCTAGCGTGTTATAATAGACCAAAACTCCTTTCCTAATGAGAGGCCTATGTTCATCAGTGGACTACTAGAGGCTGTTGATGACGTTGTAACGAATTTTTGGTTGGGATATAATTGACCCAGCACAAATTCCTCTTCCAATTGACGTTACAGAGCATAAGGATTACCGTAAAGTTCATCGAGTGTGGATCCAACTCCGCGTTATAGGGTATTCCAAAACTAAGCACGTCGGACATATTATGAGAAAGGTATGTGGTGGGACAATGTACAGATATGAGGAACATATAGCTTAGCTTTGCAATATAGCTTAGATTCCTTTACACGCTTGGAAGAATTATTATGGCTTGTGTAAGCAAGGATGAATCCGATTATTGAGGCATTTTGTAGAATTTCGATAATATCGTATGTACTTTTTCTACATTTAATTCCAGTAATTGTACTCCTGACACAAAATATAGACGTTGTAATTGTTGTATTAAACTGCAAGCCCATTATAAAAAGGCCGAGAACGCATAGAATACCTTGTTTATACTGCTGACGTACCTCGACAGATTCCATTATTATCTGACATGCTGTTTGGTCGTTATCGTCATAAGATAGAACTCTATTCAAAGCTTCAAGTATCCACACATAGACACCGTTTAATCTGTAATCAATACATAAGTATCTATGTATTTTTATCTCTTATTTTAGTATGTTTTTTTATTATATTTTTTGTTTTGTAAGTTCTTAATACTTTCAATGATTTTACTTATTTATTTAGAAACATTAGTATTGATCCGATTAGATTTTTTTTGGTTTGAGCAAACTACTGATTTTCCATAACATTTTAATTACTACTTAATTCATATTAGGTTTTACAATCTACTCAGCGTTAATCAAACATATACCTACAGATACCAATATATAGAAATATAAAGTAACCTTACATCACAAATACACCAAATAATAAAAATCCATTGAGAAGTATATATTTCAGATATTGCTCTTCTAATAAAGGTGTTGTCTGTCTTTTCAAACATTCTACCATGTTTACAGGTTCGGTAAGAGGTGGCGCATGTAGACTTTTAATCTAGAAATTAAATTATTACTAGAACACTCCCCACAACAGCATTAAACCAAGGCTTGGCTGCAGCATCCGGTCAAGGTTGCCATATCATGGCCATACCACTAAAGTAACAGTAGGTACACCAAATAATTTTAATCAATCGGAGTTATGTAATTTAGTGAGATTCCTTCATTAAATAAGAAATGAGCTGCAGACCTTTACAAATTTCATAGTCTAGCCATCTATACTGTTATAATTTATCAATATAACCATTTAATACATTTGAATTTGGAATCTGTCCTTCTTTCATGAATATTCATGGTAGTTTTTCATTTTTGCACCAATCGGTGTTAAATATTCTAGTGATATTGAGATAGGGGTGATAAAGAGACCCGAATTTTTATTTACATGACATTAGGAATAAATCCTATGTCTTTACATGGGATGTACAATATGGGACTAACATTGGACTTTACAAACACACATGAAACGGACACAAAGAACAATCGCTCAAACCACTACACCATCCGTTCAGTATAATTGTTGTGATAGCATTACACAAAGTAGGTATAGCACCAAATGCAATTTTTGTAACTCTCCATCTTCTGACTATTAGTCGAATGATTGTGTACTGGGCTATTGACATATGCAATGAAACCTCCTTTTTATACGAAAAACGCGATCAAAGCAGTGAAGAAAAGAATTCATTTCCCGAGAAAGAGATTGAATCTCGAGAAATGAATATAACACCTAGAAGCACCATTTTTACCGTGGGAGAGCCATGCTTCGGCACGAACGGGCCGGTTCGACCGGAGTGATACCACGGCCTCACAGAAAACCGGTGTTAAGCAATTCTTTCGTTGCCTTTCAATGAGTGAGTGAGGTTACCCCAAATTACAAATCCCCCCTCCCGCTGACTCGAGCGGGAGGGACTCCAAGGGCAGCAACGCACTTCTGACTTTTGAGTTGCAGGTGTCAATGGGCTGCGGTAGTTGCTTACCCCCTCATTTTACCCCCTTATACCATAAAAAAATATATATTTAAAAGATGTCTTAGAACTTGTTGCCTATAAGAGACGCACTGGTTATTTAACCTATACTTTGAAAATGAATCCTTCTCTCCGGACCGCGATAGCGTATAGACGTGGAACCGCACAACGTTTTAATTAATTTATTTATTTATTCGCAAAAAAATTATAATATTTACAAATAAAATTCGTTATTAAATCATCATCGCGAAGTACTAGGCGTGCATAACGCAGTGAGGAACGTGGAGTCGATATAAGAAAGGGACAGCATTGTACTGCAGGAGCGCTTGCCATAATACATAAGCGACAGCGGGTGAAGGACAGAGTGTGTGAGACGGTCGTCATCGATAAGGAGCCTAACCTCATACAAAACAATTTAGGTAACATATTTTATTATTATACTAACCATGCCCTTAAAAAGAACACCACCAAAGCCTTCTCACCTAGATGACAAAAAAGGAAGTTCCACTTCCGAGAACCGGAAATTCCCTCAATCAGGATCATCCCCGGATCTTTCGACTTTGGGAGGAGATGGCAATATAACTCGCTTGAAGCGTAAGCGCGACGACTGCGACTGCCGGTCGGGGCTGGACGAAATCCGCGCGATGTTGTCAGCATCAACCGCACAAACAGATAGCAAGCTAGCCTCACTACATCAGGCTATTACCGAAATCATTGCACAGAACTTAGAGATAAAAGACTCTCTCACTTTTATTTCCAAAGAATATGACGACATGAAAATAAAATTATCTAACCTGGAGTCTGAACGCAATTATGATCGTCGATACATCCGCGAGTTAGAAGAAAGGGTAGAACATATGGAGCGGCAACTATGCTCGTCCAAAATTGAAATAAGGAATCTGCCGCAGAAACAAGAAGAAAGCAAGAAGAATCTGTGCGCTATAGTCACCAAGACCGCCAACATTCTTGGATGTCCGATAGATGACACTGACATCAAAGATGTATTTCGCATGAAAAACAAAAAGGATTCAAACACTATTACTGTTGATTTCAATAGCGCTATCACAAAGGAAAATATCCTTAAAAAGGCCCGTGATTTCAATAAAGCAAATAAAGAGAACAAGTTAAATACCACGCATTTGAAAATTAATGGGCCCTCAAAACATATCTTTGTGGCCGAAAAACTAACACCGAAAACGCAGCGCATCTATTACCTTGCTCGCTGCTTTGCTGATTCTCACAAGTATAAGTACTGCTGGACATCATTCGGTAAGGTTCTGCTGCGTAAAACGGATGGAGAACGACACTACATTATAAAAAGCGAAACCGACCTTGATAACCTTCATGGCGAAAAATGACTAGCATGTCAAACGGAAGACTGCCGTCACCACGCACTTTTCCGCTGCGATCCGCTTATCCTATCTACTATGTTTTTGTAAATATCATGAAATCCCTAATTTACCAAACCCTATTCACTAATCGGAAACCAAACACAAAATACTCACACAATTGTAAAAACCCGGAAAAACCGCACACCACACAGGGCATAACGCATAGACACCACATCCACCACATCACATCTCATACACATCATAATCACCAATTCCACGCTGTCTCATTCCCTGCACCGAACTATTCTCACACTAAAAATGATGAACATAAATGAAATCTCTAATGAATTAGATACAATCTCAGTTGCGGACAACTACTTATCGACACCGGAACAATGTCAGAATTTCACAGGATTTTGCGATAATGAATTAAAAATTATACACACCAATATCAGGAGCATCAAAAAGAACCTAGACCAATTCACTACCATGTTAACCACAACAAAGATAAAATTCGATCTCTTAATCCTCACGGAATGTTGGCTGCAAACAGTTGGTAACATTCCCGTTTTGGAGGGCTATACTGCATATAAAACCATAAACAACCCAAAACAAAATGATGGTGTATTAATATACGCCAAAACCACTCTATGTAGTTCCATACAAGAGCCAGAGATAACTGACGCCAACTGCCTGGTCTGCTGCTACAATTATACAGCGATAGTCGGAATTTATCGATCCCCGTCCTATTCAAACCCCACCAACTTCTACACCAGCCTAAGTAAAAAAGTCACATCTTTGAAATCTTACAATAATGTTATGCTCATAGGTGACCTTAACATCGATATTAAGCCAGGTAATAATGATCGACACGCAAATGACTACCTAAACATAACAGCTAAGCTTGGATTGTTACCTGCACATACTTTGCCAACCAGAATCAATAATTGTTTAGACCATGTTATGATGAGATCGAAATCGCCAGCCAAAATTATTGTACTAGACACCCATATAACCGATCATCTTCCGATTGCAATATTTCTAGGTCAAAACAAAACATTAAAATGTGAACTGAAAAAAATGTCAATCCAATATGATTACGATGCTATAAAAAAAGAACTCGATGCACACGATTTCAATTACGTACTTAACACTTCAGATCCAAACTTGGCAACGAATCTATTAATCTCGGGGGTACAGACAGTGATTTCAAAACATACTAAAAATATATACCATTCCAACCGCAACACTATAATTAAACCCTGGATGACAGCGGGATTAGTCCGATGCCTCCGTAATCGTGACAAAATGCATCGTCAGGTTAGATTATCACCCGATGACGCTATTCTAAAAACAACATTTAAGCGCTATCGTAACTACTGTAATGATTTGGTTAAAAAGTTAAAACGGGCCTACCAAAAAGCTGAATTAATAAAAGCCAAAAACAATTCAAGGGCCACGTGGCAAGCAATCAAGTCCATCACAAATAGCAACCGGCAAAGACAATCCCCTAATACGCTACTCAATCCATCAACTGACAACCCTGCTACATGTCTTAATAATATAAACAAATACTTTGCATCTATTGGTATGACTCTTGCATCAAAATTTACACCTTCCAATATACCCATTAGCTCTGTTTCTCTTTCATCTCCTGTGGCTCTCTAGGTGTTCCCTTTGTTGATACGGGTACTGTAAAAGCACTGATAGAAAGGCTACGAAGTGACTGCGCTACCGGGTGGGACAATATCCCAACGAAAATTATAAAATTGTCTCGAAATACTCTGGCCCCTATCATCGCTCACATTTGTAATTGTGCAATCGATTCAGGTATCTTTCCTAGCGCTTTTAAGCGAGCGATTGTACATCCGATTTACAAGAGTGGAGCGAGAGATGATGTTTCCAATTACCGACCAATCTCAGTGCTCACCGGACTATCCAAAATTCTTGAAAATATTTTGAATACCAACCTAAAAAAATTTCTGAACAAGAACCACTTGATAGCAAGCAACCAATATGGTTTTCGGGCAGGAATTTCTACTGAAGATGCGGTTTCGGACTTTGCGAATACACTGGTCGATAAATTAGATAAAGCACTTGAAATGTTATGGTGTATTTTTAGACCTAACCAAGGCCTTCGATACGGTTTCCATTCCTAGACTTGTCAAGAAGATGGAGCGTATGGGAATACGTGGTATGGCCCTGAATATCTACAAGGACTTCCTTAGGGAACGTAGCCAGTGCGTTAAAATCAATGCGACATGCAGTGACGAGGAAATACTCAATTACGGCTTACCACAAGGCAGTGTTTTGGCGCCCACCCTTTTCCAAATTTATATTAATGACCTCTGTCAACTACCTCTAAATCACTGCAACATCTTCACCTATGCTGACGACACGGCTCTTCTAATTTGCGAGAAGGACTGGGTGGGTGCCAAGCACTGAACCGAACTTTCTCTGCAAGCTGTGATGGAATGGTTGTCCACGAATTTGCTAACACTAAACGTAACCAAAACTAAAATCATACAGTTTTTATCAAATTCTTCGAAACCACCTACAGATTCTAAATCCATCAAGGCCCACATATGTTTAGATTCCTCATCATGTAACTGCCCTTCTCTAACTATGGTATCAAATATTAAATATTTGGGGGTCCACATTGATGAGAGATTGGATTGGCGGGAGCACACCAATAACCTCTGTTCACGAATCCGCAAACTTTTGTACGTATTTAAGGAACTTAGATATTCGGCGGACGTAGAAACAACTTCACTTGTGTATCGTTCTCTGTGTGAATCAATAATTACATACTGTATTCCAGTTTGGGGAGGCACTTTTAAAACGGTGATGCTTGGGGTGGAACGAGCCCAACGGGCAACTCTTAAAACCATGTATTTTAAAAAGAGAGACTATCCCACCACAAAACTATACTCGGATGCCCAAGTTTTGACAGTTAGACAACTATATATCTTGCGCTCTGTCGTACGCAGACACACAATGCTGCCCTTGACTACAAATCTCTCAAGTCGACGTACCGGTTTTCCTGTTTGTGAAACAGCTACTTGTCACACCGCTCTTGCACGAAGACACTTTTTGGCCCAGAGCTGCCGCATTTATAACAAAGTTAACAAAATTCTTCCCATCTATAAACTTAGTTTGCATAGTGTTAAAAACAAACTTAAAACATGGTTACAATCTCTGACATACGACGAAACTGAGAAAATCATAATAACAATTACATAAAAATCCACTTGCCTTACTAATAATGACCCACATATTTCCGCTCCGCTTAGCCTATTAAACCACACTCTCACGAGACTCACTTTATTAGAAATGCTCCTCGATAGCAACCCAACCATTTACACACATATACGTCCCCATAACATATACACATACACACACACACACACACACACACACACACACACACACACACACACACACACACACATACCGACTTAGAAACACACATAAGCACACAGACACATATCATAGGTATCCGATCTCCTTTTATTATCTACCCACTCTTTTTATGAGTTTAAATTATTATTGTACTGCGACTTTAGTTCATAAAAAACAAATGTATGTTACTATAATGGGAGAGGGCACTGGCTTCTGTAACACAGGTTTACCTAGCACTGAAGTCAGGGACTTCATAAACTATCTGTACTGTTACTATAAATAAATTATTTGAATTTGAAATTATTTGAATTTTGAATAGGGTCGTAAAATCAAAAAAACTTTTTAAGCGGGAAGTCACAGTTTTTTTTTTATTAACTATAGAATAATACTTTAACAAGTAGAATGACCAAGTTTATACTAAAAGCTCTAAAGAAACTTCCGATTTAGTCGTGGAGTATAATGTGGGCATTATCCGACTTAAGTAATTCTATTAATCTATCAATCTTTTTCTAAGCTGGCTAAGCCATATTTTTGTAAAAAAGGTGTCAAAGCAACAGATATGATTCTTGAGACGGTGATTAAGCCCCTTAACAACACGTTCCATAATCAAGCATCAAGAATAATCATTTTAGAAATAAAGCCCGATGCACTCATAGTCGGAAACGAACGTTTCTGACTTCATCAAAGCTGAAGACTGGCCGTCATCTAGACCCGATCTTAATCCGCTGGAGATATAGAGAGATGCATGCTCTAAACGTGTGAATTTGGAGTCCCTAAAACAATACATAAGATTGGCAGTGAAGAATTTTCCCATGGAAAGAGTGCTTGTTTCTATTGATACCTGACCTCAACTTTAAAAGGACCTTATCGAAGCCAATTGAGATTATTTTGCATGAGCTTTATATACAATGTTTAATGCTTTCTAACAAAAACACAACATCATAATCGGTTTCTTAGTGTAGGACCTACGATGCCACAGACATATACACAGACATATCAAACTTGGAGTCGGGTATTAAAAGTACATATGTTTAGTATTGAGCAACATGAGAAACGAAAGAGATGACGGTTAAAACTTTTTTCACGTAAATGTTCTTGAAAGTGGAAAAATACTCACTGGAAAGTCTTCGGGCGCCTTATTATGGTTATGGGCGTACATAGTCCGCAATACTTTAAGTGCTTCTTCTGGTTTACCACGAGAGAGCAAAAACTTTGGACTCTCAGGTCCAGAAGCTAATAAATAGGCGGTCAGTATAAAAAACATTGCATAAATAATAATCAGTAACCGCCAAGGTCGAAACATGTACAAACCGAAGTTTATTTGAAAATCCATTGGTATGATTATCCAAGCTATTACTGAAATTAATTGCAGTGAATTAGTATTGGATTACCACATATCGCACATAGGTGTGTGCCTATATTGTTCAGTACCTAATATTTCAGTCCTAGAAGATTTTGTTTTCCTTAAATCCTAGCCATACTATAAAACCATATGTAGTTTATAACAATACTATATTAACACTTTCTTCTCGGGAAGGGCTGTAACGAACAGTTTCTATTACTATGTGCTTACACAACAATAAATTGATTATAAAGGCTTTTTCTAATAAATTTGCTCGAAAACTACAAGTCATCATCACAGCCATTACTAGTCCACTGCTGGACATAGGCCTTTCCTTAGAAAGGAGGTTTTGGCCTACTATACCACGCTGGCCAGACGGGTTGGTATAGGGTTTGTTTCAAGTTTTCTTCTCTTTGCTGTGCTGTTGTCCTACGTAGTTTGTTCCCTTAGTCGCCTCTTACGACACCCACGGGATGAATAGGGGTGATGACATTCCGTATTCTTAATCCATCACCACACGGACGTTAAAACTACAAGTACTACACGTACATCTAATCTACATTTAATCTGTGTGAACATCGTTAGTAATATCACTTTTTCATATGTTTACTATTTTTTTCATCATCATTCCCATTATGAGCCTTTCATAGTCTGCTGCTGGACATAGGCATTTTCAAATATACGCCCCCATCATTTGATCTCCTCATAGAGTTATTTTGCAGCAACTTCACAGTGTCTACAAAACTTGGAACCGTAAGTCATAGGCAAGTACTTACAGTCAGCACTGAACGCAGTATCGAACTGATTAAAGACTTTTGCCTTGAGAATATTACGGTATGGATGACGTCACGAGTGCCAATGAATCCCAAATAAGCGGGTCCACACAGAGCCGCGGCCAATGCCTTGCGAGGCTGCTCCACTCCGGAAAAATAATAACTTACTGTTGTTATACTCACACGGATCGATGGCTGACCCCATTAGTTGTAAAGCGTTGACAACGGTTAATAGCACAACCCTGTGCTCTTTTGGTATTATCTCAGCGATAAATGTGTAAGGTAGCGTTGATGGAACTGCTATCCTGACGAAAAAACTTTTATGAAATGATATATTAAATTATATTTGTTCATATATATGATGTATTCATTCATATTCAAAAAAAGATCACATTACAAAATCAAGGTACAGATCTCTTTAGAGACTTTGAGCATTATACATGGTGAAATATAAAAAAAAGAATTTACTAATGTAAATAGATCTTTTGAGACACGTTTACACGTCAATTAGTTCTGTAAAGCTACATGGTGGCGGCATTAAATGTGGCTAGACATCAGTAGAAACGCCGAAACAGATTCAAGGTTCCAAGTATACATAAACGCAAACTGTGTGAGTACCATGTAGACGCCCGGGATGGTCTTTACATGAAATAATCATTTTGTTTTAAACTGATTAGTAACAATACCTAGTGGATTAAAGAAGCGGTAACCAAGGAACTAAACAACGCCTTAGACGGTTCCTCAAATTTAATAGGTATTTTGAGTAGACTATTCGGAATATTTAACTTTAACTAACTGAAAATAAATCACAAAAAAGGAGAAAGCTCTGATCAAACGCCAAGACAACTGTCGTGGTGAACTTGTTTAAGAGTTCTATTTAAAAAACAGGACAAACCAATAGTTGTATCAATCTTCAGGTGTTGGTGTACAAGAGTGTTTTTTGAACGCATCAGAGGCGGATTAAGTATCAAGAGCGCCCTAGGCAAACATCTCATCAGCCCCACGGCTTCCCCTGCGCCTCTCTAGCGTCCATATATGTGATAGTGATGACTCCAAAGTTTAATGGTCATTTCTTTACTAGAACTTATTTACTAGTGTTTTTTTTTAAGTGTGGCTTACCTGGGTAAGTGGGATTTTTATTTCATCTCTATAATTCTATTCAGAATACAGGTTTCAGTGCACACCAAAATTTTTACCGTTACATGTCGATTGTAAATGTTGGAGTATTTCAGTACAGCTAATAATAAGCCTTTTTAATTCCTTTAATTCCAACAACCTTACCAAACATATATTTCTTAAAACTACTTGTATATATTATTTTATTCCGTTTTTGGAACCCCACTTTGGGTATAAGCAGTCTAGTGTAAGTTTTCCTATTGTTTGCTTTGCCTCTCAATTCCTTATCTGCTGTTATTTCCTCTACACATCTGTTGCTCCCAATAAGTTCCACATAGGTCCTTCATATACTGTTGTTTCAACAGTCCATCTTTTGTCATTGTATCTCGCTAGATGTCCTTTTGTGTTAGAACGTACTTGAGAGCATCTATTATAGTAATACAGGTACACCTAATTACTAAGTTAAAATAAATGTATAGTATCCATGATACTTACCACAACGCAGTGATAAATTTAAAAAACGCAAACAAAGCTAGGTTAGGCATAAATGCAGTTAAAAAACCAGTGCATCCGGCAGCCAATGAGGTCATCACCGCCATTTTCTTCCGACCTCTAGTGTCAATTAAATAGCCGTGAAAGTAAGCCGTTAATACTATACCTAAAAATCAACATCGCTTCAATTAATAATATGATATGAGAATAAGCTAAATATTAATGATTTAAAAGCCGTGAGCATTTTTAAACAAATTTAGAATCACAAGAGCACTTTACGCAAAAATTAAATAATCCGCTAGACAGGCCTGTTGGTCAGAGGTCGTAGACACACCTAGTGTGAGGTTACCGGAGCCCAACTTGTTTAAAAACTGTTCTCTATTTTTATTAATGTTACTTAAGATCTCAAAAAAGGACAAGTCAGCACCGTTATATGCATTTCTTTACATTTTATATAAGAGGTATCGATTTGTTCCTGAATGACAGCGCTATTCAACTCTGGCCGGCTAATATTGTGTTCCGGAAGTAACAAGAGAACCAGTCCTCCGACTAATTCTCGTAAGACAATACAAATAAATTAATATGGATTACACAAACATAATTACAAAAAGGTTGACTGGTAGAGAATGTCTTAGGCATTAAGTCCGCCAATGCACCAAAAGTGTATTATGTATGAATAAATAAATAAATTAGGTGTATTTCTTAAAACTGGAGATCGTTAAAGAGGTCTATACAAGAAGTTACACAATTTCGTCTTAACCAACACATAATCGCACCACAGGAAAGCACTACGGTAGTCATGGTATTTCTGCGATCGACACGGAACAAGGTGTGGTGCGCGGGCGGCCGTGGTTGCTCTTTTGTTGGACCGCAGAATATTTGCACGTGCGGAAATAGTGCAGTGTAACATAGATCGTCTGGTTGCGGTTAAACTTGAGCACGATTATCGAAGTTTATTAGTATTCAGAGTTTATATGCCTAGGGATTGTGAAGAGAACTTTTATGAAATGTTACAATGCCAGCGAATATTAGTGCAATAATTGAAAGTATGGACGTAGAAAGTGTTTTTGTGTTGGGGGACTTTAATGCCTTTAACCCTGGTACGAGGTTCTACAAAGAACTCTTTCTTGGACTACCGTTCAGAGGCGCTTTTATCTTGTAGTAACATCTAGTTAAGTGATTAGGTGTAAACGATGTACATCTGTATATGCGACAGGGTCGCAACGCTGGCTCGACCACTGCTTTGTTTCCGCGGAGGCCGAGTCAGCGTTGAGCGGTGTACACGTGTTGTATGATGCATATCTATTGGGTCACTTCCCTTTGGTGTACTACTACTAAGGGAGTAAACTACGCAGGACAACAACACTGCAAAGAGAAGGAAAACTTGACACAAACCCTATCCCAACCCGTCTGGCCAGCGTGGTATAGTAGGCCGAAACCTCCTTTCTAAGGAGAGGCCTATGTCCAGCAGGGGACTGTTAAAGGCTGTTGATGATGATGACTGATAAGTAATAATTTGACTGATTTCAATTTAAAATACAGATGGGGTTATAGAAATAAAGATTAAAGTGATAAATATTGTAAAATTTGTTATTAATAAATAAATAATTTTGGTTTGAGTTTGAATTTGGAGTGTAAAGTTAATTTATGTAATGTTATGGAACATGTAGAAATAATTGATAGAATATATAGTTCTATAATAAATATATTACAAAGAGCCGCTGAAAACAATTTGTCTGTAAAGATTTTTTTTTTATGATAGAGAGGGCAGCCGAGTAGACGGGTCACCTGATGGGAAAGTGATACTAAAAAACGCAATATAATAGGTTTTAACTACCGTGTAAGACAGTATGACGTTCTGGACAGGCATACATTCATAAAATGGAATACGTTTAGTAGGCCGTTCTCGGGACATTACTACGAACAAATGTGAGCTGCGCGCAGAATCTTTAAGGCTGCGCTTAAGTACGTACAGAGTAACCAGGAAAAATCATGATTTTGGCCCAACATGCGTCATCAAGGAATTTTGATAATTTCTGGACTGAAGTTAAAAATCTGAACCCTAAGAGTATTCCAGTCAGTAGAGGGTGTGCTCGACGTGTCTTCTAGGTAGTATACGGCAGAGGATGAAGCTTGCCACGTCACTGCTGACGAGGTTATTGACGTACTCAGAGGGATGTGGCGTGGAACATACCCAGGCCATGACGGTTTAAGCTTGGAACATCTGCTTTATGTGTGGCATGTTGCTGACGTTTTAGCTCGTTTCTTCAGTCTTTTTGCGCAACATATGTACCTGCCTGCTGATCTTCCGTACTGTTGTTGTACCGATAACTAAAAATAAAACGGGTGATGTCTCGAGAATGACCAATTATAGGTCCATTTCCTTGGCAACGGTAGTGGCAAAGGTACTTGAACGTTTGATACACAATAAGTAGAGTCCAGAAGTCTTTCTTAAACAGGTCTTGTCGCAATATGTCAGCCAGGATACAAGTGTTTACGTTTGTTTCCTGGATCTAAGTAGCGCATTCGACATAATTTATCACGACTTGCTACGGGAGACACCAGAAAACAGTAACTTACAGGTGGGCTTTGTTAGACTGATTAGATACTGGAACTCTAATCAGTCTAATAGTGACAGGTGGAGGACTGCCATATCGGACAACTACAGGCTATAATCTGGTTTAAGACAGGGGGGGGGGGAGGTTGACCTCTCCTGGCCTATTTTAAATGTCTATCAATAACCTGATTTGGTGGCAGATAAACAACAACAAGTTGAGTTATGCCGGTGAAATGGTCCTGCTGAGTACCAGCGCTTAAAAATACTGTTAGCTATATGTGAGAGATAGGCAACTGTGCATGACTTAGTATATAATGCAAAAAAGACTGAAATGATGCTATTCAGGTCGGGAAGAGGTCCGCAGAACGTTCCTTCGGTATAGATAGAAGGCCAGATAATTAACGTGGTGGGTAGGTTCAAGTACTCGGGCACATACTAACGTCAGACATGAGACATGACGCTAATATAGACCACCGGCATCGAGCACTCTCAGTCGTTGGTCAGGAGAGTTTTTAATGCCGATGTACAGACTAGAGTACACCTGTTCAGAATACACTGGCAGAATTTCTACACGTGTCAACTCTGGCTTGCATATACGAAGAGGTCTTTGGATGGCATTCGTGTTCAGTCCAATAATATTATAAAATGGCTACAGATAGCTACGTAAATAATTGTAACTAAAATTAATATAAAATAAATATGTTAAATTGTGAGTATTGTAAACAATAAATAAAGATTTATTATTATCATTAAATATATTATATAATAGACCATTATAAAACTATATGCACCTATAAAAGGAATCGCTGCAATTATACCTTGCATACCATCAGATATGCCTAGATCACATTGTGCAGCAGGTAACACAACAGAGTTCCCAACCACTTCAATCATAGATGACACAAGGAGCAAGGCTATGAACATTGCATACTTCAGATTATACCTTCCAAGACCTGGAATCAGTTCAAACCAATAAAATTTGTTATTAAAACTATAAACGTACAATGGTTTTCCTAACAGCAAAAATTAAGGTTAATCGAACCAAGTTTAAGTAATCAAAATAAGAAATGCATGTCACATGTAATAGTGGGAAAGGGCTAATGAAGGTATCAGTACTTGTATTACTTGGCACTGATTCGATGACTCGATTATAAGAAGTCCCTACTGAAAAAACACTTAAATGCAAGTTTAATCTATAGAAGTCATTTCGTACTGTAATATTAAATTTTTTTTATTTTTTTATTTGAATGTAAATGTGTAATGTTAATGTTATCTATGTTCCAAATAAACGAATAAACTAACTGGTGGCACCACAAATTCTAACAAAACTAATAATCTCGGGCGCCAGGTGCCTTAACCTTAAATGAACACACAACTAACCACAAATACAAAGAATGCCTCGAACAGCTCGGTCAGCGCTAGACTTTTAATCTAGGATGGGGGGCAGCTATTAAATACAAAGATGTTATAGGTTTAAGTGGCAGTTTATTAACCCGTAGTGTCTGTAGAGTACATGGTATCTTAAAGTTCTAATTACAATATGTAATTCTTATACTCAAATTAGTACTGTCATTAATGCAATCTGTTTAACTGGTTAAAACAAACTAAAATTAAATATGTTTTGAAGAGTCACATAAAGACTTAATAAATAGGAAATGAATCTAAGGGTCGTTTAACAACGCCAACAAAATTAATATAATAAAGAACATACCTAATGACTTTGGCTCTGTCCGTATGAAATTAGAGTAAACTTAATTCTTATAAACCTCACTCGTGCTCCCACGTGGTTGTAGTGGCGGGGTAAGTATTCCAAGGTTCCTGATAATGGACTGCAGCTAAAGAACTTTTCCTACCATTATAGGGACGCTCCGCAGCCAACTAAATCCTTGAATCGGGCCGGTAGCGAGGTAAAAACCAATTGTAACGTAAGGACATTACAATCTAATAAGAGAATTAAACTAAAGGTTAAATAAAGATCTGAAGTAAGGTAAGAAAGAAAATAAGGTATAAAAAGAAAATAAGGTATAAAAAGAACCCTGTTTCATCTGAAACAACGAAAATTATAGGTTATTTGCCTATCTCAAAAGATGAATCCTAAATCTGGTAAGATACAATAATTTACTCACCAGGGTTCCATAACGTTTCACAAACAAAGCAGCGGCATTATGATTAATGCCTGTAACCAAATAAACAAAGATTTAAAACAACTAATCTCCATAAGCCAAGCATGAACCATGCGGCTTAACAAAACTTACCTTTACAATGAAAATAACAATTCCAACAAAGAACTCGTGTCATTAACGAGACTGGCCAAACATTAAAAGATGAATTATGTCTTCGATTACAGCAAATAAATATGGATTACTAATATAAAAAAAAATATATCGCTCCGCGTAACTAGTTTCACACGGGCTCAAAACCAAAGTGTCAGACATGTTGCCATAGCCGAAACTCCGCTCCTAACTATAACGCGACAAAAAAAGTTGCCAGAACAAGTTGCCAAATCGATACATTACCATAGACGATCAGCACCGACCTTTATTCTCGTCCGTGACACCGTCAATCGGAGCTCACTGAAACGTCATAAAATTCGAACGTCAAACCAAAAACGCGTCGATAAATAAATTTTCTGTAATGGTGCGAAACGCACCGTTACAGTACATTACAAAGAATGGTATCAGAATCATATCGGTTGTGTAATTTTTGATAACTTTATTCCAATATCTGATTTAAATAAAACATCCGGTCAAATATATGTGCGAGAACAACCAGACAGAAAATAATTTTAAAAATCGTTTTATTTGTGTTCTTATACACTATTCGTACGTACGTCGCACTCCTACAATTTTTTATTACACATTCACGTCGGATTTCGCTGGACAATTCTGTGTTATAGATTTGTAAATTATTCATATACCTATAATACTAAGCCCCTCCTCCAGTTCTTCTAAGGAGTAATCTCCTAGAGGTGATGTCTTTACCGGCGATTGTGGTTGTGTACTTTCTTCATTCCCAGATGGTTTGGGCTGTGAGGCTTTTTCTGATTCGTGAGGTGTTTCAGGATTTTCAGGATTCCTAGACATTCTCAATATCCACTATTAAACCTTACAATGGTTTAGTATATTTATTTTGAAACACGAACCATTGTAAATACTGTAAACAGAAAATTAATATTATTTAACTGATTGATTAAATTTTAAATCACTATAAACTGTAGAAAGGCTTTATACCTTAAATGAAGAACAGAAAAATTACTCACTCACTTAATTCATTAGAGAACTCTTTTTAATGAATGCAACCCTAATATCTAAACTCGCACTTCTAGCAACTTGATGGTATAAATTCCTCAAAATCAAAATAGAATACTGTTATTGTGTTAAATCCTTCCTTTAAGTAACGTTACGTCGTACGTGGGTAATAGTTATTAACTTAGCATATAAATGTACTTTGTGAAACACTTTTAGGTACACAACACATTTTACTATATTTGACTGAGATTGGACACAGACATTGACATTCACGTACTTCGTTTTTTTTTTGAGATTAAAATGTGCCTTTCATTTCTGAATAAAGTGTTAAACCTTCTTTTTGATATAATATTATTATACTAATAGTATTACTAATTACTGGTCGCTTTTAAGCAATCATAGTAGTATTGTAGAGTAAAGATTATTCCTTATGATTCATTTCTTTAAAAATTCCAGATATCTCACACACGGTTGTATGATTTTAAATTAAGCGAAACCTGTGCTATGGTAATCAGATTGCTGTTAAACGTACATAACGTACATATATTTCTAAATACATAAATATTATAGATAAATTACACCCAGATAAAACAAATTATCGTGTTCATCACACTATTATTAGTCCTGGGTAGGAATCGAACCCAAGACCTCTGACTTGGCAGCCAGGATAGGTAACCACTAAACCCACAAGTTATTTAATAAATGAACCTATACATATTGCATTGCTTAAGTCGCGGTGCCAGAGCTGCATGCCTATAGTCATAAATCCTTTGTTGTCTAAGGTTATGGAATCCATAATCAATTGTTTGCTAGTCCGGTACTTAGATGATCATCAGCTACTCAATGACTGACAATATGGTTTTTACCGGGGTCGCTCAGCTGGTGATGTTCTCCTCTTTCTAACACACCGGTGGGCACAGGCGATCAAGGGAGTGGCCTGTGGGGCTGGTTTGCATAGCGGGTCTAACCTAAGGCGCTTCTCTCGAGGTTTCCTTGCGGACAGAAGCATTAAGGTCGTTGTCGACGGTGCATGCTTCGGATTAAAATCCGTAAACGCTGGTGTCCCGCAAGACTGTGTGCTATCCACACTGTTTGACACACAATGACATGTTGCAAGCTAGTGGCAACCATTGCTATGCAGATTACAGTATGGGAGATGCCCTGTACACCGGCCGCCCAGATATTTCTTAGGCAAACGTTCTCGAGAGTCGAAACAAACTTGTGTCTGAAATTGAAACTTCCTGAGCGGAGGTTTCAGATTGGGGCCGATTAAATCTAGTCCACTTTAACCCAAAAAAGACAGGTTTGCGCGTTCACCGCAAAGAAGATACCATTTGTCGTATCACCTCAGTTTGAGAGCACCTCCCTAACTGCGTCAGCCAATATCGGAATCCTTGGCATCGATAAATCGAGCGAAGTCCAATATCGAGGTCACTTAGAGGGTAAGGTCGAATTGGCCTAGGTGTGCTCAACAGATCAGGCGGTACAATCTTAATCGACAATCCTTGGAATGTTACGAAAATAATGAAACCAAATACAATGGTTATTTATTTGTTCTAAAATTTTAACAACATTATACGTACACTTCATTTAGGCGTATAATACGTGTGTACGTCATGTAATTTCGCCAGTCGATACTTATAGATGTCGTTACTTTCGGTATAATCCGCATAAAACATAAAGTGAGTTGTTTTAGTTTTTATTATCCCGGAACGTATATCACTATTTTCTGGAATCATTATAAAATGACTTTTGGAAATAAAATGTTGCCATTATTTTTTTTATACATTGAGTTGGTAGTTATTTTGTATGATAAAATTGATAAATGTAGACTTATATTAAAATGTTTGAAAACTTTAAAAATTTTTTAGCACTTTAAAACACACGATTCTAAGAAATCCTAACTTAGTGCCTGTATCATTTCATTATTGCCATTGTTTTGGTACTTTTCATCAGCGTTAATGCAGCAACATTTGCAACAGCTGTCGTTATGAATGTTGTCCGTCAACATGACATTCATACCTGCATTTTTTTGGTGGTTGAATGTTTACTTGCTTGGAACTAATAACAATTATTCTCTGATATCTTCATTAATGCGTGAGTTGAGCCTAGGTTCTTCTGATCTTTGTTATCCTTGTGTGTTGTTTTCGAGTAGTATTGAGGTAGAGACACTTATTTTTAACGCTTTATTTTTGTGTTGCAATGTCTGTTAAACGTTGTTGTCTTGAAAAGAAGAAAATAAACTTTTTTTTTTATACATTGTTTTATTTTACAAAGTTCTAATTGCATAGGTATATTTGTACATAATATAAACATTACTGTATATAATAAGTATTACCTATAGTATAGATATGTAGGTATAAATATATCCTTTCAAATGTTGAGTAAGAGAAAAGTTGTTGCTCGCTCCTAACAGATGGCGTTGTTTTGTAATTTCCTCCAAAAGCGATTGAGATATACCTCTATTTCAGTATATTACAATGTACTCTGTGCAACAGATCGAGGCAGTATTTTACTAAGGCACACCGCCTTTAGCTCTATAAGGCGCAAGTCTGACCGCATATGGAATACTGCTTTCATCTCTATGCGAGGGATTTTTTTTTTGGATTTAAGCGTGGTATAAAGCAGTGGGCTGGTCACTTACCCTCCCACTGCTTTATGCCATGCTTAAATTGTCTGATTTTTTAAATACACACTAATGTGTATGTAATTGACTCAACTTACATTAATCTTACACGCTCGGGTATTTCTGGTCATCGATTCTTTTTTTAACTAATCTGATGCCCTAGACGCTCCCTCCGTATATGAAGGCCTCATGTATGGTGGAGTAGACGTAGTGGTTTAAGCGGTCACCTCGCCGCTTCCTACCGCGCTGGGTGTTACTACCACATGGGGACTAAACTTTGTGTGATCAACAAATTGTTGTTCTGAGTCTGGGTGGTCTTTGTATCCGTTTAATATATGTTTGTAAAGTCCCCCGCGACATAGGATTTATTCCTAGTGCTAGAGTTATCTTTAAAAAATAAAATTGAAATAGTTGTTCCCGCTAATTTATATTAGCATGTTTTTTTGAAAAACTATTGCTGATGTCATTGATGCTTTGTTTGCAAATTGAAAATGCATTTTTTTAAATATAAATATTGATATGCAAAAAACTAAAACCCATGTAGTATTTGTAATAATTGTTCCCACTAATTTATAATATAATAGCATATTTTTGGAAAACTATTCTTGATGTCATTGATACATTGTTTTCAAATTGAAGATGCAAACTTTATAATATAAATATATGTATATTGACGTGCAGATATCAAAACCTATATAGGTGTATATGATAAAAAAGTGAATTAAAGCATATTTCTTTATTTTACAATTTATATTTCTGATATAACTTTTCTTCAGTTTCTTTTACGGTGGAATGACTTCTTCGAACAAATTACTTTTGTCTTTAGGAAAGTTCGCTGTTCCGCCAAAGAATCGATATCGGTTTTCAAGGACCTTATCATCGTTTGTAGTGGCACTAATTCTTGTTCATAAATGTCTGTTAATGTACGGTGCAACGCTGTGTCATTTTGATCTTGTTGGTTGCGTATTCTCTGTTCCACACTTTTACTTTTAGGTTTAGTGTCCAAAGTTTTTGCTAAAATATACATATATAGATATGTCGAGTTAGTAACTTCTAGAACATACTGAATAGGTTAACAAAGCCATTATAGGTTAGCCAAAGTCTATGACGTGCCAAGCTTTTAATAGTCATTGATTGCTGCCGTTTTATAATACCTTTATTTCTAGGAAAAAAATAGTTTTTTGTTAATAACGATTAATCATAAACATTTTTAAGACAAATATACGATGTTTTATTAATACCTTACACAATTCCTTTCTATGTTTACAATATTTTATTTTTCTAAGTAAAATTTTTTTTCCTTAATATAAATAATAACTCCTTGACAAAAACACATACTTGACAGTTGAAAACTTTTTTTGCCAAACATTCATGGTCAGTGGTTGCATACATTTTTATTATTATTAGATATTTTTCATATTTGGTTTGAACAATTATTATGATTGAAATTTAATCAAAGATTATTTTTAATAAAATCTTTAATTAATTAAGTTTCTGTTATATATTGTACTGTTTATCTAAGTTTTATGTAAAATCGGTCTGCGCGCCGGATTTTGTAAACTACTTGATGCCCCTCCTTAGTCTAAACCTAATAAATAGACATAAAACTTTAGAAAATCATACTAGATTATATCATGTAGTGTACAGAATCAAAAAATGTTCAGTAAATAACAGGATCTTAAATCTTTTCTACTTTAAGATGTTTATAATTAATTTCATGTTATAATACTAATACATACATTAATACACTAATTTATGAATGGAAAATAATATATATATATAAATATATATATCAACTTACCACTCGCTGGAAAAGTATTGATTGGTTTTGTTTTAGTTTTATCAAGAACAGTATCAAAGTCATGCTTAGGTTTCTGGTCCTGTTCATTTGATTTTATTTTAATGGCTATATTAAACATAGGATCTATAGGAATGTTTAATTCTGGCAGATTTTCATTTGAAGATACTTTTATCTGTGATGTGATGACTGTTATCGAATCATTTGGATAGCGATAGATGTCATTGTCATTAAGAATGGTTTTAAATATTCTTTCATTTTTATTTTTTAGGTAAGTGTGAAATGCTAAATTAAGAGAAATAGTTTTTAAGTCAGATGTTACCACACTATCATCTGATAGTCGTACACTGGTTACATCCTGAGCTTGTCCACCTGACAAATCTTCATCTTTATCTCTCATGTCTTTTTTATGAGTATCCAAGAACGCATCTATTATTTTCTGCTTTTGAGTTAAAGTATCACTAGCACTATTTTCTGTGACTAAAATCTGGCTTGGCGACAGTTTAACATCTATTGCTTGAGCTTGTATATCATTTGCTTTTTGTTCTTCTTCATCTATTACTTTATTATGTTGCTCAATAGTAAGAGTACTCACTCCTCCTGGATATGCAACCTGTGGTTGTTCAAAAATTTCTTTAGGCTTTGGGTCCTTAATTTGAAGTCTTCTGTCCTCTGAAGTCTTATTTTCATCGCTAAGCATATCTACAGTATTACTGTCCATGGCATTGTCTAAATTAAAGGGTTCAGACATACTGTCTGGAACGTCGCTGTCTTTGTGTTGTTTTTCAAAAACTTCTTCAGCCTTTAGTTTCGTAATTTGAAGTGTTCTGTCGTCCAAAGTCTTATTTTCATCGCTAAACGTATCTACAATATCACTGTCCATAGTATTTACGTTCACATCTGCATTTTCTTCAAATATTTCTAAAACATTATTTTCTGACTCAGGTTTCTGCTCTAAAACGCTTATGAGATGTATGTCTTCCCCATTTGTGAAATTTGTAATCTTGTTGTCTAAATCAGAGTATTGAGACTTACTGTCTGAAAAGAGGCTCACTTCATGTGGTTCTTCAAAAATTTCTTTAGCCAGTGGATTCATAATTGGCTGTATTATATGGTCTAAAGTGTTATTTTCATCTGCAAAATTAGTGTCCATATCATTTTTGTTTAAATCAGCATTTTCTTCAAATGTTTCTAAAATATTACTTCCAGACTTAGGTTTCTGTTCTAAAAAACTTAAGGGATCTACGTCTTTAGCAGTTGTTATATTTGCTATGTTGTTGTCTAAATCAAAGTGTTGATATATATTGTCTGAAACGTTGCTCGTTGTATGTATTTTTGGACTTTTTATATTATGCATCTGATTTTGTATTTCAGGTTCTTTTTCAATTGTTACTGTTTGTTCTTCGTCATATTTTCTTTGTATTGCCATATCGATTTTATCTTTTGTCGACATTATTTTACCTTTGTCAGGAGATTGGTCTATAAAACTCTCGACTTTATCAAAGGTTTCATTGATCTTCTCTTTATTGGTATTACTTTCAGGCTTATGATTTGTAACATGATCTTTTTCTGGCTGTGTTGCATTTTCAATTGGAATTTTAGAGTGCTCATTTGGTAAAATCTTACTAGAAGTCACTTCCTCATTAATATTATCTCTATTTGGAAGACTTATTTCGTCATTAATAGGAACAACAGAAATCTTTTCAATATCACTAATGAGGTTAGAGGATTCAGTGTCGTTGGTATTGGCATCAAGTAACTCCTTATTTGGTTGAAATGGAATATTTAATGGTTTATTTGATATCTTGCCAGTATCTTTTGAACTTGTTTTTTTTTTCAATTAATTGCGCATCCTTTATTTCAATATTTGATTTAATGTCGCCTATAACTTCAGAAGGAGAACTTTGTCCTACAGAGACATGATCTGATGGAGTTTTAATTGGAAGAGGTTCTACTAATGCCAGTAATTTTAAACATTCTTCAGATTTATCCTTAATAGATTGAGGATTATAGGAAAGTTGTTTTGATGAATTTCGTTGAACTGGGTCATTAAATTCTCTTTTAGTTCCTTTGGGGGGAACGAAAAAGGCATTTACTGACCCATCGACAGACTTTTTCGATTTGTCTTGACTGGAAATTCTGGTTCTTAAAGCTTTTTTGTTGTCATCAGGTAAATATGTAATCACAGGTTTTTTTATAAAGTCCGTATCGTCGTTAACTGGGCTAATAGAAAATGAAGTATCTTTAGATTTTCTTTTACTTTTATGTGGAGCTATAGGACTCAATTTTGAATTTATTGATTTATCTTCTCGATGATCGGATATTTTAATATCGTATGAATCACGTGTTAGAGAAGTTTCTAAAACAGGGTTATATGAATATGTACCTTCTTCACTCTCCTTATGCGGATCTGCTATAACCGTTTTTTTTACAGGCTCCATACAGGATAAATTTTGAATGGAACCGGATTTTTTAACTTTGTCATCGACGGGGTCAACGGAGATTGAAGTATGTTTGGTTTGTATTTTATTTTTATCGGGTGTTTTAGGATATAATTTAGAATCAATTAGTACTTTTTCTTGATGATCAATTATATCAGTATTGCCTGGATGTTGTCGTAATTCAGCTGTTTCAGGAGGCTCATAGGAATACGTGTCTTCATCAAATGGAGGGTCTAGACATCCACCTAAAAAATGTGTTTATAAATATTAAATAATTTCAAGTAAAGTTATAAAAATTATGACATAAATACTTAGGTATTTATGTAATGTCCAGCGTAATGGTAGTCCCATTACGCTGGGATTTCTTGGTCATCTTTTTTTGACAAAACATTTTTATACTCTCTACTCACTAATAGCTGATTCTAGGCAGCCCTTTATTTATTTTAGTACCAACAGATACTCTAAAAGTAACAGATTTTTTTTCTCCTCTTCGTTTGACGAGCGCGTCACTTCCAACGCACTATTCCAGCAGGAAGAGGAGGAGGGCTTGGCCCAACAGAAAAGGCGTGGTGGCGCGGCCGCAGGACATAACCTGGGAATGGGACTCTGTTTCCGCTGGATTGACCAGGATAAAAGGCGGTGTAAAAATTCGCCACCAATCTTCGGAGGCTAGCCAGTCAACCCACGCTGCCTCCGAAGTCCTTCGGGCGTCGACCTCGTTGCATGTGAAAGAGGCTACTAGTTCCGACGAACCTTAAGTACTGTCCTGCAAATCATGGCATGGTAATCGATCGGTGCAGCCGTAGTCGAGGAGCTCTATACCGTTCCTCTCCATACACGTTACGGTTACGTTACATAAGTTAGGTGACTGGGATGACTCTGCGACAGTCTTCAGCTCTACGGTGGCTCATTTTCATCCTTGTCGCTAAAAGACAAGAGTATGGGATGTGTTGCTACCGAATGGAGGGAATCACCTTATATGGCACGTCGGGCCCCTCCCGTATTGAGACTCCAGCCCAGCCACTCCACAGGAAGTGATTAAGGACAACTTTCCCCACAATGGATATAGTCCTGCACACCCCCATCGACGGCTTTCTTGTTAGTAGACGATGGGGAGAACAAGAAGGAGTGTGCGTTTCGATTGCTCCGCCACGGTATACAAACAAAACAATAACAAAAATTGTCGAAGCAGAAATAAAGAAGTTTTAAGGGTTTTAAGTTACTAAACTTTGGTAGTATTTATCGCTTTTACTGAAATTACCAGTAATCCCGTTAAACCCTCCCGCTAAGCTAAATTGCTTGTGTTATTCATTAGTTTTCACAAATTAAGACCTTTCTTCTTGTAATAATTTTACTGTATAAGTCTCAAGTTTTAAATAAATAATCAACAGTAAAAAAAACAAGTATACGATTGAGAGGCCATAACTTCCAAGGTGAATATTTCATAAAATAATGATCTGTAGCTAATAATCCTTTTTTCGCCAAAGTTAGTCTTCAAAGGACAAAAAGAATTAAATCTCTAACTTAAGTAGTTGCTGAGATCTCCGTGGCCACGCAATCCTCCTTTCGTTCGTACAGTAAAATTATTACAAGCAGAAAGGGCTTAATTTGTGTCAAAACTAATGAATAACACAAGCAATTTAGCTTAGCGGAGGGGTTAACGGCAAGACTAGTAATTTCGGTTGCTAGTGGACCTTAAAAAAATAAAACAATAAATACTACCAAAGTTTAGTTAAACAGACAAAATCAGTCAAAAACAGTAAGTATGTGACGGCGCAGTCGAAACGTTTCCCTACCCTGATTACAATGACATATCGTTTTACCCTTACAACAGTTTTCAACACTTTGACCGGTAGTTTTCTTGAGATTGCACAATCTCAAACAAAAATACCGGTCAGGTACGAGTCGAATTCGTGCGCCGAGGGTTCCGTACCTACCCAGATTTTACGTAGATTTTTCTTTTATATTTTGGAATTATTACTTTATTTGAGATTGAGATTAACTTTGTATGAGATAACATTATTAGGGTTCCGTAACCATAATAATGTTATCTCATACAAAGTTCGAGTAGGGAACATTAATTTCGATATCATTTGGGAGTACCTTTTCTTCTTCTTTCTTTCTTCTAAATTTGAAGTAAAATACCTTAGAAAACTAACAGCATACACAGTCAGTATATTATTATCATCTACATCTACATTTACATGTACATGTACATGTACAGTACATCTACTTATTTTGTACAACTGAATTGGATTCAAGCACCCGGAATGTTTCATTGCCAGTGTCTTATTTACTTCGACGATAGTAAATATAACAAACTGGCTTGTACTACTTCGTCCGCATGCAATTGGAAAAGCGCTGCCTTTTTGGAGTACCTAGTACGGTATGCGACTGCGACGGAAATTTTTAAAGAATTTTCTGAGAGGAGAAACAGGTTAAGTCACTCCTTATAGAGAAGTTTTGAAGATTACTCGCGGAACAAACAGACAGACAAAAAAATATTTAAATAGGTATCGTTCAAATAACAATGTGAGCATGAAAAAACCTATTATTTTGACATTACAAACATAAACTGACTGTGACTTCTGTAACAGGTTATTCCCTAGTCAGACACCACTAGCTTAGCTAGAATTCTTTTGTGCACTATTTCCTCCTCAAAAACGCATTAATTAATACTGACTAAAACTTACTCTTGACGATAACAACAACTAACTAAAGCTACTCTAGTGAAATCTTTATGTGTTTTAAGACAATACAGACCCGGTTTACATTTTGTGCCCAGGAAAGTTCTTTCTATTCTCTTAGGTGATTTACGGTAGGTGTCATAATTATTTTTATAAAGCTTAAATGGACGCTCAACTTCTTCATCTGATTTGCTAAGTGGGCTCCCTTGAGACTCAGGCATATAAGGTTGATTATTCTCATCAGTTCTAGCATTCAAGCATATTCCTGCAATGAAGTTCTATTCTACAACAATTATAGCAAAACAATTACAATTATTACTATTGGTTTATTTTCTACACTCTAATTCTCTTTGTGTCCATCTGTCTAGCACAGAGAAACGATAAGAAAAAGCTGAGGAATCCAACATCTCTGGTTTGTGAGATCACTAGTAGTGTCTCGTGTCCGTCAACGTCGTACCCAATGTATGATTAATACCGAATGGATGATAGCATAGAGATGATAATAGCTCTCTGGGCCTAAAATAATTATATATTCGTCATGTGAAAACGTATAAGACACAAACCGGGTCTTACAAAAAAGTTCAAATAATCAGCAGATCTCCTCCCGAAGATGAAAAAGCACCCAACAACTTCATTAAACTACTGAAACTTGGTACTGTTTATGTACTGCAAATATAAATAATTTTTGCAATCATATCTGCCAACAACCAGAGATGATTGCAAATATTCAAACTGGATAGGTAACATCGATAAATTAACCCTCTCCTTGACCACATTAATCGATGCTAGCAAAAATATAAATCCTGAGCACACAGTAGAAAATCACACAGGACAAAGGAAGAATGTGAATTTGGGTAAGGAAAACAGATAGGGCGAGGAAGCTAGGGTAAGGGATACCAAGCTATGGATTTAAAAACGGAACACACTACAGCTTAGTTGGAGGAGGCCAGGACCACATATCAGTTTTGACGGTGCGATAATCGATGCCGCTTACTGCAATATCATCTGATCGCTCTACTCTTTCTACATATAAAAATAAAAGTTGATGAAAAATAGTGTGCAATTAAAGCAAAATATACCTGGCTTCATTCTATCAAATATGGGTTTCCTATGTTTTTGGGTCATTACTTTTTCATCCGCTTCCATGAACATATCGAAAGACATTATTGTTTCATCACTAGTTACAATTCGGACTTTTTGAGGAACCACTTGAGCTTCAGATTGATTATTTGATATAAATCCACGGTTATATAGTTGATTTATTTCTTTCTTCCTCACTTTAATTTTAACATTTAGTTCGTCAAGTTTGGATGGATTGGTACGTTCTTTAATCTTTTCATTATTGGAATTAGTTTCAACTTCATAAGCCAAACTTCTCATGATTCTTTCAATTACAGCACGGTTATCCATTTCTGTAAAACTAAATAAAATTTTCAATAAAATTAACTTAACCGGCTGCAGTTTCTTCACCATGAGTGTTAAATGATAAACAAACTGTATAATTATACCAGTTGCGATATTATTACATAAATTGCTACTCTCGATTAAAGTGAATTATTTTTCAAAATTATTAAACTATAGACGATAGACTGTTGTATAAAGCAAACCATAACTAGACCGGATATTATCAACAACAACACAAGTAGCACAAAGTAGTTAGTTTATCACCACGTAGTAAAAAACGTATTAGACACAAGCCTGGTCTTACAAAAAGTAAAAATAATCAGCAGATCTCCTCCCGAAGATGAAAAAGCACCCATCAACTTCATTAAACTACTAAAATTTGCTACTGTTTACGTAAATGATCTGCCAACGACCAGAGATGATTGCAAATATTCAAACTGGACTGGTGACATCGATGAATTGACCCTCTCCTTGACCACATTCATCGATGTTAACAAAAATATAAATCCTGAGCACACATTTAAACTGAGACCTATGTTCATGGTGCATCTTGAAGACTTTTTTCTTTATTTAGTCATTAATTTAAAACTTGAAAACTTTAAAATGAAAATTAAATGTCCGAACATCGTAACACGTCTTTTAAAAAAGAGACAAAGATGGAGAGAAGCAGTATATATATATATATGTATAATGCGCCAAAAATCGTAAGATCATTAGAGCACTACAACAAAAAAAAAATTAGACAGCCTTACAGTAGTTGCCACATTTCACATCTCACTAACTGGCGGCCAACACTAGCATCGCCTGAGTTAATTAGTTAAATCAAAAAGCGCGCGCTTCCCCAGCTTCCAGCTAAACATTTACATCCCTTTGAAATTATGACTTCATGATACGAAAAAAAGCGAGGAAAAAGATGGCCATCAAAAAACTAAAACTGTAAGAGAGTTCAAAGTCATTATTTTTTTTACATTCACTTTAATCATCAGATAAAATTGAAAAAACAGCACGATTCGATATAGGTTTCTCACAAGTTTCTGTTTCTTTACGCTTAGTCATACTTACAGATTTATACAGTAAGGTATTATTGCTAGGGACTTTAGTACTACTACACTGATTCCTGTTTAGACCAAGTACTGAACATTTAGTTATAAGTTTGTCAAGAAATATATTTAGAGGTAAGAGTTCTGTTTGCATGTACTGAACATATTGCTCAATCCTCATTTTAGGTGGAAATTTATTGGTAGACGTAAAAAATAGACTTTTGATAGTGTTTCTGGATATGTCGCCGAATTTCGAAACCATTTTAGATAATTTGATTTCATTAAGGATATCGCTTTGAGTATTTGTAGCTTCCACTAGGATCATGTCTGTTTGAAAATTGTGCATGTTGCACGTGATAGCTTTAGAAACTGTGCTTCTCGATAATATTTGAGAAGGTGTCTTCAAAGACATCATAGGGGGGACACTCAAGGTTCGTTTAGAGTCAGGTCTACTTTTTCTCTTGGTAGACACGTCGGGATTTATATCGTAAGGATATACTGCATGAATGGTGTCTGTGTTTGTATTTTTGTCACATACTAATATTTCTACATTGTCTGTATCAATTATTCTTGATGTTGATTTTGTAATGCCTGTAAAACAAATTAAAACAAGTCTATTAATATCGTGTGCTATTATTCAAAATTATGTCAATTTGGAATAATATTACCATTATTTGCAACTTTCTCTTCAATTTCTTTGATTGACAAATCCTTCAAAAAAGTTTCGTAAGTTGCAGTGCCACTTTGAGTTACATAGTTTAAATCATCTAGTAAATTACTAATAAAATTATCTTTTTTCAACGTATTTGGTGGTATTTTACCGAATATAAAGGTATCACTTATTATCCTTGATACATCTCCTGATGCCAAGTCATATTTTGATTGAGAAGTAGACAGCAATAGGTCAACACATGAATAATAGGTTCTGATAGTTTCATTATCTTTTTCTGAAGCTGTATTCTGTTTTCTAAGTATTATTTTATATGTCATAGGTATGGTATATTCTATGCAGTTACTTTCCTTTTGAAATGTTAGTTTATCAAAATTCTGAATTTGAGACACTTCTGGTATAATTTCTAAATAACATTTTGAATTATGTTTCTCAGATTCTTTTAAGAGTGGTGAAAACTTTATTCTTAAATATGCAGTATCCATTTATAGCAAATCAGTCTAAAATAAAATAAAAAAGTGGGTAAAAAAACTAAATAAACTAAATAAAACTCAACGGCAAGGTGTTGAATGCGTTGGCGTTGTCAAGAGAGGGATATTGCTTCTTCCACCAGAGTCCGTAGGGCACCCGGCCGATTAACCTAACGGAAAGGTGCTCAACGAGACATTCCGCGATGATAATGCGCATGCGCCTGTAGGTCGTCTTTAACCCGGAGGAGGTCAAGGCCCCTAGCACCCAGTGGTGTGGCTGCCTATAGCGGCTAAGATCCACGGGGGTTGTTGGGGATTTCCTTCAAAGGATATACCCTAGTCTCTTGCAATAGGTGCAAGGAACAGCGTTTGACTTTTATCCAACATACCAGTTCACCGTGAGCCTCAGTAAGGTTATAATCCATGGGGGTTTCCATACAATAAAAAAAATATAATTATATATAACGAGGGTACAGACCCTGCCGTGCTTCGCTCTGGAGAAATGGGGAACAAAAGTGGCATGAAAAATAAAAAAAAAACATATTTGAAGCGGGTCGTCCATTGTGTCAAATTTTGAGCTCAATCGGTGCAGAACTTTTTGAGTTCTTGAAGCGTACACATACCAACGTATCATTTTACAAATATGGATAATTATTGTAATGATAATTGCATAAATTTCCCACAGTCAGCTGATTTCAATTAGGCACAGCCTGCACTGTTGGTACCAAACTGATAGACATATGTACTATTAAACATATATATTATATCATCAACAGCCTTTAATAGTCCACTGCTGGACATAAGCCTCTCCTTAGAAAGGAGGTTTGGCCTACTATACCACGCTGGCCAGACGGGTTGGTATAGGGTTTATGTTACGTTTTCCTTCTCTCTGCAGTGTTTTTTTTTTGTTGTTGCAGTTGTTGTTTTGCGTAGTTTTTTCCCTTAGTTGACTCTTACAACACCCACGGGATGAATAGGGGTGGTGACAATCTGTATTCTTAATCCGTCACCACACGGACCTATATATTATATAAGTATATAATATATATGTTTAATAGTACATATGTGTATGTCCACAAATGTGAATATATAAACTGAAACACATAGGTATGTATTATATACTTGTGAATATATGTATACATGGTTTAGAAAAATGAAACTAGGTCCTAGGCGTAAACCGAACCTTCAACCACTGGTTGAGCAGTCTGGATCAGTTTAAGACAAGACCTTTCTATGCATTGCCCAATCGGTTGGCTGGTAGAGAATGCATAAATAAAGTTTTGCATGAAGTCAAAATAAATAAATAAATATGTTGGTTGCATGAAATGTAAGCCCGTAATAAGCCGTTTTATACTAATAATATCTTGCGCTAAGGGTAAAGTCGTTTACTTTTGCCACTATCACACAGCTATTCGCATCTACAAAGATGTTGCTCCATAGAACTTCTCATTAATAAAAGTTACGAACTAACTTACCTAAATTAGGTAACTGTTGAAATAAAACACATAATTTTAGATTTCAAATTATAAACTAAAATTTGGAAACCATTATAGTTGTAACATACTATTGTATATGTCCAATGTTATGTCTATATGTATAGTTTTTTTAATGACATTTTAAATAAATCGGTAAAAAGGTTAAATTCGAAATGAGGGATATTCCGTTAAATATGAATGGAATAAGACGGGACAAGTATATATTTTATTTATGTTCTATCTGTGCTAAAGTTTATTCTTATAGTCTCTATCTCATTCTCTCTTAATAGAGTGTATATTTTACACTTTATATCGGTACGACAATATGGATTTAGACCTAAAAGTAACACTAATGCAGCTACAATTGATTTAACAACAAAAATCAGAGATAATATAAATATAATAAAAACATTGTTTTAGGTGTATTCATCAATTTAAAAAAGCTGTCGATACTGTAAGTAGTCGTATATAAATAAGCTCGAACATGCTGGTATCCACTTAAAATCCTCATATCGTATTTAACTAATAGATACCAGACAGTCAAGATAGATGACGTTGAAAGTAATGCTTTACCCATAACGTATGGAGTTCCCCAGGGTCCATTTTGGGACCTTTGTTGTTCTTAATCTACATAAATCATATTACAGCATTAAAACTACAAACGTGGTCATCTAACTTTTTATGCAGACAACACTTAACATACATAACAATGCTTCACAAGCCCAACAAGATCTAAGTATTTTATTTGAGTGGCTCCAATATAATTTGCTTTCCAAAAACATATCAAAAACCTGTTACGTAATATTTAAAGCTAAAAAAAAAGAGATTCCTGATCTTACTCATTAACTATTAACAACATCCCATAACAACAAAAAACACTGTGAAAAATATCTTGGCTTAGACCTCAACTGGAATACCCAAATAGATTTTATTAAAGATTATTGTTTTTCTAGTTCACTCTGCAACATAAGTTATTGTATACCAAAAAAAATCGCTTCAATCAACAGCCTTTAATAGTCCACTGCTGGACATAAGCCTCTCCTTAGAAAGGAGGTTTTAGCCTACTATACCACGCTGGCCAGATGGGTTGGTATACGGTTTGTGTCAAGTTTTCCTTCTCTCTGCAGTGCTCGCAAAAAATCGCTTGACTATTTACAACTTTCCAGTCAAATCACATTTATTTTACTTAAATAGAAATTTGGGGCAACTCAGGGAAAACGAAATTACAAGAATTACAAAGAGTACAATACAAGATCATAAAGATATTATTTCGCTATCCATACTTATAAAAATTTTGAAGACACTAAGTTGATGAATATAAGACAACTTTATATGTATAAGACTTGTATGCTGATAAAGAAATGCTGATAATACTAACAGGCAGTTGTGGAATCAAAATGGTGGAAAAGAAGGGTTAACAATAAAACGACAACGGAGTTATTCTCATTTTAATTTCCAAAACTCTCGCTACTTTTTCAATACAAGTACATCACCGTCAATTTCATAATTTACATAGTTTTTACAAATTTTAATTTACGATATGCGACACCGAATTATTGCTCCTAATATTTGTTATAGCTAAATTTTTGAAGTACTTCTTATACACTTGATCACTTAAATAAAAATCAAAATATATACAAATTAAATAAATTTCGTTATATTTTTAGTTTTAAAAATGTATACAATGTCGTTTGAGATTTTACAAGGAAATAAATGTAATCACAGTTTTGCTATTTCACAAAATATATTACAATAGATATTTCTGTCTCTCTCCTACACATTTTACTATAGACTTTTTTGTACAATTAATCGTTTGACTTAAATGTACCAATTCGTCGGCAGTTAAAGTTGCTTTATTAGATTTATAATATGAAAACCTTAAAGAGGTTTAAATGGTAATAGGTGCTATGTATGGTATTATGTATTTTAACCACAGTCTCGGACGTGGGTCTCTTATTCCTACAATAAATTTTATTATTAATACGTAGCTATTTAAATAACTAATGAGAAAATAAAATCGAAATGCCTACAAGTATAATACAAAGAAAAAAGTTAATAATTAGTACTTTTGGGACAAGTACTTCGTTTTACTTGACAACAGACAAGCAAGTATTAAACCAACTAATACACTCGTACATGAACGGCTTTCAAGTAGAAATATAGATTGCTCTCTGACTGACACTGATTTACGTATCAATTCCTAGAGGGTTCATAGATACATCAAAACTATTATTATTAATGCATATTACCCAACTGTACACAATTAAAATCTATTCACAATTAAATTCTAATGTGATTGAAATGATATTTGTCAAACACATAAACTACGGGTGGAGAAGTTTTTTTTATTCATTAAATTGTTTCGTCAAATAAAATATACATACTTATTTAATAATATATACAGAGTTTTAGAATAACAGTCCCGAAAACGAAGACAGACCATGATACCTTTGATGATGATCATCATCATCAACAGCCTTTAATAGCCCAACGCGGGACATAGGTCTCTCCTTAGAAAGGAGGTTTTGGCCTATTTAAATATCACATCAACAGCCTTTAATAGTCCACTGCTGGACATGAGCCTCTCCTTAGAAAGGAGGTTTTGGCCTACTATACCACGCTGGCCATACGGGTTGGTATAGGGTTTGAAGTTTCCTTCTCTCTGCACTGCTGTTGTTCTGCTTTGCTCCCTTAGTCAGCTCTTACGACACCCACGGGATGAATAGTAGTGGTGCGACTCCGTATTCTGAATTTATCATCACCAGGACACCTTTGATTGTAGGTCAGACAAAAAAATAGATTCGGATGAAAAAAAAACCTCTTTTTACAGCGTTTTATTAACATAAGTTTCCCAATCAGCTGTCTTGATTTTTATCAGTAAAACGATGTTTTTTATAAGTTATCTATACATTGAAACATTTTTTTTCGTCAGGATCTATGTTTTCTGACCTATCATCAAAGGTATCATTAATAATAATAATGTCTGTCCATGTTTTCGATAGCGTTTCGCTAACACTATGGTATAAAACGACACTGACATGATTTAGAAAAAGCACTATTAAAACGACCAACTGAAACAATTTTTGAAATGTGAATTCAATTACATAAAAAAAAAGTATTGTTAGTGTATAAATAGAACCGACTATTCGGTTGTCTCAGTTAAGACACATTATAATTGTTTTCAGTTACAAGTTTCTATTAGATATAGTACACTTAAATCCTAATATTTATAAGCGTATTTAGCATACACATTTATAAATCTTCTTATAAACTATCGACTAGACTTCTGAGATCATTTTGAAAGCCAATTTTTATCTTTACAATTAATTATACTACATTATCTACTATTCATGCAAAAATGTTCCCTTGTTTAAATAATACATAATAATATTTAAGAAATGAATTTGTTTTCATTAATAGTATAAAAGTATTATTACTATATTAATTACCTTTAATTCTGTTTCATATGAAATTATAAATGTTTAACGAAATATTTCGTAACACAGAATTATATTTAAATTTTGCAAATTGTATTCATAGCCAATCACTGCAAATTCCTACCTATTTTAACCCTGAGGCTCTTTGGTAAGTCATAACCTATTACTACATGTATACAAATAGGTATACTGTCTATATATATATATATATATATATATATATGTACATACCTATATATTTTGGTACTTAAATGTATTATATTCGTTATTCGAACCATTTAGCCATAAATCAAATGCAACTATTAAATATTGCAATTATGTCCCACCTATAACCTTACCTAGCAATTTTACATACGACCCTATCCTATCAAATTTGTAACTTCCATCGTGCTCTGATTTTCCCTTTCGGGTAAATTCATTCTGTGCGTAATCCACATTTAATTAAAAATTGTTAACATACCTATTATTATAGCTATCTTTTAGATTGATACTTCCAAAAATAGGGATAGAAAAATTAAGTTTAAATATTAGGAGGTATAATCAGTGGCCTTTCGCTGTCTGCAATCTGTGTGTTATACATCTGTGTGTTCGAAAAATAAAGATAAAATGTTATGGCGGAATACTCAGAAAAATCATTTGACTTATTTCAAGATACCACTCCATTTAAAATGCATTATTATGACCGACAGGGTCCATAATGGTTCGGTATTTTTATATTTTTAAGACCATTTATGTACATTTTGGAACGCAATAAATGATTGAGTATCTTTAGTGTATAGGTATTATTTACGGTTATTCATTCGGTATATTTAAATTACAAAACTGTAACTAACATATCATTATTTTTAAACTAAATGTGGACTCAACACTGGACCTTACAGCTAACCATCATAATGTTCATTCGATGTGACAAATCAAACTTAACATACGAAGCACTTTGGTGAATGAGATACAAATGCTAACCATGTATGTAATAGGTATTTCTATTAAATACATCTAATTCTAGGTACATCAATCCAATTTTATTGCATATAGGGCTGTGTCTACAACATTGAGGGTCATAAAGGACAGTCGTCATTTAAAACAGGATAGTGGAAGTTCCTTTACTTTATGAGTAAGACTTTACTTTTTCATAAAGTGAAGTCGTCAGAACTGTCGGAAACTGACTGGTACTGATAGTTCTGACAACGTCTCGTCAAGTCAATGTAGTCATTGAACAGAATACGTTTTAAAAGACAACCATCAAAGACAAGAAGTAAGTAAACATGATTTCATAAAAATTCAGACACTACGACAGCTTGCTACAAAGCTAAAAACGTTGATAGTTGAAAAGTTACATCGCAAAAACATTATGACCTCACCATCACTCAAATTCACATACTTAGTAATCCAACAGTGCCGAAACTAGCATTTTATGTGCAATGTGCAACCTTCTGTGACTGGGTCCCTAAATAATGACACTCAAATGTGCAATATAAATACACATAAGTACATAAATAAATCTATAAGGCTATTTTCAGTAGCATATACAGGTTCTGTGCAATGAATTGCAAATCTCCTAATATTATTTTAAGAATGTTCTTAAAGACTTTGAATAGATGTTTCTGTAAAATAATAAATACATAGACAACAACAAGATCTTTCGCGTTACATAGGTTTGCATGGTATAAATTGCAATTATTTTTCAACTTTCCCATTTTCTGTCACAATTTATGAACTATCAACAAAAAAACCACTTGCATTCAAAGGTGAAAAATGTCAGAATTAACATAAATTTGAAACATCATGACTGAAACTACTTTAATCTAAGTTTTAGGATCATTTGTGGAATACATAGCTGACAGTTATGTAATAACTCGCGCTATTTAGCGAGTCAAAAAGAGTTAGTTTGTGACCACAGCCAATGCAACCTGGTCGAAATGTCAGACAATTCAAAGGTATGTACTTAATACCTATCGTGAGCGGTATAATTATATGTTATCCAATGCAATAGTTTAAAAGTTAGTAATTAAAGTTAGTAAAAAGTAGTAGTTAGAAAATAATTACAAGCGAATTTTATTTATATGTCTACCTAGAGTATCCCACTACAAAACAAACGGGAAAACTTAATTACATGCAAATATCACGGCAGCGCGTGTAAAGCGGGCGATGATCGTGTCAGCGACAGCGGAAACCTATTATACCGACCGAATTATACCGATCGTAGTCACGAGTTTACTCACACACATACACACCTAATGTTTAGAATACGCATAGTTTCCACACAACTGTTATTTCTTATTCATCTTTTGTGCATTTTACTTTCCAATTAATTTTGCAACTTTTAAATGGTGAAAAACATAGACAGGCATGGATTTAAGACTGTTTCAGAAGAAATAACTAAAACATTAAAATTGCGTTCACGCAGCTAATATTTTTAAATGGTTATCATGAAATGGCTCTACTAACACGTAGATCTTACTAAAACGAATTACGTTTATTTTTGTTATTTTTAACGTCTTATATAGGTACTTTTAAATACTAAGTAAGTATCTAAATTCTTCATACTTTTCTAATGCCTTTATATAGGTACTTTAAGTCCACATGGCAAGCGACTATTTCATACTAATTGATTATAAAAATACTATTTCACATACATTTTATTATAATACAGACTACGTTTCACTCAATAAATTAGAAATGACTAGATACACTCATCCTTTATTCGTTCTCAACACTTATTTTCTAAAGTTTACTTTCTAAAGTAAAATCAAATAAAGCGAAGTTATTCGGATTCTATTAAACATTATTTTCTTAGATACGTAATTTTTACACATTTATGTACATACAATTTAAATTAAGTTTTCCATCTAGCTGAACTAAGACCCCTAAATTATCTGTGGACATTAATATACAAACAAAAACAATAAGCTATACATTAAGTTCTATCTCTTAAATACATTTTATGTATTCCATGTACACCACATAAATGGATAAAAGAATTCTCGAATGTTACGTTTCATTTCAAAAACTTCACACAGAACTTCAAGTTAGACGATGATTTACTGTCTAAGTAATCATCGCCTAACTTGAAAGAAAAGGTCATTTTAAAAAGTGTGTGACGTGTGAAAAAATGAAAAAAAATAGATGTTTTAGATAAACGACTCCGCCTGAATAATTAAATGTCACATCTTAAAGTACAGTATTTATCCTCCATTATTAATTTAACATTTTGAATTTCTTCAAATCAACATCAAATGTAAAAGTACATGATTTGCCAGTAGCTAGGAACGACATCACGCCTTAGTATTTCTTACAAAAATGTACTGCGTCTATCGTTTTGAACTTTAAAAAATAAATAAAAGGTATTGATTTAACTTGCCAGTCATCTAGCCTCTTAGGACGTCATGTACGTCTAATTAATTTCTGATAACAACATACACCCTGGTTACAAAATATTTATTATTTCACACAAAATAATGTCAGTGTAATCTAGAACTTTATTATTGGTATTCATTGTTGTCTCGTCACACTTGTCCCGAATCTGGATGTTTCCTGTGTTCTACATTTGAATACTTATAAAAGAAAAATTATTCCTAATGTTGTTTTGTTTAAATGAAAGAACTGTTAATGCTCGTAAGTAAATATAGAGGTAAATTTTGGCTAGAGGTAAACGTGGCATTTTATTTAGCAGGACAGACAAGCTTCAAATTAAAATATAGGTAAATACGTATGTAGATAGATAGTGAGAGACTTACAGAATGACAAGATAACCATCACTCGAAATACGGCATATTGTTCTGCCCTACCTTATCTACTTTTCTGTTCATCATAAATAAAATGACATTTATTTTCAACTTACTTGATGGCTATTATTTAATTACAATTAAATTAATGTACTCTGTTTTCGACTGTATTTACTAATTTTGAAAATTTTCTATATTTTTGTAAATCTTTTTTGCTGTGTTCTAGATAATATACGGTAACCAATATGCATCCATTAAAACACTTAATTTTAGTGGGTCAAGGCCCACAAATGTTAAAATTAAAACAACAAAGTCATGGTGCTTATAAATAGTGAACTTAATTGCTACAATGTGATTTACTTCTTTACATCCCTCATAATAATTAAGTCAAAACTTTAACATGATAGTATCGTCTTGAAAGACGCCCTTGCTGCAGGCATCCGCATGAAATGCACTGATGGGCGTTGGCGGGGCTCAGGTACACAGACCAGAATTATCCACTAAAGAACGGGCTAACACGTCAGCTGCTGCAATATCACTCACTTTAGTTTCAAAATGACCTCTCACGTGGAACATGAATTCGGCTTTGCCGCTGAATTCCTGCCTACACATTAGGCAGAGGTGATGAGAATGGGTGTGGGGCCTTTCAGGTGCGTAGTGGTTGTGATTATGAGTAAAATACGCTCCCCCTCCACCTCCTTCGTTCACAACTGTCGCGGTTGATACTGGTGCTGTTGCAATCCCATGGCTATTCAAGATCTGCTGGTTTTGATTGTGATGATGGAGCAGTTGTAACTTTTCCTGATTAGATAAGTGAACTTTTTCTTGTTGCTGTAAATAACAATTAATGAGTAAGTACTTGTTGGATTTATAGTTATGCTACCCTGACCTATTCACCATTCCTTTACCTCACTTGACTTCCCCTCTTCCCTACGGTTCCTTTACAATGCACTCCTAATTTTCCTACCTTTGACTCTCAAAGCATTTTGTTGCCGGCAACAGGCTCGCCTACTATTGCGTGTACTAAATTTGCCAAGGATCTCCGCCATACCACATATCTATGGGGATTTATCCATCAGCAGTCCTTTTTTTTACTAAAAGCTGGAGTTACCAAAAGTTGGAGTGGTAACTTAGGTTGTTAAGTCGTAATCTGTTAGATACTTCGCAAATTTCACATACAGAGTATATTAATTTTAATAAAATGGTGTACATGAGTAAAACAAATGATGATAAAACAATGATTTAAAAAAAAAGGAGTAGTGTCTTCATTTTTGCATAAATAACTCCAAAATCCAAGCGGACTTAATGCTAAACGAATTCTTTTGCAATTAACCTTAAGATAACATAGTTAGTGCCTAGAAGAAATAGTGATATTATCCAACCTAAACCTGTATTGCCTGCCCTTTAAGGAAGCCCTGAATAAAATAAATCGCTTTTATACAATTACTGATACAGCAAAAGTGAACTTAAATAGATCACCTGATGTTGAGTGGCCTGCATCTTATCTTGTAACAGCTTTGTGTCAGGTAGATGTGATTTTGCGTGAGCACTCCATTCGTCTCTGGTGGCAAACAATCGACCGCATAGCTCACATGACCAGGATACGACCATGCCTGCAGTTGCAGCCGCTACTGCTGCTGACGCTGCGCTTGTATGCACCAGGTTTGTGTTCTGTATGATATTATGGATTAACATATGAATTCTTACTGACTACTTCATATAAAACTTCCAAATACAGTGAGCTTTCGGATATTACTTTACTTTTGGATATTAGATTTCGATATTATTGAGAAAAGATAAACAGATGGGTTCCTGAAATAACAATAGCCTTATAGTTTTGGAGATATACCCGGGTATGTCCTTATGCAAACAAATCATAGTAACTTCTATTACGTTCAGAAAATTATGTGAGCATGGATGTCGCCTATTACCTACGCCTACAAATCATTACTGAAATAGCATATTACTTGCAAAATATTGCAACCAATTTATCAGCCAGCGGAATTTCATTTATAATTAATTGGAGGCAATATAGCTTTCTATTAGTAAAATAAGTTTTGCATCAGTTTCATAATTTTTGAAATCATTATTATTACTCCATTAGCCTCAAACAAAATAATTTTACTTGCAAAACAAACTAATTTTACCTTTTAATAATATTAGTATAAATTGTTGAATAAATTATGATGTTGAAAATATAAAATTGTAAGTAGGGTAGGTATTTATTCCTGAAAATAAATACAGATGTCCGCAATAATAACAAGTTGATGAACATTTAAAAACAGTATGATCTACTAATTGTCATATAAAAGATGTTAGAAAAAAGATTTGCAATGAACTACAACAGTCATAAAATAATTAATTATTTTACAATTATCGTACATATTAACAATGCATGCGTGATTATAAAATAAAACATGAAACAGGCTAGAATTTTTCATGAGGTAACCAAAACTGACTGCTAGTAATTAGTTTAATCATTAAGACCTTAAAACGAACACATACCGACACGTAAATCTACTACTCGTATGATACATTCTAAAAGACGGCTACGAACCATGCCTTGAAGTCTTAATCAAATTTACCGTAAAGTTGTGTCCAGGTACCTGGCAGACCTGAATCGGCTGCTGGTGGGAGTGTTGTTGCTGTTGCTGCTGTTGTTGTTGTTGTTGCTGCTGTTGTTGTTGTTGTTGTTGCTGTGCCGCTGCAACTGCGGCTATCTCGGCCTGACTTGGTTTTGTATCCTCTTGCTTCGTTAGTTGCGGCTTCACGTCATCTAGTTTTAACGCTGGAAAAATCAAAATGTGAATGTAATTGCTAAAAAGGGAATAGTGATGCTATGTGTAATATGAACAAAAATGAACATCTGAGGAAGAAAAGTGGTGAAATGAAGCACGATGGTTTTGTATGTATTTGTTTTGTACTTATTTTTGATTAAAGTAATTTTTGCTTAATTGTGATATGTGGACTTTTGTAAATTAGTTTTTGTAAATTTTGTAAACAGTACAAGAAAAGTCTATAGCCTATACCATATTTTACGTGTAAATGCAAGTACGGCCCTTTAATGGCCAATGCAAGCAGGACATGCTAAATATTGGGCAGGTATAAATCAGTAACTTGGCCAGAAAAAATGAACTTAGTAAAATTATGGATTGCTTTTTGTTCCTACCGTCACGAACCCGTAACGGCAGTGATAAGATATGGTATCAATGAACATCTATCATTACCATTACGAATCATACTCACGTGGTATTGTGATGGTTCTTTTACCTAGAGGAGCAATGTTCGAAGGCGTAATATGTTTCAGTTTGTTCATATGTAGCACTAGTTTGTCTCTTCGTGCAAACGCTTTGTTACACACTTCGCAAACGTACGGCTTTTCACCTGAGAACAATCACAAAGAAAGTTTAATATCCTATAAAATTATGTTGCTTGTATAAGTTTTTAGTAGGCCAAAACCTCCTTTCTAAGGAGAGGCCTATGTCCTGCAGTGGACTATTAAAGGCTGTTGATGATGATGATAAGTTTTATGAATCTTTCATTTTAACCAGCACAATGTAAACAAGAGGAAGTGATTGACTATCTAATTGGCAATTTATTTACTGTCACTGTAGACTACTGACTACATCACAACAGCCAAAACACTTAAATCTGGGGGATTTCATTATGTCTGTCGCCTTATAACATAATAAATTTCATCTATTACCTGTGTGTATTCTCATATGTATCGTCAATTTGTCTTTACGAGCTAATCCCTTTCCGCACACTGTGCACTCGAATGCTTTGCTTCCTGAAATTAAACAGATGCTTACTTTAGTATGAAAAGCCTTCAATTTTGCGAGAAACCTTAGCAGTGAGAAAAAATACACCTAATACTGATTAATACTATTATAGACCGGTCCTGATTTAATATCGATTACAGTGAATTTCAAATACACAAAAATGAGTGCTATCCCTAGGTGATACACATTAGGGGCTGTCTCTATAAGTAAAGCATGCAAGATTATATATTTAAAAGTATGCGCGTATTCCAACTGTGAATGAAACAACAACATGAAATGCCATTCTTACCTTCGGTAGTAGAACTGGTTGGTTTAATAGCCGGATGCTTTCGAACAGTAGAGCTCTGCAATGCTTTCAGTCGCGTTCCTGGATGCATTGATCCACCTTCTGCGTAGGGCTCCGTAAATGGTATCAAGTTCGGTCTTGGTATATTATGTGTTACTTCTGGAGACCTATCGTAAGCAAGCATTTAATTTTAAGTCAAAATTGTAGTATAACCTTGTTTTGTCTGTCGGGTCATAATTATAGTTTAGATTTGGTATCCAGTAAAAGAGAATTTTGATGTCTCTCAGACCCCATTAGTGTAATATTTTTTCGTTGACGTGTGTTTATCTTAAATTATAAAGAATATAGCGTTGTAATTGATATTTTGAAGAGGTATAAGTGCTAGTACAGTAAGTGATGTTTTTGTCAGCTTTAATATTGATCGTTATCATGAATGACTCTATCCATTGTTAAGGGCCTATATAGATTAAGTTTATTTCACTTCTATTCAATCGTCACGTACACTAGGACCTCTGACAACCGTATGTAAATCCGCTTGATACGTTCGGCTTTTAATTGCGTTGAAAAACAAACAGTAAGACAATATTTCCAATATTTATCCCATATTAGATAGAGTACTTATAGATTGCTGATATTTATGAGATTTAGATCATGAAGGATCATCTTACATTATTCACATGCACCTAAGTATTGGATTGGGTATGTACGCATTTGTTGAGTACTTTTATTTGCTTTTGTATAAAACACTCTGTTCCCCGGTAAGAATTACTGAAAGGTAGATAAAGGTAGAGAATGTATAAAAGTTAAGAAATGTAGACAATGTGGTATGGATATTATTATGTACGTAATGCGGAATGAGGAGATGTATCGAATATGGCGGGTATAATCGTAGAAGGCGTGAAAAAAAGGTTAGAAGTTCTAAATCTATTCTTTAATGAACCGTATAAATTACTCACCAATTTCCAAGACTCTGCAATACACGAACGCCTCCTTCAAATCCCATACCAACATCATCAGGTACAGTAAATGTGCTATCAGGACCGCCGGTGCTGGAACTAACTTGGGGAACTTTTATTGGAGAGTTGATAGTAGCGTAATGGTGCTGCGTCGAACTCACAGTAGGAGGAGAAGGATGACCAGGATGAGCATTGCCGTTTTGTGCTTGTTGCGGGAATATTATCTGATTTGATTTCTGAAGAAAGAAATTAATATGTAACATATATTCCAAAGTATCGAAATCTTTAGAAGTCAATTTACATTATCTCGTGTCCTTCTTTTTAACACGCTCTTATGAGCTTGGTATGTAAGTATCTATGTATGTATGTAACGGAACCTTCGTCATTTTGGCCCACTTCAAAACGACAAATTAAATTGAAACTTCGCTCAATTATCAAGGACCGATGACAACACAATAATTTGATAAATTTGCCCGATGCGAAAAAAGCCATTAATCTTGAAGATCCTGATCAGTATCCTGATCAGGATCTTCAAGATTAATGGCTTTTTCCATACCTAAAAATACGGTAGTATTTTTTGGGATACTTCGTCGATTGACACCACAAGCTCGGTGTGTGCGAATCACACACGGACGCTTTTAGATGATGTCGTTTGGGACCATGGTGTAAATAGACGTATATATTTTTTGTACGTGGTCAATTCGCAGCGTGGGAACTATAGAAGTACTCTCTTTGACGTCATTGATTCGGACCACAACCAATGTATTTAACATCTCTAGTGTTTGCTACGTACTAAAGAGGCGTATGCTGAATCGTACTTGTTACTTTTTTGTCTTAATGAGAAAATAATCATCATTGATAACTAAAAAGTAAAAATAAATTATTGTTAAAAAAAAAAACACGCTTTGTAATTAGAAAATTAAACTGACTTGAAAACTGACGAGAGAGAAAAAACTAGAAATAGAATGGAAATTATTTTCAATTTTTATTTAGTCTAATTACAAAAGCGTGTTTTTATACTATAATTTATGGTATTTATTGGGTTTTTTTTTACCTAAGATACTGCGGTGATTTCAATGACAGTTTCAAAACCATCGAACTATTTAATTCTATTCAAGTGTTAAACTGACTAATTTCTATACAGCGGATAAATGCTGTTTGTAGAATATTATTTGTTAAAATTCATTATATTACATTATAAGTATATATTATCATCCAATATGTAATAGAAGTCAAGTAGGTATGAAAGGATTATGATTGATAATCCCGAACTGACTGAAATGGTATTGAATTTAAGTATGAGAATTTTTATGCTTAGATTAATTATAAGAAAAAGACCCTTAACAATATAGCAATATAAAAGTTATCATCGCTAACCAGTATATTGAAAATACACACCTGCATTTCTTGATGATGTCGTGTCGTATTATTGGTGTTCGTACTTTGCTGCTGCTGTTGTTGTTGTTGTTGTTGCTGCTGCTGATGTTGCTGCTGTTGTTGTTGTTGCTGCTGCTGCTGTTGCTGCTGCTGTTGTTGCTGCTGTTGCTGCTGCTGTTGTTGCTGTTGTTGTTGCTGCTGTTGTTGTTGTTGCTGTTGCTGTTGTTGTTGTTGCTGCTGTTGTTGTTGCTGCTGCTGTTGTTGCTGCTGTTGGTGTTGTTGTTGTTGATGCGCTGCCTGATGTTGTTGCTGTTGTTGCGTCTCACGACGAGCAGCAGCTGCAGCTTGAGCCATATGTTGCTGAACAGCAACATGCGCCTCTAAGTAAGCTGTTTTTTGTGCTTCCGTCATTTTGTCCATGTTGACTGTTCCATCCTGATCAAAATTACAGAGGAATGAATAATATGACTATCTACGTTCTAAATCAGTATGCTGCACGTAAGATATTCCACGCAAAAGAAATTAAATTAATCAATTCTTGGTGTCTAGTAAGAATTATTACCACCTTCATTGAGTGTCTTTGATGCGGCCGGAGGGCCCGAGGGAGGGTCGCATTAGGGTGGGCACCCCCGCCAGTGCATTCACCCCGCAGAAAGTGAGAACGGCTCCCTAAGTTCCGCCGACTTTCATTCCGTAACATGATGTTTGAATACCCTATAGTTAATTGCTTAAATTCGGCACGCGCTTAGTTCAATGACCTCGGTTATGGCCGAGACAGGGAAATGAATTTTACTTCCATGAATTCATTTCCCAGAATTAAAGTGACTTCTTTCTATCTAAAACTTTAGGCGAAGAAGTATTGGGTGCTCATCGATGAACAGCAAGAACAGGTACGATGCCGAATAGATAAATAAAAAATTAAAAAAACTAGAGTAAAAAAACGACTAAATACTGCCTGAAATAATAAATAAAAAAACATACTGAAACACACAATAAGCTATCAAGGAGGTAGAAACTGGCTGCTTTACTAGAAACGAGTAGAATACGAACCTCTGGTGTACTACATAAATCATAAAGGAAAATGCGAAACGTTATCGCTGGCTAGCAGTGTAGTATTTATACTGATTTCTCTAACTAATAAGGAAAAAAAAATTAGGCAACAAATAATTGACGTCACTTGTTTTAATAGCTTGGAGGTCGAGTATCGACCATAATTCAAATGACAGGTACTTGCTCTGTCGAGCTTAATGTAGCTGTTATCTAATATAATTAGGTTACGATATATGAGGTTTTGTATTTCAAATTTAGTTAATTCAGTATCTTCGTAAAAGTAATTATATATAAATTTAGTAATTTTTTTATGATTTATCATCGTTTATCACGATCATACATCGTGCGTGTCAACTTAGCAATCAAAAGCAACTAACGTTAAAAGTTGATATTCACTTATAAAGATATGTTCCAACAATCAATCATCAAATTATCGATAAAAATCCACAGTCCCCCATTGGTTAGCATAACCTGGTAGCCTCAGTTACAATTATAGATCCTTTAGAAGTGGCTTTAAAATACTAACGATAGAGGGAAACGTCAATATTTTTATATAAATTCAGAACCGGTAAAGATCAAAATTTTCGAAGTTTTATTAACAGTATATGCTGTTTACATAATATACATAAAGTATCCTGAAAATAATATCACTTGTATATAAAAAATCTACAAGAGGTATCCGAAAAATCACATTATTTGTTTGTTATTTAGCATTATGTTACGTGAACCAACAATTGCTATAGACGCAATGGAATGCTGTCCCCTCAAGATAAGAGAAGGGAGAGAAATGCGAATGGGGGCAGGGGAAGCCTCGGGGGGCTTATCACTCATGCACTGATTAAACACAAACTTACCTAAAAGGAGGGTTTGCATATGGGGTACCGCGATAGGGTAAAAATATTAGAAAATGAAAGATAAATATGCTGACGAGAACTATAACGTCTAAACTGTATGCTATACTATCTAACATCATATGTCGAGGAAAGAACCACATCAAGGAGAAAGCTAATATATATCTGTAAATGAGAAAACCGAATTTCTTGGATAAAATATATAGGTAAATAAAATTTACAAACCGATTTTAATTGTATACCAAATTTTCATAAACCCAGTAATCCTGGCTCACAATTATGACGAATCTAAACTCGAAACTTCAAACGCCAAAATCCATCAAGCCGTTTAGGCTACATGCCGTATCATTAAAATATACATACATAAATACACTCGAAAGGTTATGTACCTACTTCTAGCGCGGTCGGGTAAAAAGGCTGGTTACAATCAGACTAACACAATGAAAATGTTTTAAGTACGTACAAAAAGTAGGTACTTTTTATAGTAATTACACAATAGTAATTGATACAAAAACTTCAAAAAGTAAATCTTAGAAACGCTAGTAATCGCTTTTGCTAATGTTGATTTTATCAATCAGTCTCTCTGTCAATCTATCTATCTATGTGCTGTTCCCATGAAACCAATTTACATTACGATAAACCACTTGTTAATCAAATTTACTAACTACTGTTTAAATTTTCTTCAATAATAACAACACATTTATATCGTCATCACAAATTAAACTCACCCCAAGGTCCCACAGCTGACTGTAGTATGAACTTAACTGCATTACTAGACTAAACGCTTGTTAATGCATATAGTCACAATAATAAATCATTATTTAATAAATAAATATCGATAATCGCAGAACATGTTCCTATATCTAGTCAACGTACTATGTTAGAATATCGTAATATAAGATCGTTTGAGCCCAAGGGCGGTTCGGCTCGCGGTATTGGGCCCGTCTCGCGAGGCGGGTGCCCTCCGACGTTACTATGCACTAAGTGGTAAGTGCAAGTTAACCGCTGGCGAGCTTGCAAGTCTCATCGATCGTCTACACTTTCCTCTTCACGACGCACCTGGCTCAGAAGGGACACAGACACTTATTGGCTTATAAACGCCATCGCTATAAACTTACTCGAACTTAAAATAACAGTAACTATTGTTGAGTTTTATAATTATTTTGACTTAAATTTTAATCAAACCAACACGCAGAATGGGAATCTTTTTTACTTTTTTTTAAGCAACATAACAGGAAAAGCGAAAAAGGATACACATGTAGAAGAGTTCAAATATCAACAACTATTTGTTACATTGATACCTACTCAATTTGACGTGTTTTGTATTTAAGTTTGAAGAAGATGACAAAAATAGAGCATTTTTAACGTTTTATTAACGCTAGAGGTCGTGGGTTCTATTCCCACCCAGTATAATCATTGCGTGATGAGCATGATCATTTATTCTGTGTGTGGGTGTAGTTTATCTATAATATGTCATCATCATCATCATCGTTCACTGCTGGACATAGGCCAATATAATATAATATGTATGTATTTAGAATTATAAAAATATGTTTATTAGCGGTTTGCTTAGCATAATACAGGCTCAGCCTAGAGGTAGCGATCATGTGACCGTGTGTGAGACTTGTGAAGCTATTATTATTAATTTAGTTATTTTATTAAATATTTCTTTGCCTCCAAGTATAATCAAAAAGCTATCAAAATTATGAATACATGTTGGTTTTAATTCAAAGCGAATCCGATTTGAATAACTTATCTTGCTTACAGCGCACTTCAGAGTCGTAACTTTTAATACTTTTACGATGTTAAGCTAAAATTCCGTTCCATTTTATTGTTAATTTTATGGCAAAATTTAGTGCCTTATGGTTCTAAAAATAAGGATGAAGATCAATTTTAAAGGGACTATATGTGCTCTATATTGCTGAGATACCAGATATATATTAGTCAGATGAGATATTACTCAGATGTTTCACCTTTCAACATTTCAGTAGGTACTTGGAAAATTACAGTAGAAATGGTACTCAGAACAAACTAGTCAGTAATTTAGTTTTCTTTTATCGTAAGCATTTTTATTTCTACTGTAATTTTCCAAGTACCTACTGAAATGTTCAAAGGTGAAAATGGAATAATAAATTAGAAAAAGCCCGAAGTAGTCCACCACACTAGCTATGGTTAATTTAATTGCTTACACTATTCTACGAAAAGAAAAAGTTTTATCAAAAATAAAAATTCGACTTCTTGAAATTTCAGTGTAAACCTTTCCTGAGATGCAGTGCTGCACCTTTGTCTACAGCAAATTCCGTTTTGATAGAGTTACTATAGTATTTTTTTCATCTTTACTAAAGTTGTGAGTTTCAAATTACTGGAGGAAATAGTTTTAAATAAGTCATTTAATTCTGCAAGCTAGCTTTGAATTGTCTCAAGCACGGTGTCATCCAGAAGGTGACAGCGCTATGTTGGCAACAGCGAGGAAAATACTTATCACTGCAAGTGGAGCCTCGACGTATCATTAATAGCCGATCTCACTGAAGAGTGCATTGACGGTTTCACTATGATTACAGGGACAATAGGTCATTCTTCATCTTTACTTTTATCTTTGGAACTTGTTGACAGTTTTTAATTTTACATTTTAGTTCTTTATATTTAGCATTAGTTATCTTCGGAAATATTAACTTGTAGTTTTTAGTTTTAGTATAACATTTTTTTTTAAATCAAGTTTTCCAGGAGACCTTTAACTAGTGACCGACTGAAGTTTCGGTTTTGGCCAGTTTCGACAAAAAAATCCAGTATCGGTTCGAGTTTCGGTTTAAACTTACGGCCGCGCTGAAAATCAGTGTTCGTAAAGTGTCGTGCGACTTTTGGTTAACTTCGCGGCTAAGTCGTGGACACCGGCACAGACTCAGTTCGCCGCTGTCCAGTGCGATCTTTTTTTATGGTATACGAGGGCAAGGGAGCAGACGGGTCGAATGATGGTGAGTGACAACCGTCGCCAATGGACACGTGCACCTTAAGAGTCACTAGTGCATTGCCGCTCTTTCAGTCCCTCCCCTCGAATTAGGGAAAGGGGAGAGTTTGGGCTCCGGTGACCTCTCTCAAGCGGTGAAAGCAACGAAAGAACTGCTGAACTGGGTTTTCTGTGAGGAGGCGGTATCATTCCGGTTGAGCCTGGCCTATATGTGCCCAGGCATAGCTCTCCCACGACTTAGTCATCATATTAATTGTGTTTTACGCATAAATAATTTAATATTTGTTTTGTTTTTACTTGTAACTAACATTGTTTTATCTCAAAGGCCCATATTAGGTATAGAGCTTCGTTTTGTTGAGTTTTATTTTAAAAATATTAGTGACACATAAAAGAGATTATGTTCCATTCAAATATTACTTCGCCCGTATTACAGAACGTTTCTCAAAACCCATGAAAGGCTAAAACGCAGGTTTATAAGGCGGAATGTAACTTTAATCGTTTCTGGAGTTCATTTTGTAATATGCCCCTGAGATTTATTTATTGGTAGATACTAA